TTTGTATTCAAGCTGACCGCCGGTCTCATTGATGAACGACGCCATAGCGCAAGCTTCAAATGCCAGTCGGTAATGCTCCCATTCCTTGTCGCTCTTCGATAGGATAACAAAACCCATATCGCCGATTTTGTTCTGTCTAGGCGATTCAAGATCATAATGATACAAAAAGTAAGCGATTGCCCTTTCTTACAGGGGCATCTGTGGAAGGTCTAAGGAGCGCAGCTGCAAGGATCCTGCCTTCGGTGTCGAATATGAGGCAACTTTCTCATCCTGTGATATAGCATTCAGGGGTTCATCCTTTGCGAATTTTCTGCCGGAAGATTCCGAATATCCGTATCGAGTAACAATCCTTTCTTCGGGTGGGGTACATTTTCTCCCAGACTTGATGCACTGCTGACAGGGCCTCGAATTTTCACACTACATAGACTTCTTGTTAGACCTTCGGTTATTACGAGGTTAGTTGATCTCCAAGCAGTGCATTTACCTTGACTCGGAACTTTCTGCAACCCGTACAGGCCTTCCAAACCCGGCGAGATGACGCAAGCGCCTTATCTGGTGATGAAATGACGTCCTGTGTTGTGGTTGGCCTGGGCGAGGTCACTCTTGTGGTTTTCTGCCCTTTCTTTCTTGCGTACTCCACAACAGTCTTGTGGCAAAAAGTGATATCGGTTTTGGGTCTGGTACAGAGCCTGCGAGCCTTCGCCCCGTCGCACTACATATACTCCATGTTAGACTTTCAGCTGTTGTAAGGTTTAGTCAATCCCCCGACTGTGAATAATGGATATACTTTGATTCTGCGCTTTCTGCCACTGAAGACCATGGTAGTAACGAATGCGGCCTGCAGGTCTTAAATGTTGATTGTGGTGGTGTTTTAATGTAATATGACCAGGGTATGGGATTCCCGATGGACACTGGTATGAGCTCTTCCTGAATAAAGTCTGAAGAACTGAGTTAGAACCGCCACGGAAGGAAGGACTGTCATACTTATACATCCTACGGAACAATGGATCAGCCTCCACGTGAACAATGTACGCAGCCTAACGTGTGTCGAAAAACAACACGAACACCTGAGTCTAGGGAAATGAGGCTGCCAAAACTGTATTCCCCGGTTCAGGGGCACTTCAGTGGTGTAACAACAAAAGATCTTCCTTGCCGAGGGCTAGCCGGTATCCAGCAGGGTTGCACCTACGAAGACAGCCGCATGGTGGTGTAGAACATTCAGAGCTACTTTCCAGCGCCGAAGTTTGCAGAATTATTAGTGTATTCCAGGTTCTTATAGAAGCGTTCAAAGTGGTCAGTGAGGTTTTTTGACGTCCATTAAATGCACTACAAAGAGACATCTAAGTACAATTGAAATGAGTGGTCTATGATTTATGTCAACGTACGTCGGTTTTTATTCTGTCAATACAGAGTGGTTCAAGCTTCCATGAGGCAATAGCAAACGAGCAGTAGTTATATCAATATGCTTGTCATGCAGAAGCATCACCCCCTGTCAGACAATTGAGGGTCACAAAAGAACGAGTATAATGGCGCCGAAGGCGCCAATTGTATTAAATGAGAATTATCTAAGGAGCAAGAACTCCATCAAGGGTTTCAACGGAACCGTGCAACTCTTTATACACAAAAGAAATCTTTGATAGTTCAGGCGGTAGCAGCTACCTGCCAGGCAGCCACTGCAGTGTCCCAGTTTTTCAGGAGGTAGGATTTGGGTAGGCTTGATATGCGACACCCTCTTCTAAACATCTTTTGGTACCAGCTCGATCTCAGAATCACTTGACGTATTTTTTGTTTTTGGCCTATTCCAAAGTAAAACTCCATCCGTCGTATCTTCACCAGCCATTTGCCGCCTGTTGGTGTATCTCTCCTCACTCCTGCACTGGCGATATCTCCTAAATCCCGTGATAAGGTTCACAATTCCGATGACTGTGAACATTCCGTTTTGAACCTACCCTGTCAGCGTATGCAGGTTGATGATGGAAGAACATCTCACCAGTTTATAGTTTATGCGTGATGCTAAGACATCGTAAAATGAGATCAAAGAAAACCCAAAGGTGGCGATCTCGAAGCAACTTCGAATGTCCAGAGAAAGCCAAAGCTTCCAGTTCTGGGATTTTGCCTCTATACCTCGTCTAACTCCTTCGAGGCGCACAATGAAACATGACAGCATCATAGATCCTCGAAAAGCAGCTATAGCTGACGTCGGCAAAAGTCGTGACGATGATCTAAATTGAAAGTCTGCCGATAGCAACCCGATCCCAGTAAGTGATAGACCTAGTAAAAATCCCTTCATCATGACCCCTTGGGCTTTGGTTCTCCCAAAAGCCGTCACTATCAGACCAGCCAATACGATACTCTGGATTAGGTTCAGTCTTTTGCCCATTTCCTAGTCAATGTATACTCACCTCTAATAGCATACTCCAGAGCAGCATCACTGATAACTCGCAATCCGCCCAATATTCCACCGAATGCTCCCCTAGTTCACACCATGTCGCCACCATCAAGACAGCACCCACCACTAAACCAGCAATAACGGAAAAATACAACGTACATAAATTTGTCCAGTACCAGAAACTAGTTTTAGATGAGCGTCCAGATAATAGGCTTCTTAATATTGCTGCTGTGCTAAGAATCGAGAGCTGTAAAATGGAACAGATTGTCAGCCCGATTTGCTGTGTTAAAGACAAGGCTGGAGTTTTGTGTGACTGCATGATATCAAAGGTGGAAGAGAAGTATGAATAAAAATGTATCCAGCTCCCCGCCATTCCTGCAGCGACAGCCTCATTTTAAGTAGTTGACTCAAAGGTCTTCAACAATCAGTTGTCCTCTGATGCTAGGGCCGGATATGAGGCCCATTCCCGTATATTTCCCTGCTCAACCCCTTCTCACCCCTTTCGTTATACCATTTCGGACTCGGTCAACTTCCTGACTTGGGAGAGGTCTCAATAATGCGTGTATCAGCTGGAGGAGATGATGATGACAAGGGGCCCTTGCGCCGGTATGAAAAAGGAGCCGTAATGTGATTGTTGTGGACTACAACAGCAGGAACTTGTCTGCGGCTGTGACACCTCTAGGTCATTTTGCGTGCAATCTCTATTAGAAAATTCATAAAATGATTTATCCACGCGTCATCGTTGTATTTTCCGGCAATATTGTTCCAGGTCCAATGGCGAAGATCAATCCGTGACGGCTGGAGATCTCTCAAAATTTTTCTAACTTCTTGCTGAAAGTTAAATCGGGCCGAGTCCGCATAGTAGCCTTCCTGATCAATGTGTAGAATATCTTCACAAGTAGAGCACGGTTCGAATACGAATTTTAATAAGACGTTTTGTGTACATCTGACTTCGTTGCATCGGCATGCCTCGGTATCATAAACAGTGCAGCAATGAAGGCAAATAGTATGCTCTGTCTTATGCATTGGCGGCATTTTTATTGGTCTTTGAGAGGTCTTTGGAGAAAAAAAAGAATGAAGGAGACTTTGATGGGCAGCAGGTCAGGGTTGGAGGAAACGGGAGAGGCCCCAGACGAAAAGTAAAAGAGATTTTATAGCCAGGTAAGATGGGGAGAAAAAGCCAACCTCCCCTACGCGACAATATACGTGATGGTCTCACATACAGCTCTGTACAATAGTATTTGGTGGAGTGCCCAAATTGATGCATCGAGGCGAAAAATTCGTTGAGGATTGTTTCACTTTGGCGATGGGTATCTCTGGGATACGGCCTGGCATCCGTGTACGCCTGCAATTAAAAGTCTACGAGCTGGTGAATTGAAGGTGGCAGTGAATGTATACAGAGATTTTGTTACCATATACTGTTTGCTATACCATGTTCGGTCTCTCCTCCACTGTTTTGGAACTCGAAGGAAGAGTCCTGCCATTTGTAACACCAGTAGCAATCGGACAATCGTCTTCCAACCAGCTCCGCTGCCGGTTAGACTTCCCCTTTGCCTTTGGAGCTATCGATTCCCAATATGTCAGTTGATAATGCGTCTTCGCTGCTACTTTAGTCACAGTAGCTAGCTAGCAAAACCGATGGACCGACCAGGCGGAAGACAACGGCCAGCTTTACCCTCTGGTAGAGTAGTGTAGGTGGTGGTGACGATGCTACAGGCAAGCCACAAGAAGCCATCGCGAAATAGGACGAGACTCGGTAGTAATCAGAATAGAATTCAAAATAACCAACGACGTAAGAGTTAAGTGTGAAGTAACATAATGATCTGTTGCATGATCAAGCGATGGAGCACTTTCCGACATGTCGCTGTAAGGCGTTGAGGAAGGTAAACAAATGTGCAAAGGCAGCAAAAATAGTGGATCAGCTTTGTAAACCAGATTTTTCAGAAATTAAAACTATCGCGGATAGCAGCAGTTTTATCAATTTATGCTTTGCTGGGCGCGAAGCATTGCTCTAGTCATACAACTTGTCAACGGAATATAGGGTGTTCTATTGTTAGGACGTAACTCAGTATCCGTTCATATCTGGTGGCCAACCGCGGAAGATGAGGTCAAATTCATTTCAAACAATGTAATATTCTGTTGTGATTGTGTCAAGACGATCGGACTGTGGGGACGAGATCATCCTTTCCCAAATGATGCCTTGTGGAAGAATGTGATATGGCACGGTTGAGGGTGGATTCGGGGAATCGCGTAACTACCCGGCGGCTGCGGGAATGAGCCATAGCCAGTCGCATCCTCAGTCGCATCCTGGGACACAAGCTTTCCCGTGGGGTGTGGCATGTGTGTCCCTAACCCGCGAATGAATGTATCACACGACGCCCTGTCTGCATGTCAGCCAGCCGTTGCCCATAGCAAACGGCCATTGGACGGGGAGGGTCTGTGGCTTACTCCCAGAACTGATTCTGGGAGTAAGCCACCCTGCGGCCCGCTGATCGGGCCACGGCAGAATAAACTGGTAGAACTAGCAGGTGTGCCATTCTCGACTGTCCTTCATCGTCCTCATTCTTTTTACCTTCTGCATTGACAAGCCTGCACGCGGAGACTTCAAACAATGGAAGATGAACGGGCGAGGAGTTGCATTGTCTTTATATCTGAAGACCAAGTGGAAAAAGGGCTTGTGTTGGCCAAACGTGGCCAACAGCAGCTCGAACCAGTCTCAGAGAAAAAGACGCTGTACTACTTCACGGTATCCCACAATGACCACTACAGTGTTTGCGAGATCCTCGTTTCACCCATAAAAGTCGACCATCACAAGAACGTCTTCTTCTGGCCAGTTCAAAGATACACGAAGTGCTGTGAGAATGCGTCGGAAGACGAACTAAAACGACTACGTCAAATCATTTACGATGTTTACGTTCGGCCCGTTCAATGGTCATTTGGAGACGATAGGTCAGCCAGAAACTCATATACTGCCATCAACTCCTAACACTTTTTAGCAATAAGGCCGTGCCTGTCTCAAATTCCCCAACCAATGGCGATTGCGAGGAACATCCCGAAGTTGGCAGACGCTATTTACAAGAGACTGCTACCATAATTACCCCGGCTACGAGGGAGGAGACAGCCTCCAGATGGTTGTCGCAGAGTCCATCTCAGAGCAGCAATGCAACCACCGAAACAGACCTCACCGACACGGACAGCACAAGGCCTAGTCAGAACAAGAAAAGAGGTTCTGACAATTCCTTGGTTAGCACCATTTCAAAGAAGTCCCGCCCAAATATGAAGCCAGGTTTCGAGTGTCCTTTTAACCCTACCACGGTCATAACAAAGCTACTACGGTCCCTTGAGGACCTGAAGAAGGCGACAAGTCATCAAAAGAAGGTAACCGGCAACGTTTCAAACTTCCATGTCGATAGTAGTACTGGCTTCCCGCTTTTAACAACTAATAAAGAACGAGAGGAATTCGCGAATAAATTGTACAAGTTAGGTAGGGATCTACAAGGGAGCTATGCTACTGCTATGTGGGCAAACAAGCATTATTTTTATAATATGCGATTTCTTCTCCGTATAAAGGGGAAGGTCAAGGGTGGAAAGAATGATGACCGGGCTGCTAAATCAGCAGTACTTATCAATCGGATTGCTAGGAATCTTTCTGACAGTAGCAAAGGATGTCGTTGTGGGGCAGTCATATACAACTTGTTTGCTGGTATGGAGGCCTGAAAGACTGTTTCTGCTCTTGCTGACACCTCCCCAGACCGTAATAATCACCTTACAAGAATGAGAGCGGGTGATGACGAACGGCACGATGCGGCGGATAAGATAGCCGAAAGTTTAAGAGAGAAGCTACCCGCTCTCTCTGGCTCCACCTATATATTTCACCCACCTGCGGTCATCGCTGCTCTATGGAATGAAGAGTAAGTCTTCCAGCAACTCTAGTTGATACTGGTCTAATCAGGACAATATAGCTACGAGACTCTATGCAAACAGCTTGGTGCAGACAACCTTGCACTCCAAAATCCGACCGTAGTTAAACTACAATATTCTACCGAGCCCGAGCTATATACATACGCCGTTCGTTTGGAACATAGTTGTCCATTGCAGCATGGTGCCCCTGATAATGGCAAGATAGATTTCGGTAACCTCGCCGATGGCAAACTCTTTTCTCCCAACACTTATCAGCACATTGGTTGCAATAGTATTGCAAGACGCCAAACACAACAAAGACTCGATGGAGTAAACTGCCCGGTTTCCGTTTCTGGGGAACCTCGGGCAGGAAGTAGCTCTGGGCGCAGTTCTAGGTCGTCTTCGAATGGATGCCCATCTGCTATAAGCCCAGTTACAGGTTCCCAAGAAATCGATCCTCTGGACATTTTCAGACACATCGGCAATGACACGCCTGCGACGCATACAATGGAAAGAAATGGCTCAGACAATTTCCCTGATATTGAGGGGCTAGGAATTAACCCATTTAATGTGAACATCTTTCATGAAATTGATAGATTGGAAAGAAATGCCACAGACAATTTTCTTGATATTGAGGGATTAGGAATTAACCCATTTGATGTGGGAATCTTTCAAGCATCTTAGTTCAGCTAGATACCTAATGACAGTGCAAATCATCTACAGTAAATATGAGGTGCTAGTTGTCATCAAGCTCGAACGTCGCAAGCAACATGGAGATTTCATCCTTCTGTGTTCCAATTACCGTCCCGGGTTGTAGAAGTGCGTAACATAAATTGTGCCGCCAGGGTTTTCTCGGAACCCATCGTGGTTGCAGGGCTTGTATCAATATTTCTGTCTCGAACCCGGCTTCTTGTGTCGGAATAGCAATTGTGATGGATCCATTCATAGCTCTGATTCCCCCGCCGCCAGCTACCGAGACCGCCTTCGTTTTGACTCTGTCCAGTCTAGCGCCTCGTGTGCCGAACCTCGTTATCTTTGCTGGTTAGTTCGACATATTTGCGTCAAATACATGCTGTTTCACTTACGATTTTCTGTTTGACTCTGTCCCACAATGCACCATGTGCGTCTGACCAATCAAAAGAATACATGTTGGGGCGTACTTCAGTCTTGTTGAATTGTTGCCGCGCAGCCTCCTGGGCCAACACCAGGTCTTGTTCATCTAACTCAAAAGTGTCGTATTCCTCCATGGTTTCAGGATACGTTCGCTCGTTTTCTGAGACGTCTGCTGGGAAGAAATCCACGCCATCCTCCATTAGGAGCTGAGTGTACTGGGTAGCCATGATTCTGGAGCGGGGTAGATTGGGCTCCGGTCGGCGAAAAAAATAATCCGCCAGCGATAGGACTTTGTGGCGAGGGAACAATTCTTGTCGGGAAGGAGTGGCGGGCATCATCTTTTAAACGATTAGAAATGTAGTAGCCGCTTGTTAATAGAGCGCGAATAGACATATTCATAACTGAGTTGCCGCGATACAGTGTTGACAAAATCCTTTTTGATTGGCTGGTCGCGGAGGATTACTTTAAGGTTACTCAATGCGAATAGGGAGGAGGTACATCGCAGCGGGAGCTCACATGAGTAGGATTATCAAGTTGCCATTAAGTTTCAGCGAACGTATGTTTCGAGAATTGGAGGACTCGTGCGAGTCACATCCTCAATCATCGTTGTTCTACAAGCACTGAAGACCCACTGTGCGTGCGAAGACAAAACATTTCGAAGTGGCTCGACGCTTTAAGACAGAAAGAAGAAGATACGACTGAAGCCAGAAACTCGCCAGCCTATCTAAAGTTAACCAATCTCGACTTTTACCTAGAGACCACAAATGGCTACAACGTTGGTAAGTGACATAGTTATACACATTAGTATACACTACCATCTAACTCAACAAATCCAGTTACGATAGAACCGCACAGTCTATTCTCCATACAACCCGTCCCTATCACATCTATCCGCCCTTGGGATTGCCAGGAAAGCTTGACAGAAACATCAACACAACATGCTCTCGACCAACTACGTAACTTAGCCATGCCATACCCTAAACTAGTCCAAAGTTAGGTTGAAGGACGGGTCTGTAGCACCGGGAATCTGGGATTACCGGGCTCCATTGTTCATGGCCCCTTGTATTCGGGACGGCTTGGTAGGGGCAACGGACCATATGATGGACCAAGTGACCGCCGAATCCGACATTGGTCACCTTTCAATAGTGCTGGTGAGATCATTCTCGCGATTCTTAAATGACGAACAATGCGGCTTGGGTGCGATAATGGACAGCCTGAATCGCTATTGAGTGGATGCATTAATTTCCAAATGTAAAATGTGTGCCCATTCCCGCGGTCTTCGACCTCACCCGCCTGGCGCTTTCCAGATGGCCCCTCCATCAGCTCACAGGTGGGCTCGATGTTGCTGTGTACTACCCTACAAAGAGCATCATGATGAATAAGTTTGCGCTGGCTTTAATTGGCACAGTATCTATACGAATCATTACTTGTGTGTGCCCCAATCGTACGAATTGAGACGAGGATGATGACCCTAGATTCGTTGTCGCAAGGCCCACCCGATCCGATCCGTGATATCTTAGTTCCGAGACATTGGAATCCACAAAGGCGGAAAGAGCATTGTGAGATCATTATAAAACCCAGTAATTTCTCCAAGAAACTAGTCACAACTGGACTTGCTTGAAAACAACAAAGGCCGACATGAGATGACCTGCAACCACGCACCTTCGCGTACACTCCTGTTGTGGCTTATGTGGCTTTCTATTTTGTGCAGGAGATCGGTTCTACACCTGTAAGTAACAAAATTTAAAGCTGGCTAATATTCCTCGCTGACATTATAAATTTTTATTTCAGTGACGAATGAGTGCCAGTCTTGGCCGGTGAAGCTCGTCAAATATGGAGTGTTCAGTTTCCCGGAGTCCCGTTATTGTGCAAGTTGTGGCGATGAGAGGCTATGTCGCATACCTGACTGTAAAGGATGTCGCCAGTCAAAGGAGACTAGCACAATGCATGCGGGCTGTATAGCCCTATTTCTTAGCCAAATGTCGAGGTTTTGCAGCCATAAGACGAAAATCAGCATCCAGGACAAGTGTTGCCTTCTGTGGGTGGCAGCAACATGGAAGAATCTTTGGCAAGGTTACCCATATCTTAACATTCAGCCCAAATGGAATATCCGTGTCTCTGATATCGACACCATTGTTGAAGACTTGGGCGGTTTGGAGGCCGTACCTGGGGATATCAACACCGTTGTTGGGGAGTTCGGCGGTTTAAAAAAGCAACTACAAAAGCTACCCCGGGATATTTACTTCATGATTCAGGACTTGTGCAATGACTCATGGTATTGCAGCGTTTTGCACCTTGGTCGTCAAACGTGGGCGCTCCAGGAGAACAGCGACCACCGGGGGACAATAATTCCTCTTGTTGACATCAAAGCTTGGGTCCGTGGCGACGCCCCTCTGGTTGGAGACACCTCCGGTGAGACCGTTGTTCGTTTATCAATCGATCTTCGTGGCCTAGCACGCATTGAAAGGCTGGAAAAAGCGGAAGACAGCCGTCGGTCAAACCACATGTGCTACATTGTTGAAGTAGCAGAACGGTTCAAAGGGGTGTCTGTGGAGTTCCGAGTTAGTTCATCTGCAAAATGTCAGACGCAAATCACTAATAGCTCATAGTTTGGTATGGCCAGATTGCAGGGAGTGACAGGCCCAATCCATATTTGGGACACTCCTTGCCCCCCACCTCTGTTTAGCAGCATTGTCGATCATGACATTACCACCCAAAGCGACGACCTTCAGGCGTGGCATCTAGGCACGGTAGATTTGTCTCTCTGTACTGGGATGACTTTTTTTGTTTCCCTCGGTTCCACGTATGCTGTTCATGTTCATACAACGGCCCAACCGTTCGCCTACAGGACCTTTTTGGGTCTTCCACTTGAAAGACGAAAGGTCGTTGCTTGGATTTATGTGCCTATACAAGGTCAAGTAGAAGAACTGGGGTTCACCAAGCTGCCGAATCGGCCAGGAAACTTTATTAAACCACAGCATTTATTGGTACGATAAGGACATGCTTGCGTGAATTTTGTTACAAAATCTAACAGCAAGCAGATTCGTTTCCACTCCGGTGTTGATGTTCTCATCGGATCTTATGAAAAAGAGCCTCGAGATTTTGTATCACTCCGATGGCCCCAAATACTTATATACAGAAATAATGACACTCTTCCAATCGATTTCGTCGGCGCTGTTTCCAAGAAAACAAAGAAAAAATTACGAAACAAAAGCGCCCCAAGATGGTCCATTCCCAGCCAGCCGACATTAGAAAAGCCACGCATCTCGTCGGCTCCTCTTGAAGATGTCACTCTAATCAAGGTTTACCGTGTTTCTGGAACAGACTTATGCAGAGGGCTTATAATACAATACAAAAAAGGTGGGAAACTATCTCTTGGACAATGCAGACTCGGAGTTGACGAACTCAAAGAATACAAATGGCCGGCGCGTCTCTGTTTCACCAAAGAGATGGCTGGTGTCAAGGTAGAATGCCTTGAGGATCACAATCATGTTCATGAACGAACAGTTTGGACGTGTTGCAAAATGAGCGGGGTTTTATATTGTTGGTTCAATCAGGATGAAATGATGTTTGAGCATAGGTAAACAAGCAACAGAGATGTTGCAAAAGAGCGAAACATGTCCGAACCACGAATTCAGTTTCGTCCGGCCTTCTCCTTGGGCATTTTCTTTGTCTTTTCCTTGCCTCTCCCTTTGGCTCTTAATTTTTTGTCCTTGCCCTTTGCTTTGGTCCTTGCTTTGGTCTTTCCTTTGCCCTTATCTGAATCCTCGGAACTTTCAGAATCCGAAGAGTTCGAAGAGTCTGAAGAAGCGGACACCTCAAGATTCCAGGCCCAACAACGAGCTTTGTCCGCGATAAAGCCCTGTACTGGCATGTTTGGATTAAGCCTGATTTCCCCTTCTCGCCAGAAATCCCACGGAAAATGCTGCTCAGATTTGTCCGAGCGCCGAATCTGGGTCCGGTAGTTCCCATCCCCGTCTTGAAATATTTTGACGACCTTAACAAGAGTGTAATCCCCGTCGTTGACCACCTGGGGTCGGTCGTCAACATCCATCTGAGATGGAGCAGGGTCCGGGAAAGTAAGGGAATCCAAGGAAATCCTGGGATTCCAAAAGCCTTCGAACTTCTCCGGATCTGGTTGAAGATTTTGCTTAAAATTATTGATTGCTGACCTAGAATAACAAGGCTGCAATCGACGCGCTCTCACAGATGGAGATTTTGCATATATTGAACGCCTCCGGCAGGATAACAAGACATGATTTGTTATTGCAGGTCAATATATGGGATTGGGTGCAAAGTATTTACAGCAGTGGCACCACGGGAAATTGAGAGCTAATACTAGGTATAAGTCAGTCCGTATCTCAGAGACAAATGGACGCTCAGCCGCAGCTGAAACTGCCCTACATCTCGTGACGGATGACTCGACAAACACAATAACCACCGTGCCTGTACAGGAGGTTTTTACGAAAGCGTGGGAATCCTGGGGGAAGGAAAGTAAAGCTGGTCAAAGCAACATATATGACATCTTGAATCCCCGTTGAGCGGAATGGAGCCACGTGTCTTTTGGTACATGTTTAGTAATTTAAGATTGCTGTTGGTGGCTTGAAGAATTAACGGAACTTGGGAAAGAGCGCGAAATTTAATGGACAGGTTTCTTCACCCATAACGCAATATAGACCCGAAACAGCACAAGGGACAATTTTAGAGAAGCCTTGATAAGATGGGTATCGAAAGTTAGCAATATAGCACTTTAATAAGCATTTATTTATTGTAACTGCTCTCAGTTGCTGCTGGAATTAAATACTACCCAATACAGCTCAGCTCTACCTGCCGCGTCTCCAGAGTATCCCTATATCTATCTAACCGGGCGACAGGCCCATTTCTTTGGTGTATGCACAATTAAGAATACTTATCCAAACCCAAACGCAGAATACGCCAAGATGGAAAAGATCTATTCCTTGTTTACGATGGCCCTTAAGACTTTTTGTTTCTCTGCGTCATCTATCAGTCATTCTGTCAGATTAATGAGCATTTCTTGAGTTACAACAGCGTGCCGCGAATATCCACCGCGAACTGGCGCTCTATTCAGTCCATAGCTGACTATGGTTCCTTCGCTCGGCCATTCTTGGCTTGCTTATGCCACATTCTACGCTTCCTCTTCTGAGCTTGGTGCTAGGGTTCCTGGATATGAAAGGATGACGATCACGAAACTCTGACCTCTCAAAGTCTGTCAGCATCATGCTTCCCAGTCCTATAATAAACAAGTATTGCGTGGTTCAGAGTTAGAATAAAGCACGCCTAACTAACCTACGAAACTCCTTCAACGCCGTTGTGACCGTATTCACAAGGCACGACTCGTTTGTCAGGTTGACACATCCGGCGAGAGATTGCCTAATCTAGCAGGCGGAAACACTGTGCAGACACCACCGTCGTAGCGGCAACTTCATCAGGGTATTTCTCGTCTCCACGACTGCTATGATGCCCACCATGCTCCCAATTAAAGACTCAGTAGCCTTCATAATCCTTCGGATTCAACCCTCCATACTTCGGTAAATGGACCCCGGCCATTTCATCTGTCTTTTTTCGAACCCTACAATGCCATGCGAGGCTGTGATGCCCAGCTACCTAATGTTTCTTCCTTGGCGACTGGGACCCTGACGTCCTAGGACGCTTAGCAGTGAGCCAATGGCCCAAATCTGACGACAGTTCATCAGCGGATGTATCAGAGTCATAGGGGCGTGATTTATGTGAATGTGAATGAGGTCTTAAAACGGTTTCCTGGCTAGTGGTAATAGTGTCCTCGCCAGACCCTTCATCCGCTAAATCAAAGCCTAAACCGCTGGCCGTGAACGACGCCACTCGTTTTGCCCTTTCATTTGCTTGCTGAATGGCATTATCTCTCTGTTCTTTTGCCCAGTCCCTGGCGTTGCGGAATGCAGAAGCGCCTTGGCGAAATGTATCAGCATCGCCAGTAAGGCCCCACGTTTTGATCTGTGTCGTTACGAAACATGGCTTTCCTTCTGGTGTACGTGGCGGTATCGGATGGCTGGTATACATCTTAGGCGTGCCTCCATGATATATTGATGAGATTGTATATGCCTTGTTATCATACTCGGGCTCCGGCTGGCCATACGACTACAAACTGAGCATACCCCTTGCTCCCAAGGCGCCATTATAACACGACTGTCTGGAAGCAACTGGTCAGGGCCTCGAGGAAAAAATTTGCCAGGATTGGAAGATCGCTCTGAGACGAGGGGTTGATCTTACGGCTTTGCTCTCTGCGAATTCTGATATCGAGCTGTTCGGGCCGTGCCCCGCGGTACAGGGCAGGCTTGCCTGAAACGATCGTGCCGTCGGTCAAGTCGTCTAGGTTTGTGAATGGAACGTCTCCAGCAACACATTTGCTATCTGCGATTGTTCCTTCGATCAAAGGTATGACGTTTGTTGTAATTTCACGCTCTTTAAAAGCATGGGTGTCTGCTCTTTTAAACCTTCTGAAATCATCATTGGAGAATTGAGATGGGGATAAAGACGGTCGAGGCTGAGCCATCGCGGCGAGTATATCGTTCATGTTCTCAGGCTCTGGTGGCAATCCGCCATCTGGATATTCATAACCATCTGGGAATATATTGTGATTGATAAGATTTTGCAGAAATGCACGATCATATGGACCAGTGCTTCTCGTACTCGTAGTATTAGGAGTCGTGTTGGTCTTTGACGGGTATTGGCTGGTTCTCTTCACAGGCGACTGTGAACCTCTCTTTCGACGCCCGAGGCTCGATTGGCTAGAGCTCATGTTGCTGCCCAAGCCTATTGGAACTTGGCACTAGATTACTGTCAGCACAAAAACGCGTGTAATATCGAGCTATACTAACGCCTCTTATCGCAGAGATCTGGGCCGCCTTGTCTTGCAAAACGCTGAAGGGCTGACGGCTATCCGGGCTGACGGCTGTCGAGGCGTACGAAGTGTTTGTATGCGACTAGGAGAATGACTGCTTAGTCGGTTTCGCGGATCCAGTTCCCTTGTTGCGTTACGAGTAAGGGAAATCGTCGATAGACCGTCCCAGAATTTGGGAGGTGGGAAATATGAATGGCCGCGTTTCTGCTTCCGCGGGTGGACTGGCGGTCCTCGGTAATTTCCTCTGAAGATGAAGCGACGCCACGTTCTGCCCTTTTGTGTCTCGGCGCTGCTGGCTTCGTAACGTTGGCATCATTGAACGCTCACCGCGTGAGCTTGAAGACGGAGGAACTCAGTTGCAAGGTCGAGCGGTTCCGGTGGTGACGTCGCTGCACCGCCTACTGATTGGCGGAGATCGCGCGGCGCTTGGTGAGACGCGTCCCGCCATTGCAAGGGAAGCTCGCAGCCTGTAGAAAACACATCATGCTCGACCTTCGACACGACCAGCCGCTCTTAGCTTGCAAAAGGCCAAAATTAGATCATTCTTCCGCCGTCGTAACGTGCACAATCGTGTCCCAGGTACGATGTGGTTCAGCGCCTACGGGTAACCTACCCACTCCTTGGCTTGTGGGGCCTCCTGGACTGACAGTGCGAGGAGCAAGCGACGGACTGATCATACACGATACGGAAGCATTGGCAGCCATCAAGGTTGGTCCTTAAGTCGCTATCATGTATTCTCTACTCTAGCTGTTCTTTGATGCCTGCCATATTGAGATCTTGTCCATCAACAAAATTCATTTCATCTAGCTGAACTCCCGGTTGAATTTCTATATCCATACAGCTGGTATATATCTCCGATTCCCCTCCTGGCAAATGATCACTCGGAGAACTCGGCCAATCCCAGACCCAATAGAGGGTGTACCAACTGAAAGGAATACTGACAGGAAGCCGGATGTCATTTTGGCACCAAAGGTCGGCACCTTGTGGGTTCATTGCAGTTTTATGGAACTTGGCCTGTCGTTGCATGGAGAGTGGACCGGTATTAATCTGATAGCATTGTCCATCATCAAAATTTCTGACCGCAAGGAGTCTGCCTCGACCATCGCCGCCGGTGCCGTCCGTATTCCAAACATTATGGATGGAGGAAAGCAATTCATCGTCGCGAGGATATAACGTGCCGTATACGTATACGGTGCCACTATTCTTCTTTTGTGGCGTGAGTCCTGGCAAGGTGACATGGCCGTTCTCCTGGTATTGCAGAGCAATGAAGGCACCAGGGGCTGCTTGGAGTGCCGGAAGATCAGTAGTATAAGTCCTATTTCTCTGTGTATTCTTGCACAATTTGTCTGTAAGCAGACCGTCGGGAATTGTTGGCAAGAGATGTTGCATTTTAAAGTCGTTGAAATTCGGATCAAGCCTGGAAACAGCACCACGAATATAGCCTGGGTTTCCGATCATTGTGCCATTGGTGCCAATGACCATGAGTCTCTCCACCCACGAGTGTGAGCATACAAGACCAATGAGGGCGTGAAAAACGGCTATCTGACGGACGAGCATTTCTGAAGACGAATATTCTTTGCAGATTGCAGTGGCGGTGGAAATATTAGGCGCTACTCACACGGGTCTTAAGTCAGTCCATCGGGTTGTTAAAGTTAATGGCAACAACTCAGCACTATCTTCTAGCGCCGAGCAGAAGCTTGCGGCAGACGGCCAGCTTCTGCCGGCTTCTCTTTTGTCGCCAAACTATGCGTCTTATATTTAATGCTTTTGGCAGCTGGTGTTGGATAGGTCTCTTCGGCCACCACCCAGTCAGAATGTCGTGTTCCTGCCGACTCCATGACCATCACCCTCCAGGTGCGGTGCGAGTGCCTTGCAACGCAAGCCCTCTGCTCTGGGTTCTCCAGCGGTTCAATGCAGCAGCTCAGCCCAACGACTGCGACTTTGCTGGAAATGTTTGCTTAGTCGTGACCTGACGGTGCGTTTTCAGGTTTGAGTAGTACTTCACTGGCGTTTCACCTAAAGACATCGGCTAGGAGAACAGAGCATAGTAACATGTTGATGCTTCACTTTGGAGGTACTACTTTTAATATTTTGCTGTCTGGCGGAGACTGGATGCGGGGTGACTGGGGCTTCAGCATATGATGAGCAGGATTAAATTTCGTACAAGCAATTGTTCCCGGCGGCTGGACGACTAACTAGCTGAGATTTAATATTAAAAGGCTCCCGAACGATGCCCTCCCTATAAGTATTGTTTTGGTTACGTTCGATCCCAGAAAGTGAAGCTCGGAAGGAAAGATGCAACAAATTATGGCGAATGATCCAATTAACGAACTATGCAGGGCTCTTGCTCAGTTATCGTTACCGGAAAATCCGGTCGCTGCTGAAGCACAAGCCGTGAACCGGAACAATTTAACTACCCTGCAGAACAAACTCGCCCAGGCACTGCGGCGACTCGTCAAAGCGCATCGTCGTTCGAGTCAAGCTTCGCATGGCGCGACCGAACCCACCACCGTGGACAGCTCTACTGCAGGCATGTTGACCTTATCATGAAATCTGCACCAAACTAATCATAGTAGTGCATTGCCGCGCTCCCTCCCCTGCAACCGCGTTGCCCCACCACCAAAAAAGGGTGCCACAATGGCCGACGGCTAAACCACAGACGCCTAACCTCAGTCGAAGGTTCATTATGGAAAACCCTATTCAATATTTTCTCCAGAACTGGAAGGCTGCGTGGATTGATTGGGTCTCATTGGTGCAGCTGATGGCGTTGCCCCCCTGTACTTCAGCCGCTGAACTCGACATCGAATCGAAGGTCGTAGCTTTGCATCGTGTTATCTCAGGGAAAGACAAAAATCTACCTCCGAGGTTTGGCCATGTCCAACTGGTACTATTTTTGGACGCACTTAAGAGACGTGTCCGGCAAGACCGTCTGAATAAGCTGATCGAAGCCAGGAGCAGTGTGGGAGACGAAACCCAGGCAATCGATATGGTTATCATCTCTTTAGACAGAGCCTTGAATACCAGAACTCCAAGAAGCCGTATTTGGACTCTCAAGCAGTTTGGTGGCAAATGGAATGATATGGTTGGGTCGTTGGTACTGCTGTTATTGATCTTTTCAAGAACTGCAGAGATTTCTGTGTAAGAGCTACGAAGACTGTCCATGACACAAACTAACTGGGTAGACAGGAAGAACACTCACAAGATCGATATTTCGGCCTTCAAAGTACTTGCTACTGATGCTCGTAAGCATATACCGAAAAAATTGGTGGATGTTTGCATGGTAATATCCCAAGTCACAGAAACCATGGCAGCGGCTGGAACGGCGATTAACTATGAGATTGCCAATCGCATGGGGGAGGAGATAGAGAAATACCTTTGTAATTAGATGCTGAAGTTTTGCTTATTCCACGCTTTTCTGAACTCTTGACTGGTGATATCACTTCGACGTACTGTTTCGCTTCATTCCATTCCAAAAGTGTTTTTTCCGTCAATATGAGCTGCTGGGATCAACATACGAAGTGAACATTCGGAATACCGAGACAGGTGGCTATTTTACAAGCCTGTCAACCAACTTCGAGAGACAAACGCAGTTCTGAGTAAGCGCATAAAGCAAGGAAGGATCGCGCATCATCAATGCGGTTGTATGAGATGGTCACCAGGCCACAAATTGGGAGCTAAGGGATGAGCCGCTGCAGCAAGTCAGTACCTAGCCACAGCAGCAAGTTAGCACCTAGCCACAGTAGCAAGTTAGCATCTAGCCGCTGCAGCAGTTCAGTACCTAGCCACAGCAGCAAGTTAGCATCTAGCCGCTGCAGCATGTCAGCACATCTAGCCGCTGCAGCTGTTCAGCAGCCAGCCACTGCAGCAAGTCAGCATCTAGCCGCAGCAGCAGTTCGGCACCTAGCCACAGCAGCCTGTCAGCACATCTAGCCGCTGCAGCAGTTCAGTGCCTAGCCACAGCAGCATGTCAGCATCTAGCCGCAGCAGCAGTTCGGCACCTAGCCACAGCAGCATGTCAGCACCTAATACTGTTTACATTGGTAGGGACCGCCTTAGTCGTAGGTCGGGGCCATCGCTTCCTCATCCTAAATTTTGCACAGCGTATTAAGTAATCCATAGGTCCTTTATATACCACAGTCCTTGTAATTAATATATTTACTTAGGAACAAAACATGGAGCGTAAAACGGAGAAGAGGAGGGGGTCTGTTGCCTGGGCATGATGGGCTACTGTGAGTTAAGTTTAAGCGCAGTACTAAATCTAGTACGGTGCTTCACGCTCGGGTGGCTACGAAGGCGATTGAGTTTTAACAGGAGGACTCTGAAGAAATGTCTTCCTACAAATATAGCGGTGGTCACATCAAAAATCGGGGCAAAGCAAAACAAACCATGATGGATGATTCAATTGACGAACTATGCAGAGCATTTGCTCAACTATCGTTGCACGAAAAGCCGGTCCGTGATGTTCCGCAGGATCGTAACAGCATGATTGCCTCAAGGCGGAAGCTGTTCCAGGCTATCCTAAGCCTGACGGATCCTAATGACTCTTCAAATCATTTTTCGCATCACGCGGCTCAATTTGACTCCGAAGGAGACACAGCTATGGGAAATCCCGCCACAGGCATGTTGTTTTGCTTCTGAATTTGTAACTAAGCTAATTTCCGCAGCGGAGAATAACACCCAAGTTGTCCCAACCGTGTTGGTTCAGCCTCCTCTCTTGGTCACATCAAGACCGAGAGCAAAACTGAAGTCGGGTAACGGGCATAAACAAAAGGACGGGAAGCAAAGTAAGACGAAGTCACAGGCTCGGGTTCCTAGTCTCAGCCGAAAATTTATTATCGAAGATCCAATCCAGTATTTTATCCAAAATTGGGAAGCCACGTGGGTTGCTTGGACTTCGTTACGGCAGCTGATGGCTCTGCCACCCCGCATTCCAGTCATTGAGCTCGACTTGGAATCAAGGGTTGTAGCTCTACATCGCGTTGTGTCTGGGAAAGATGCGAATTTACCTCCGAGGTTTGGCCATGTCCAACTGGTGCTCTTTTTGGACGCACTTGAAAGACGAATCCGGCAAGACCGTCTGAATAACCTAATCGTGGCCAAACACCGTAGACGATATGAAACCCAAGCCATCGACATGTTCCTTAGCTCCCTAGACAGAGCCTTGAATACCAGAACTCCAAGAAGCCGTATTTGGACTCTTAAGCGCTTTGGTGAAAAATGGAATGACATAGTTGGGTCGTGGGTCCTGCTGCTATTGATCTTTTCAAGAACTGCAGAGAGTTCTGTGTAAGATTTACGAAAACTGTCGCAAGGCATCGACTAATGAGATAAATAGGAAGGACTCCCGGAAGATAGACAATTCGACTTTCAAAGCGCTGGCTGATGATACTCGCAAACATTTGCCGAAGAAGTTGGTGGATGTTTGTATAGTACTGTCCAAAGTCACGGAAACCATACCTTGGAAACCAGTCAACCATAAGATTGCCAATCGTATGGGGGTGGAAATAAAAAGATATCTCTTGGGCTAGAGAATAGGATATTACTTTTACAAATTTAGTTGGTTTCCCGTAATAAATATTGCCTAGTAATATCGCCTCGAGCCAAACTACATCGCTTCAACTTTGCCCGTGCGCAGTAGAGGTAATGCATGACTCTTCCGATCACCTTGTACGCTCCGACTATTGTTCCGACATGGGCCGTGTCCCTCCGCGGGGTGGCTCATGCAGTCGGCCCATTCTGCGACCTACTCAATGCAGCCTGCGGCTGGGTCGTAACAACAAGCCTGGCTGGCGTACTAATGATGTGCACATTCAACTGCCTAGCTATAGCAGGACTCTACTGGCAGCAACGGCTCTGTGGCCTCCTCGGTGGACAAGGCAACTGGGCACGCTGCTTAAAATACCTGCAACCAGGCTGAGCACCTTGTGTATTAGGGCAATGGGGCAGGCGAAGTTACCACCAACTTAGGAGCAATGCTACCAGCAGCAGTAACACCAATACCATTGGTGCCAGGGCTGCCAGTAACAGCTTGGGCCAGTTGACCAGTAACCTTGGTGGCTCAGGTGCTGGTATGACGCCGCTACCAGCAGGCCAGTGGCGCAAGTTGCTAGTATTCTCTGCCTACCAGTATCCCGGACAGGCAGGTTGATGGTAACTGCGGTGTACCAGTAGCGAGTGTAGTAGGGCTGCTGGTAGTGGCCGGCTACTGCCAGTGCTTACGTGCAACGTGCTGGTAGCGGCCTGTAGACGCTCCTGAGCTACCGGCAGCTGTGTTGCCAAGCTACTAGCAACTAGTGGAGTCTGCAGTTCACCGTCCTTGAGGTACTGGTAATTTGGCGGCGTACGTGCCTGGCCCCACCGGAATTAACTGGTGTGGTTACCAGTCACTTCGAGATGCGCCACAGCGGTTACTGGCATCCTTCCATTGTGCATTGGTAGGTTACCAGTCACGACATTTAGGCAAGCTACCAGCATAAATGGCTACCTGTAACAGCCATGTAGTACTTGCTGGTAGCGCTTAAGTGCTGGTAACAAGGCCATAGCGACTACTGGTACCTCTCGACTACCAGCAGTAGCACGTCAGCGGTTACCAGCACACTAGGATACCAGCAGTCAAAGCTGGTTGGTTACTGGCACCTATTGGGGGGGAAGTTGTAAGTGCTAGTAGCCCATGTCGCAAGTTAGTGGTAACCTTGGCCCCCCTAGATGTCCGATTAGCGGTTGGTGGTAGCTCTGGGCGCCTTGTTGCTGGTACCTGCAGTAGCTACATGATTGGGTCAAACGCACTAGGAACAATGAAGTAGTCGCTACCAGTATTTTAAGCACGCCTGCGATAAACCACGGCACTGCCCTGCAGCTGGGAGCTCATAGCCATCAGTTGCTCTCTCACATTCGCCTCGGAATATATCAGCCACTACCATAAAATGTATCAAAGATCGTTCAATTAAATGAAAGGACGTTTCAGAAACACTAAAGCATGCGCATTCAGACTATCGACTGACACCAATGCACTATAAGCTAACAAGCGAAACTGCCTAACGCGGCAGATATTACTTGATTACCTGGATACAACAAGGTAAGTATCGTGTGCTATTTCAATGAGAGGATTTGTGGCAGAAGTGGGTAACCACCGAACCGAAGCTTCAAAACTGAGGGCCATTTCTTTCGTTTGCTTCCATCCTTTCCATCAACTGCGGACTCAGAAACTCATCGTATACCCACGTATCCTCTCTAGACGGCCGACCACGCCAACGTAAAAGGTGTTGGCGTCTTCCAGCTCTCTGGCGGGCTTTCAAAACGTCCACGCCCGCGTCAAAGCCTCGCCAACTTGCCTCAAAGCTATTCAGCATTCCCTCGTCCATGATGTGTTTTCTCGGCTCCCACGTCGTGGTGGCATCAGACCATTTCACCAGGAAAGTGTGTCGCCTCCACCGAGCAAGCAGGCAATCCACTCGGTAAACGTCGCGGCAGACACTTGGGTATTTCACCTTTCCGGCTTTAGGTCTCCGATCCTCGAGTTTGTTTGGTGTCTGGTGACCTTTTGGGGCTGGATCGTTCTGGGCAACCAGCGTATTCCACAAAATGTCACTGGTAAAGTGTAGCTGGAACATCGCAGTGCCATTCTCTCTGGTGCACCTTAGGACCGGCTGGCCAAGTGGCCATGCCTCGTGGCTGGCAACACCGGAACGAACAGGCCGTTTTTTGTTTGCAACAGACTCGTTGTCGTTGCTTTTTGTCGTGCTCCTCAGCAAGCGTGTCTCTCGATTTCGCGTTATGTCCGAACGTCGGTCCGAACGTTGCTGTGAATTACGCTTCTTGGGCTGACGGAACACAAGCCTGCGACGCTTGCGTTGTGGCATAAGCTTTTCGTTAATCCCGCCGTCCTGTTGTTCCGCGGTGAGTTGCCTTTTGGGCGGGAGACGGCGAAGGTTGTAAGGTTTTCCGGAACCACGACGACTAGTTGGCCGCTTTTCCGTTTCTTCGCAGGGTTCATCCGGCTGGCTCTCTGTGCCGCCTGCATCGATGCTTGTCTGGCGCTCGTCGTCCCGTCCCTGGCCAGTTGGCGACGAGCTAGGGCAAGAACCCAGGGGCGAAATATCATCAGGGGCTTGGTGTTTCCGAATGGCCTCCATCACAGCTCCTCGATGCGAGACTGGGTGGCTGCATCCCGACGGAGGTGTTTTGACTGAGGCGGGTCGAGCTACACTGGGCAGTTCGTTGTCGCTTCGCGGAACTACTTCACCCATACGGCCATGGCCAATATTGATGCTATGAGCTTGGACGAACCGGTTTGAAAACAGGGCACTGCAATTCTGCGATTGAGAAGGCTGGACGAGGCTGGTCGCCGATCGGCTGGGAGGATCTGTTTTCTCATGGTGCAGTGCTTCATCCCTCGGAGGCAACGCAGTTGTGGACTGCACTGAACAACACTCGGAGGCCGCTGAGACGACACAAGGTCTTCGGATAGGAGTGGGCCACACCACGCTTGCTCCATCATCATGTTGTTGTATTGGCGGAGACACCAACATGTTAGAGTCGGCGGTGACCCCCGGACTCTCGAGAGCCATTGAGGGGGAAATCACCTCTCTCGAAGAGTTTGAGGTTAATGAATTGGGACTTTCCCACTCATCTGGTAAGCAAAGATCCTCAGATGAGCTCCCTAGGATCTTGTTAGGCATTGCCGGACATTGGAATTTGGTTTGCAATTGCTTACCGATTGCTTCTGTTGGATCATGTCTGACATTAATCAGTGACGCCATAATCTCAGAGATAGAAGGAAGCGAGTCGTCACGGTGTTGATTGTGTACCAAGTGCACGCGCGGGACATCTTGTTCCACCACCTCGACATCACTATCTGTGTCAGATTCGGAATCGGACGGGATCGATATCACATCCTCCAAAGTCCACGGATGACCTAGAAAGGAACAGACTCCCGCAGTTTGTGCCATCATGCCGGTATAGTGTAAAAGAGGGCTTCTAGAGAGTCTGCTAAGGTTGAAGCTATGGAGGTGAAAGCACACGACCTCGGTCAGTCCGTCCGTGTGACTAACATCGAGGTAAGGGGGCCCGACCTACCTCCTGGCAAACTTACAGGAATCCAAGGTATGGCCACCAGCGCCACTTACAAGTCGAGGACGGCGAATTTGTGAGGGACGATGAAAAAAGGTCAAAAAATTTCATGCAGCATCGTAGGGGGCGGACCCCTTTATATACCCGTTCGTACTCGACATCACGTACTTCGTAGCTCTGCCACCAAGGGCTCGTCATGCCTCCAAATCTCCGCTCATGCGGCCATGCGGCCTGTGAGATAAGTTTATGGTACTCCTCATTGGCAACATCATCCTCGCTTATGTTCCTTGCTTATCAGCCACACAGCGTGAATCTCGTGTCCCAGACCATGTTGTCGAGAGGAAATACTAGTATATATATTCAACTAAATGAGTGGATGCTAGAAGATTTCTAACAAAACAAAGTCATAGGAAATGAGATGTCGCGATTCAATAGATAGTGCCCTTATACTGATGACGGACACCACAACTCTCCTTATACATTGTCCGTTTGGTCCGGATTCTCTGTCTCTATTTCCACTTTTACCCAACCAGACTCATCAGCACGCTCCGAGTCAGTCACGCTCGATGCCCTTACGGAATCATTGGGTTGGGGTTCCATTTCGACCCTGAAGTTGTGACCATCTTGAGTAGCATCGACTTCATCGAGAACTTGCGTGTCTGAAGTAGCATGTGTAAAAACATACACAGAATAGATTTGGAGTCCAGGAACACCGGTACTTGTTGCAAGTTCTCTAGCCTTATCGGGATCGTCGGGGTAACAGTCAGTCCAAGGAATCACCGATACATCCCGCAGCGCAAATGAAGACTCCGGCCGTTCAGAGGCGCTAGGAACCTTGTGAGAGCAGGGGGAGTCGATGTCAGTGTTCCCAGTTGCTACAGTATCTTCGGTCTCTGCAAGAGGCAGAGTGTGGGATTCTGCTACCGTGGGAGCACCAACAGCACTCAATGGAGGTGGTAAGGAACCGGGAACTTCGACGGTTGCTGAGCTGACATGTCCAGTGTCCGATTGGAGTTTCTTTGTTGCTGCTGTCCCCTCTACTTCTTCAACAGAGACATAGTTGGTGATAGGAGGAAGACGATCATTAATGTCTATGCCCTCGCCAACACCCCAATTCAGCAGATCTTCCTCTATCCAGCTCTCAAGGACAGAACTTGCGGGCACGTCCTTGCTAATGTCCCAAATTCCCACTGGACATGTGGATGTGTTAGAGTACGGCCCACTGCTCTGTCCAGGAATCGAGTCTCCTCGATCGGTGCTGGCATTGGTATGAGGATTTTGGACCTGTTCATTGCCAATATGAAGGTTATGAATATAAGAAGCCAAATCGACTGGGGTTTTCTGCGGGCCGTCGGGTGCGAATACTTGACCATGCCCATCGAGGGGGGTCGAAGTGTCTCTGTTCCCGGGTCAGCATGACGAAGCGAGGTGTCCAACGAGGGCGCGGGCCTCTTACTTTCCGGATGAATCATGTTCGCGATTTAGCTGTCTTTTCCCTTCAATCCACAAACCGCCAACATACTTATCCGAGATAGGTGTGGCAGGGCGAGTTTGGGGAGAGGTTGACTTCTGACTGGAACCGGATTGAGGCATCCTGATACTAAATGGAAAGTTTTATATAGACTAAGTCAAAAGTCGAGATGTAATTTTTGCGGTGCTGTCTTTCTTTGTCTTGAGAATACCAGCAGGACTAACTTGTAGAGAAACGTGCTTTTTATAGATGCCCAAGCTGTTTGTCATACATCAACAGTCCACGTCACAAGTAATGGTGGAATAAACAACTTCCCCTGATCCATTCTATCATATTATCAACAGCATATCAACAGAAAAGTGACCGGATATGCAGGTTAAGAATGGTTTATGCAAGCCACATTTGGCGTTAGTTGCCAAAATTGAAGTTGAACTCCAGCAGCACACGGCCAGAAGCGGTACTGAGCCGTGGGGAACAGACCATGGAGACAACAAAGGAGGCAAATCGCACGGTAATTTGCGGGGTAAGACCTTGTGAGTCAGCCACAAATCTTGCGCGCCTCCATACCTACCTCCACAACTACCTCATGATGTGACTCTCTTTCCTTCTCCAAACTTACTTTGACACGGTCCCCATCGCTCTGCCTCAATGCCTTTTCGTACGCGAACTCGCAAAGTACTGCAATGCAATGATGCATGGCTTAAAATAGTGGACGCTGCGGACAATTTGAGAGTCGTAAGGGCATTAACAGATAGCAACAAATTACGAGTCGCCGAGGCAATCACCATATTGAAAGGAATCCAAGCATCAGCAAAACGAAGGAAATACCAGGTTTTCCTCTATGATGTGCTTCGCAAAGGTGGCCCCTGTGCGGTTCTTTTATCCGCCATCGCTCTCGGACAAAACAATGTAGCCAGCATGAACAAATCTCAGCGTAGTTCCCTGGCGGAGAAATTAGGAAGACAAAGAGGAGAGACATCGCTCAACGACATCACTCTTCAGCTTCTTGCTGCACAACACCATATACCCGACACTGTTGATGGTACGTAATGATGCCCAAACTCTGTTGGCTTTGCTAACTCGTCAGACTTACAAGCTGTCATTCATGATGAACTGCAGCAACCACGTCAAGGGAGCAATCGTCTTGCTGATCGACGACGTAGAGGCAAACCATACAATTCGGAGATGAGACATTCTTATGAGAAGACTGCACCTTCCATAGAAAAGTGTGACAAAAATGGGTCAAACACGACGACTTTCGTGAGTAGAGAGCTTATATCAACAGAATCGACTAGCGAACAGGATTACGATCTGCAGACTTCGGAAGGGCGAGGCGTGCAACAGATACCTATTATGGAAGGTAGTATAACCTCAGGGGCCACCCTCCCACTCACAATTGAAGCTGTGAATGTCATTCTTTCACACATGAAAGATGGTCGGGGAGGAGGATTAACAATTTCATTTCCACCACCGCAACTCCGTCTCCCTTTCATAACTTTACCTCATGATATATGTGCAGATATCATTAGAAGAATAAATACAGACGAACCATTGTAATATTTCCTGCAGTCATTCTATGTATTTTACCTTTGCCTTCTCCATTATCCAACAGTAGTGTTGTGATTCTAAAATAATCATTACCGCCCCCTCTGATGCGTTGTATTGGACGAGAGGCCGATGGTCTGTTTCGCTAAAAATCCTGAAAACAGCAACATAGCCTTTCCTACCGCGTTTCATCACAACCGCCGTGGTACTCTCGAGCGGTCCTCGAATGGTTACGGTATGGGGACCTGTCCAAGCGCCCACGATACCCTCTTGCTGCGTCTTGCATGCAGTTAGCACGAACAGATATAACCGAATTAAGAATCATTCTTGGCTTACGGTGTGAAAATATATTTCTTTCAACCTCTCGTTGTTCTGTGCCTCCTCGTCGTTGATGGGGATGGCTACAACAGCGTCGCTCATGCTGTTCCAGAGAAGTTACTGACTCTTTCACGACCGGCCCCCGCGGCCTATGACTCTAGTCCGACCTGAGTATGTCCAAAAGCCGACCGAATACCCTGCCGAATGTGGTTGTGTAAAGAGCTTGGGCAAGGGCGTGGATCAGCCGCTTTAGGGAGCAAACGGAAAGAGAGGCCCTTTCAATAAATGTTAGCGGAAAGGCTGCTGCGCATTTCGTCGATGTTCACTTACTTGATTCTTCGTCCGCCACGTGCCCTTAAAATTTGCTGGTCTCGTCTGGCGGGGGAGTTGAGGGGTATGGTTACGTCTGGCGGGGAAATATGGCTCTGCGGAAGCGACAACGCCGAAGATTCATTGTAAGAACGGACATGTGTACAAGTATGAGGGCTTTGTTATAGTGAGGCTGCAAGCATCCTGGCTTTGACAATGTCCTTAAGAGATGATAGGTCAAGCGTTCAGAAATTACCCAGCCAGTCAGTCCAGAACTAAGGAGGAGAATATGGTCGCTTTGTTCTTCAGCCTGGTGCGGATAATAAAATATTCCGTTGTCCGCGCTCACCATTCCGTAGCCTTATTAATATGCGGAACACATAACTGTCAGCCACTTATCCAAGACAGAGCTGGGCCATGGGGACACGGTAGGGCCACGGGACCTGTGGCTATAATTTGCCACGGACCCGTGGGCAAAACTGGGTCTTCTGAAGACTTGGCCAATAGAAGTCTTCATTTATCAATACCATATGGTAATCGCCGTGCTCTCCTGGACGCCAGTAGCATTCTGTTGGGGATGGTCTCCCGGAGCCTCGTCTCGGTGCTCTTTAATAGTAAGGTCAAGGTCGATCAAGAATGCTCGCCAGGAAGGGTTCACTTTATCTTCATCTACCATGAGATTGTCGATGGAATTGTCTCTATGAAGGAAGCCAGCTTTGCGTAAGGATTCGTGACCGTCAACTCTCGAGCGCATCAAGTAGGGCCGTGCGGGAGCTGTTCGACTGTGTGGTAATTTTGCCTGCTCAGGCACTTGGATGGGACACTTGACTTTGGCGGATAACAGTGGGGTTGGCTGTTTAGTGTTGAGCGAACCATAACAAGGCCTCGAGGCCGGCCGCGATTCACCCAATTGACCAACCTGCCAAATAAACACACGCCGCTAGTTTCGTCGCAATTGAAAACCAGAAACTCTTGTACTATTCACCGCCGCCTTTCTTGAAATCACAATGGACGAAATCGAAGAGTTGCGCCGTTTGCTTCGGGAGGAACAACGTCGACGGGAAGAAGTCGAAGAATTGGCAAAAGCCTCGTTGCCACTGGACCTCCAGCAGTATCTTGGGGCTTGCCATTCGCTTGATCTCGCTATTGACGTCGTAACAGACCGATCTTTGACTACGCAAGGAGAAACCACGAATCCGACCGGTCGCATCTTTCCTAGACGAATCATCCCTTGGGACAGCTTCGCAATGAGACAAGAAGAAATCTGGAACGATCTCTCTATCAGCGACTTGCTCCCCAAGCCCTCATTTCCATCTTACCATCAGATGGAATACGTCAAGTCATTGCTCAAGCCTATTAGCAGTGAACTTGGGCTCCGGGACTTCGAGCGCGATGTAGTAGAAAACGCGGTTCAGAAGTTGGTCGACCGAGCACACACAGATCCATCGCTACAAAATAGTCTCGGTCTCCAGGGGACAGTGACGTTCGAGAGCCATACAAATCTAGGCACGACTGACGACGCCATATCTGCGCCCATGGAGCACATGTCGCTGGGCAGAGATGGCGCCGATGCTGCAGTGCAGGTGCCTGCCCCGAAACCGCCGCCAGCTCCCAAGGCCCGTCGCAGAGCGAGAGGCAAGGGAAATCGGGCAGACCAGTTCTGCATATACAGAACTTCAGACGGCCAAAATTGCCCAGCTGTCGCTATCGAGTACAAGGCACCGCACAAGCTAAGTCTTGATGAGATTACCACTGGGCTTGGGGCGGAAATTCAGCCAGAACGTGATGTGATTAACAAGACTGACCACGGCTTTGCTTTCACGGCCAGACGCCTCGCCGCCGCCGTCATTACTCAGCTCTTCTCTTACATGATCGGCAAAGGCATTCAGTACGGCTATGTATGCACTGGACAGGCATTCATCTTCCTCCACATTCCAGACGATCCTACCAAAGTCTACTTCTCTGTATGCGTGCCAAATTTAGACGTAATGGACGATGATGAGACTAGGCTCCATCGCACGGCTGTCGCGCAGGTTTTTGCCTTCATTCTCCAGTCTCTCCGCGCCAGACCACCGCCTGAGACGTGGCATGATGAGGCTGAGACGCTTGGTATCTGGGCTGTCGAGTACGACGATATTCTGAGAGATATCCCGCCGTCGGAGCGCAAACGCAAGGAACCACGTGCCTCCCCTTATAAGCCACAGCGTTGGAAGGGATTTCAGAGATCGCCAATTCGCACTCGCTCCAGCTGCCAGCAACCGAACACAAGCGCTGGACGACTAGAGGACGATGACGAAGATCCTCCTTCTCCTACGCCGAATCCATCTCGCAGGGGTGAGAAAGCGTTCTCTTCAGTGGACACGAGCTTGAGTAATAGGAACCAAGGACGGCGCAGAGGCCAACAGAAAGTGTCAGATCCAGGGAAGAAGCCGGATATACAAAGCCGGCCATTTTGTACTCAACGTTGTCTCCTGGGATTAGCGTATGGAGGACCTATGGACAAAAACTGCCCCAACGCAGGCTATCACGGGCAAAAGCGCATTAGTCGACTAGAGTTTCTGCAGCTCATCCGACACCAGCTTGCTGTAGACCGCGGACGGGATGCGGATTGCGTGCCACTCCATAGATCTGGTTCTCGTGGGTCACTCTTCAAGGTGCGGCTGACATCTCACGGCTATACACTAGTTGCCAAGGGCGTGGAGGGCCTAGACCTTGCCTGCCTGCAACACGAGAACGATATATATGACCGACTCCAGCCCATCCAAGGGAAGTATGTCCCGGTATGCCTCGGCACAATTGGCCTGGTTCGACCATATTATTATGACAGCGGGGTCTATATGCACTTCATGTTCCTCAGCTGGGCTGGACAGCCGATCTTTGACTGTGTTGACCGGGCCATGAAAGCGGGCATCGGCAGTGCAGTTTCCATGGCGTTCAAGGCAATACACAATCTGCGTGTTCTCCATCATGACGCAGAGCCTCGCAACATTTTATATAATACAACACGTCGTGGGTTGATGGTTGTGGATTTCGAGCGCGCGGAGTTCCACGGTCGCCAGCCTTTGGCCTCAATTGGGCCTAATGAGAACCGGAAGAGGAAGCGTCGGATATCACAGAAACTAAAGAAGGATGACTTTGTGAGAGAGCTGGAGTATGCTGTGGCAAGAGTATCGAGTTGTATCGCAAACTTGCCAAGCCCTGCAGCTCTAATCGTAGATGAGACTCTGCACGATGTAACTACTTGACTTGAAGACATTAGGTGTTATACTAAATAAGCTGAACCAGTGTGCGGATTGGTTGTGGCTCATCTATCTTCCATTCGGATACACATAACCATATACGCGGCGAAGAGCCAAAGAGCTATCTGTTGTAGATGAGCAAAAAGCCGTTCGGCCCATGGAAGGAGATCACCACTGCCAATCCCCAGGGCATCGTTTCTTCGCCTAAATAACACGATGGAAGGTTTTCAAACTTGTATCCGTTGCTGGTGCTGCAAAGGTCGACAGGATAAGCTCGTACACTCGCTGCCTGGACACAGCCACCGCTACCATAAATGGAAACGTAACATGTATGTTAGTCAGTTGATTCTTGGTGACAGGGTCTCCCATGATTTGATTTACCATTTATGCAACAATACCCTGCCGCTTTTGGCCAAGTGCCTACTTTGACCACGCAGATTGTGGCAATATCCACAATCTCCAGCTGAGACCCTGCTGGATATATAAATCAGCAGACTTCAGAGCAGAACCTAAAACTGCATCCCCAAAGAACTCGACACTCCATCCCAGTCCGTCTCCCATCTGGGTCAAGACTTTAAGAGTCATGTTCCCTCTAAATCAGTTGAACCCTCACAATCTTATCGTCGATCAGGGTAGTGGTGACCTTGATCACGGTGTCCAGTCACCCAGTGATATCCGCGAGTCTCTTATCAAAGCTCTTCTTCTGGTCCCTCTCGAGCCTGATAGCGTGACACGTATTCAACTAGGTGACTGTTTTCGTCGCTCCCTTCAGTCAAAACGATCAGCTTCCCCCTACAGACTCCATACCATTATTAGCGAGTGTAAGGCAGGAACGATTGACAGAACATCCTTGGAGGCTAAATTTTTCCAACACGGAGGGGCAAAGGCGGTGACTTGTCTAGCTGCGGCCGCGACAGACAACAAACAAATCATTCCGTTATTGACAAGTCTCTCAGATGGTCAATTGCAATGCTTTATTTCCTCAATCGAACTGATTACACCCCATCGAGACTTGCTCTTCATCGCCGAGACGCTTGACAGAAAAAAGCCCCCAAGACCAGCAAAACGCAAAGCAATCCCTAGTGTACGAACTCGCCGCAAAATTCAGCAGATCGGATGTCCAGAGTCGAGCCGAACAACGGTGGTCAAATCTGCGATTGGTAAACAGCCGTGCTCAGTGATCAACCCTGACAAGCAAGCGCACAACAAAATTAGTCCACGCGCAATGGCCGGTCAATGCACAAAAAATAACTCAGAAGAGGAGTTCAGATGGAGCCAAGTTGAGTATCAAGCTCCGCAAGGGCTTGATCTTGCTGGCTCTGTGGTTCAAGGTCAGTATGACTTCGCCTGTTTGACGGGCCCTAGTACAATAGCATCAATGCATGTACCAGATTTCAGTGCGTCGGAAGTCTCGAATGAAGCGCATGTTCCTGTGAGCCAACATCGGCAGACACATCCCCAGGTCTGGGAGGATCAGAATGGCCCATTGCACTCGACAAATATGTTGGCTGCTACTGAAGACACCTGTGACCGCCTCAACCAGTATCTTCACAAAACCGGTACGCCCGAGGAACAAAGTATGTGTCACAATCCGACTAAAGATCGTGGTGCTGACGTGCGACAGTTGCAAAGGGTTTTATGAGCCTTGAAGAAGTATCAGCGGCTGCGTCTTACATCGATGAGAACAGGTTTGAACATTACGGTGTTGATATGGATGATTTTAACATTTTGTGAAGGTCACAAATAGGAAGAGTGTGCCTTCTAAACTCATTGAGATATCAGGAGGCTCTGAGATACATATAATATCGCCAACTAGCAGCGGCTCGCTATTTATTGTGGGGGGTATTGACAAATCATGGTAAATTCCAACAAGTTCGCCAGGAAATTTGTCAAGAATTGTGGGTTTCAGTTGTATTTCACACGGTCCGCGAACTTTCAGCAGAAAGGCAACTCTTCCTTTGACCTATAAACTTAGTTGAAAGGTAGTGGTTGGTAGGATCTTCGAACTTACTATTAGGTCTCCATTCGATACTAACATTTTGATCTGACTCATCCGGTCTGGGTGATTGCACTGTTGCGCAATGGTTTCCTGGTGATACGGTCGCCAAAATTCGGAATCTTGGATTCCACGCAGCCAGCTCGCAAGAACTTCCGTCCGTTCCTGAAACGTTCTTCCGAGGGTCCTTCCGGCCATGATTACACAACGCGCTCACACCAACAGTGCGTGAAATTTGCAAACCAATTGCCAATTTCTAGAGTGGGAAGACAAATCTTCCAATTTGGACACCGCGGCACGACACAGAGCGGGGTAGTGCTCGGGCCGGTTCATCAGCCGATATTCGCAGCGGTCCGGGCCGACCAAATTTATGCCGAAACCGCCAAGATACACTTGGCTTATCCTGTCGGTTAGTGTTGCATGCGAAGCCGGAAATAAATGGTACAAGGACATATATTGAAATTGATTTTGAGAAATAACAACTGACACTTCATTCCAGGGCGTTGGGAGATATAACGCGGGCAATTAAACTCATCCTCGTATTCTGCCGTGGTTGCAGATGAATATGGTGGCTAACGCCCACTGAACAACCAATGAGCGGGCTTCCAATCTCCAAAACATTCGAACAAGGGGTGATTGGTGCAACAGGTCCGCCATCGCCTGGACTGATGAGATCTTCGAGCTGCATGGAGAAAAGCAATACTGGCCATCTCGGGCAACTTGTTTGCTCATCTGATCTGACCTTCATGGATTCATGGCGGCAAGCCGATGATACGAGGCGCCCAGCCTCGTCTCACGTTCAGGAGATGGCGACTTCATGTCCAGCCCGGCGGCCTATTATTTATCAGCTTCACCCCCTTGCTACATGACGCGGGGCAGAACCTTGCCGATGTGTTGTGAGCGAATTTCTCAGCTGCCAGCTCCAGTCAGGTACAGAAGCAAGCGCTTGTGCGTCGCAGTGCTGCGTGTCGCTCAACCAATCGTTCCCTGGCGCTTACTTGACTTTACCTGCACCAATTGCTCACTGCCTTGCCGTGAAGAACCTGGGTATTTCAAACATGCACAAAGGAGTGAATACGGCGTTGGGGTTTCCTCCAATCACACTCAAGAACTAAACAGGAAAAAAAACTGGATTTCATACTCTGCATTCGAGCGAGCATGTGCAGTCAGCTGCAACACTCATAAATAGCTGCTGTCTGGGGATGACTGCATGCCTCTCTACCTCTATTTTAGAGAAGATATCGCTAGCCGGTATTGAGACGCAAAAACGGTCCACAAAGTGTACACGTCAGAGTCAGGTCTTGGACTAGCTTTTTCAGCAGTGTGAACATGTTCTCAGGCGGCAACTACACTTTCCGAAATGCCAGCAGCAACACCACGGTGGGATGGGTTGGTTCAAGCGATCATCGTGGTACTCTTGATATCCTGTACTCCAGCGGCGCCACCATTCTCTTATGTGTCTGGATTTCTACGTATCCAAATATTCCGGCCCCGAGAGATCGTCTGTATCACAGGCTGATTGATAAGTTCAACTTGGCCATGATCGGTTTCCTAGGCCCCGATTTACTTTTTGCGCTTGCATTGGGTCAGTGGAGTAGCGCAAGAAGAAGTGTTGAGGTTCGTATGAGTCCGAGTCTAATTTTAAGCCCCGTCCAGCAAACAACGACCAATCGCTGACTCCCCTCGTTTTCTTTTTTAGGAATTCAGAAGAGTTGTTCCGAACGACAAGGACAGGAGCTGGTCCATCACGCACGGTTTTTATGCTGATATGGGAGGATTTCGAATCGTCTCCAATCGGGAGGAGGATGGCATTCCTACCGAGGACGGCATCCCCGTGAATGCGAAACAGCTTCTATACCTGATCGAGCATGAATATATTGACATACCATCATTAAAAGAGAAGGAAATCAAGGCAATGAGTGCCAGTGACACATTCTCCAAGTAAAAAATCCGTCAAGTCCCAAATCCTTCCGCTCAGAGACTTGCTAACCAGGATCAACTTACTACAGAGTGCTCGTCTTGTGGCAAGTCTGCTGGTTTACCGTGACAGAAGTAATGCGATTCGGATACCACGCACCAATTACAACCCTCGAACTAACAGCATTCATTTTTGCCGTCATGATGTTGGCAACATCTTTTGCCTGGTTTCAAAAACCGCAAATTACCAGGTCAACTTGCATCAAACTCCGAAATGGTTTATCTTTCCAGGACATTCGAGACACAGCAAGGACCTCGGTAAGGCTACGCTTCACGTTTTTCCCCTTCCCATTTTCTTAGTCTTATTGACCGGATGACTTAGACCCACCCTAATATGCAGGATAGATGGTACGAAACTCCTTTGGATTTCATTTGGAAAAGAGGCTCGTTTCAACTTGACAAGCAGTGGCAGTACTTCAGCTACCTTAGCCATTTGTGTCGTGTTCCCCTCTTCACGCGTTTGCCAAGTGGAAAGAACAAAGCGTGGGAGCGAATGCCGTCGGATATTTGGTATCGCCCGCGAGGATTCTTGGTTCCCCTAGGGCTTGTCGTACAAGTTCCGTTTTGTTTGTCGTTTCTCGGCGCATGGAAGTTCCATTTCGCAACTAGGGCAGAGCAGGTTCTGTGGCGTACTTCTGCTGTCTATCATGCCGCATACTCCCTTGTGATTACAATTTATTACATTCTAGGGCTGGGGGAGCAAAAGCACACTGACAATGTCATGGCATTACCAGCACAGATCAATCAAAACTACCATCAGCCGCCACCGGCGGAAAGTCAATTATGTGTCATAGTACCGAGCAAAACGAACATTTCTATTCTTGCGTCACCGACGCAAGTGGTTTCATCGCGGTGCTTGGATACCGAACAAGGCCTGATTTCTCAAAAGATTAGTCTCAATCAGAAGCAGCTACCTGTGGCGCGGTATTGGAGAAATTTATCTCCCGGTGGGGATCCCGACCAAGAAATATCTCTACGTTGGACAACATTGCTGTTTATTCTCACCGTCATCTACATCTTCTCACATTTATACATCTATCTAGAAGACCTCATCTCCTTGAGATCTCAGCCGGCAGAAGTTTTCCTTGCGAACAATCAGTTCTTTCCTCTTATAAGCTGATGTCAGGTGCGCGCTAGCTTGTGCGAGACTCGTTCACAGCATGGACGTCGGTAATATCATTGGTTTTAGCGTGTTGGCATAGCGAGCAAACTGTCCTATTATTTTATAGTTTTCGTCCTTTGTCACATAGTACAACTGTTTGAGACAGTTTAGGCAAATGAGACTCTTGATTTCTACACAAAGAATAAAACCATACGACAACTAGATGCCTGTTATTATACTGCTGCCTGGTCTGTGGCCTTGAAAGAGACTTGACCTTGTCATCCTTCTAGCATCTCAAATTTGAATCCGTTATCTGGCTATGGGTTGCCAATTTTCTGAGGTCCAAGAGAATTTGGTATATGTGAGGAAACGAGGCCTACTTTAGGACGGACATAGATTGAGTCGAACTTCCCTGGAACCTCATTCTCCTTGTGAACAAATTGCTTTATAAGTCAACACTTGACCTTGCTCGTGCCCTTGTACCGTCACAGTATAAACACCGCGCGTGGTTCAATTCAACTTAAGAATGATCAGTGTCTCGTTATTTTCTGCAAGAGCTAATATTTCAGTGACATCCAACGACAAATAGCCGCCGCTGCACCCCGAACCGCCTGTCAAACGATATTCCGCCCCAGTGGAGGAAGCGTCCTGACCCACTTGGACACTGTTGTGTATATAACTGGGACCTTCGTCCTCTTGACTTGAGTAGTGACCAAGGCAAATAGACTCTCAATAATCCTCACATGCTTGACATCAATCCCTATATTTCAACACTGCCAACCATTGTTTAACGCGAGGGGACGAGATTGCAAAGTTGGTAGGATGAGAAACAACCAGCCAACCAGAGCTCTCAGCTACGCGCTGTGGATAGCAGGCTTGTCCAAACAGTGAGTCGGACCCGATGCTTTGCGGGGTTGCGATCCAGTATGAGCTGCATTGTGTGTACCGCAGTCAGAACCTGCGATTTTTGGCTGGGTATTGAAATGACCAGGTTTTCCCATATCACGCAGTCATGGTTGGTTAGTATTTATGCATGCATTAATTTGGGCAAATGGATGGTAGACAGCAGGCTCATAGGGTTCGTTGGCGAGTCTCAGCTGGTATTGAAAAAATGTCAGTACTAATGGGTGAATGGGAAATTAGACTCCTCAAGGTAGTAACATTGATGTAGGAGATGGAATGGATGCTTTCAGAGATAATTGTGTGGCATGCATGAAGGGATCTAGAGAGACTCTCGGGCAAGTGAACTGAGGGTTCTGGCATAAATATGATATGGTCCCCAAAAAAAAGGAGCAAAAAGTGCAGTTTGCCCGTGAAGTATTATACTGAACCCTTCCACCTTCTTTTTCTCCTTTTTCTTCCCCGGGGGTACCCTGGCAATTTCTAGACCACTAAGCGTAAGCAGGCTCCCATTGATTTGGCCGCCAGTCTTTGCGCCACTGCACTGCCACCTGTATGGTCCCACAACCACTGTAACCGCGCCCCTTTCCGCCCAATCTCACGTGCTGCGGTAAATTCCACACCAATCGGCATGCCCTGGGACACGACATGTTTTACCATTCAAAAACCCGAATTCTGCTGTCATGCTTCTCTACGTTGTTTTCTTCTCTGCTAAGTCCCATTTCATTCCTCTTCTCCTCCTCGTCCATCCTTTTCAAGCTTCCTAGCTCAGGTAAGCCACCGCTCACGGCCACAGTTTCCCTTTCTAGCGTCTAACTTTCGAAGTCCGAATTTTTATTTTTCAACATGCCCACTCCGTCGCAGACATCAGCAGTCGACTCGAAACCAGTAATAAATGATAATCCCGCCCTTCAGAGCCTTTACAAGTCGTTTGAGTCACGAATTGGCTATTGGCTTCTCTTGGGGAATACTCGCCACTTTGGTTACTGGGAGAAGGACACGTACTGGGTATTTCCCCTAAGTGGCCCTTTGCGGAGGATGGAGGAGAAGATGTACAGGCTCCTTGACGTTGCGCCGGGCTCGCAAGTCTTGGATGCCGGCTGTGGAGTTGGGCATGTTGCTCTCTACATGGCAAATCACGGCTTGCGTGTGACTGCCATCGATGTCCTGGATCACCATCTTGCCAAAGCGAAGCGTAATGTTGCTCGATCTGGCGATCTTGGTTCTCTCGTATCGGTCAACAAGATGGACTACCATCACCTTGAAACATTACAATCTGGGAGTTATGATGGAGTCTATACGATGGAAACTCTCGTCCATGCGACAGATCCACTAGAGGTTTTAAAGGGCTTCTACCGCATCCTCCGACCTGGAGGTCACATCGCTATGCATGAATACGACCATGACTATGAATCCGACGAAGCTATTGGGAAGACACTGGCCAAACTAATGAGGGAGGTCAGTGAGTATGGTGCCATGCCTACGTGGCAGCGCGCTAAGCGTGGGTACTACAAACAGCTGCTTGAAGAAGCTGGCTTTGTAGATGTTAAAGAGCATGACTACTCCGAAAATGTCCGTCCAATGCTGCGACTATTTTGGCTTTTGGCAGCTATTCCATACTATATCATCGTTTTCTTTCGTCTCGAAAAGTACTTTGTCAATGCAATTGGTGGTGCGCGTGGATATTATGCGCAAAAGTACTGGAGATATGTTGCCATCAGTGCTAAGAAACCCACGATTGGAGGGGACGACTCGACAAAGAGCTAATCAGAAGAAGACAAAGTTTGCAGATCTGTCAAATTGGTACGGCGGAAGTCTGCAAAAAAGGGCTTTGTGTAGGCCTGGAGCATATTGCCTGGGCCGCCGAGGATGCCCTCACGCTACCCAATCACTCGCTCCTCAACCTGGTTGAGATCGGTACAGACTATTATAATGTCTGCATCTGACACCATATTCCACCAAGTTTTTCTTATTGCTGGCTGTTTGCAAACCTCCGTTACTGTTCCTTTTTCTGAGCCGTGGCTTTATGTGCAAACCGCGTTTGAATGACGACGGCCTGTGGACGGTTCTCATCCTCACTTGTTCTAGTACATTCGGCAGGCTTTGTTGTGAATCTTATGGCATTTCTATAGTCCTTCCAAAACTCTTCAAAATCTTCTGCTTTGACCCAATTGTGTTTTCGGTCCCAGATTCCGGTTATCATAGTCAAATGCGGTTCTTCTAATCATTGGCGGGTACCCGGGGGCCTTTTGCACTACTCTAGGATATCAGCTCATGACAATATCGCGGCTGCCGCATGCCTCGGAGGCAAACCCTCCGACTCGTCGCAGAGGGTCTTCCTGACCTTTCAGGCCCTAGCAAAGACGCACCGAAAGACCGAAGTCCGCTGGATACCCGGATACACCAAGATTCCAGGAAATGAACAAGCCGACATTCTGGCGAAGACGGGATGCGCCCAACCCGAACCCGCAGACGCAGTCCCAACACTGGCCTTCCTGCAAGAGACCGCTAGACAGCAGTCCAGAATCGGGGGTGCAAGCCTGGTGGGATGCCTCTGCACCCGATAAGTATCAGAGTCTGACCGTCAAGTTCCTTTCTAGCTGTCCTCCGGAATTAGCTCTCCCACAAACAATGCTCCAACAGCTCCTAGCCACGAGGACTCATCACGGTGACTTTGCTGACTACCACGAAAGATTCCAGCACAACGACGTCTGTGTTACATGTTCTTGCGGTCGGCGCTTTGCGCCGACGCAGCTCTTCTATTACCGGAAGATTCAGCCGCTCTGTCAGATGAGACTCGCACCCTCACCGACCGTGGCGATCAACCAGGCAATAGGCAGAGATTTCGACAAAATTCGTCAAGTTGGTGAAGGCAAGCTCTTTCTTCGAGAAGATCTGCCCGCACCACTAGATGAAATCATCCATCACAGCACTGTCGTGCCCCCTCTCCTTTGTCTCTTTCTTCTCCGGCGGCAACAGGCGGAAGGTGGTCTCAGCACCTTCTGCCCGCGCACGCCTCTTCCGGCTGCCACCGCAGCCCGCACCACAGACCAATCTGGTCCAGTAGATAGCATCACCTGCACAACCCGCTGACGGGTAACAGAGTAGACTGTGAGCGCCTTTGAGCTAATGCCATGTTAGATAGTGTTTTGTTCACGTAGTTGCGTTTAGCAAATTTAGCACTAGCCTAGCACGTCCTGTGCCCCGCTATGCTTCAGTTGCTGGGAATAGGATGCTGAACACTTGGAGAAATTAGCCTTCAAGCAGAACTGCCAGTGGCATAATAGAGGCTGAGCAAATGTAAGGTTACCTGAATCGTTGGGCTCTAGGAGCTATAGCCATATGTATAGGAGTTCAGATAGGTTAGTGTAGCGGCCCTATAGGGAAAACCTTCCGGGCGTAATAAACTTAATAATAATAATAATAATAGGGGACCTGAGTGGCCCGACGCCACTGGACGGAAAATACACATAACATAACATAGGGTATCAGCTCATCGACAGCATGCCAACAACGGGACCTTCCTGCCGAAGTTGGACTACAGCGCATCAACAAAAGTTCAGGGTCTCCATAGATGAGCGACCGGCCCTCCCAGATGAGATTCTCATGACCGTAGCGGCACGGCTTAACACAAGGACGGAGACGTGCGATGCGCCGCCGTTGAAGCCTTACTTAATGGACTGCCAAAACATAGAACCTTCTATTGCTCCCTTCTCAATGGCTCTGGCGTCGCATATCTGTATAATGTTTTACTTAATCAAAGCTTCGAGGAACAGTTGGGTTGGTACAGTGAAGATGACAGCTCTTGCTTCAACATGCCAGAGGGTCATCAGAGAATTTATCAACGCGCCGACATCAAGTCCAAGATTAACAGGGCACTTTTCTTTTGCAGTCATAGACTCGTCAGATACTGCTGTGGAAGTTTGAGTCTGCTAAGGTAATCTCGTCTGGCTACAGGCTTGGACTCTGGATTTAGTTGCCATTTGGGTTGAGGCGAAGACGAATAAGCTAAAACTTGATACACGATTCAATTGAACAAGCTATAAAGCCATTTGAGAAACAGTGCGTATTCGGTGTTGAAGAAGACGTAAATACTACTGCGTTCGCTCGGTACGTATCTTGACATCAGAACGGGGAAGGCATCAGTCTATGACCGCTGAAGGCATCACGAGACTTTCCCATGAACTGGAATAGCATGATTTCTCAGATGCATCTTATGTGCGAGAGTCATGTTGCAGACTTGACACACCGGCCGTTCATTGTCTCCCAATTGCGACACATGTCTTCGACGAAAGTGTTTGCTCAAATCACCAGATGTGTGGAACTCCTGAATCTTGTCCTCCACACGAGGGTCATCTGGCCGCAATGAAAGCGCAGCGCCAACGCACAGAAAACATGTTCTTGGCCTCTGGTTGGGATACTCAATGAAAACAGACCTAGTATCTAGGAATAGAGGGCTATCTCACGAGGTTCATTACGCGAGCCCGTTGGCGGAGGCTGTAGATAACTACGGCGAATGGTCGCCCCTTTCTCGACGCAATATGCAGTTATGGCATCAATCGCATTATCATTCGAATGTCCTGCCCCTCAAGAATATCCCCGACCAGACTTTTAAGCGCTTCCATCAGCAACTTCTGAGCTGGCCGCTGAGGACGTATTGCATGATCCACTACTGGTTGCAAAGCCTTTACCTTGGAGTTGACGTTCGATATCGTCCACGGCTTGTTCGTCCGTCCAGTCGTCCCGGACTTTCTGTTTTAATTTTCTATTTAACTTCTGTTTTAATGATCGCAACGCGCGGTGGGTCTTCTTGTGCTGTTCGGACCCTGGGCGCAATTTTCGCAGTTGGATTGTGAGCCGTCTAACATGAGGATTTGACGTGACAGGTGCTGTTTGCTCGGCTGTAAGGCCTGTCGGCTGGCGTTTGCTCATAGAGTGACCAATGCTGCAAGCTTGGTCAATAAGTGCCTGCTGTGGTTTTTCTCGACGGACAATAGCTCGTGGGTCCGCACGGACAATGCGACCAAGGTAATATTTCTGAAAAGGGACGGAGTTGGCGTGGTCAAGAGACAAGTGGCGAGGCGCCTCGCTCATGTCGGCTGTTGCAACGACGTTAAAAAATTTCCTTATGTTGATTCTAAAATACTTACGACTTTGGTCAAACTCATTGGCTGCATTATAGCGCAGACTGAAACGTATTGTTTCATACTGAAGACCCATGATCTCACCCACTCTTTTGATCCAGCCCACAATCATGCCTTAGTGATGATCTTTGTTGTTGACATCTCGTACCCCGTCAATGTTTTAACAGCGAGACGGAATATGCACACATCCTTTAGGTCACTTCTTAGAGGCAAAGGTAGTTCACGCTCGCCTGCATATATGTCCAACTCATCCAGCTGCTTAGGAGAAGTGAGGTGTGATACGCGGAATGCTTTGCGTCGGAATAAAACGCCAAGTAGAGAGGCGTGTGGACTAAGGAGAAAGGAAGGATCAAAAATCATCTCCAGGATCGTAAACGTTTTACCAATAGCACATTAGCAGACATAAGCTTGGCAAGCAATGCGTAGACAGCAGGAACTATATACTTACGCATCCTTAACACCAAGGTATGACTTCGTGAACTCCAGTGTGAATCGAATCAAGATCTTGTGTGGTCCACCTTCTGGGTCTCTCGCCAACGCCACTCGAATATTCCCAAACCGAAGGCGAAGTATGGAGGTAGGGCGAGATCCTGCGGAAGCAAGTAAAAGGAGATAGAGCACTGCCAGAATTCAGTGACTTTTGGTAGTGTAGAGGTCCCCTGGAAGTCCTCGGTCACTCGTAGAGGCTAAGTAGACAAGACAACTCTCTGCCTTTATCATACATAATAACTTTGACTTGAAACTCCAAAGGGTCACTGTTATCGCCTCTCTTTGAATCTTGCATGACGTCAATCTTCTTGAGCCATATAGTCATATAGACGGAGATACAGGAGCTGGATTGACCGACGACGTAAAAATCCTTGCATCCCAAAAGCTGGAAGATGCACTGGCAATGACGGAGGGGGACCCGTGGCTCTACCGTGTCCCGTTGGTGCAGGTGTTGCTGACCAATTCGGTGCTCTTGCGGACTATACCTATCGAGCTTGTTAGCAGATTCAATTGCACGGTCCACCACTTGTCCGCCTACTTTGATGCCAAACTTGGCCGCATACCAAAAACGTGCCTATCATGCCAGGGGGGCGAGCAGAGTATTGTAGTAAGAGAATCAAGTAAAGTTCTGACAGTCGTCCACCATTGGTGAAGGGAAACTGTCAGGAACCATAAATTCTCAATTTGGTGTGTAATACCTAGGAATTAAAATACTACGTCACACCTTGCACTTTTGAGCAGTGGTGCAAGGCGTACAATCAGCCGAAGGCTGCAAATCTGCGGTACGGTAAGGCAGTCACCGAAAAAAATGAAGAACGATGGATCTATAAGCATACATTCACTGCGCCATTTACACCTCGATCAAGTGGAGTTACGTAGCCCCGTGGCCTTTCTTATACAGGTTCTGAGTGAGAACCTGCTAACTCCTAAGCCTTTGATCCCTCATTTTCATCTTGATACCCTCCCAAGGGGATGTGTATGTCAGATGATTGCAGTCGAATCAAGCATCAAGCAATGCAGCGGTTTCACAAGCGAGACGGCCACATAGCTCAAACCTGTCTGAAAGTCAAGGCAAGACAGATCTGTTACGATCTTGTCTCGGTGATGCTCTGGACTTATGAACTGTAATGGCATAGCATATGATCATGGGAAACTAAGGGTGTAGAGTGTGGCTCCAACGAGGAAGCCCCTGTCTACTGGCGGAATCGGGACGATCATCCTACAGTCGGCGGTGGTCAGGAATGCTGGTCCGGTATATTTGTCAAACTCCATCATGATTACATACGGTTGGTCTCGGATGGGGTCAGCCCCAGGTGTGTTGCCAGAGGTTGCACAGACGGGCACCAATGCATACAGGGACCTGTTTCGCAAGGTTGCCCGCCTTGTCGTCCTGGGCAGTAGCCGCGCCGGGGCCGACGTTCGTAGCGATGACCTGAATGACTGGTCGGCTGAGGCGGTCAAGGTGCTACAGGTTATATTCGTTCACCCGGTCTTTCGTGGCGTATACTGGTAAGGCGTCGGTAAACCCGGCGACCTCTTGATCATGTAGCTTTCCCGTCCGCAGTTGATCTTGGCTCGCATCTACGTTCGATGGCCAGCCTGAAGAAGCTACTGCCAACCACAGCACAAGGATAGATACCTTCTCCCGCAACCTCCGAGCCTTGACAGACGCCAAAATGACATATTTTGGGCGTCAGTGGGACAGTTTCCCCTGCACGGCGTCGTCAACGATGGTCGTGCTGGACAGCGGCCAGCTTGACCCCCGCCCCAGCCGTGGAAGGGTTATCTTGCAAGTTCTTCCCCCCCTTTGCGGTATCTAGTTGCCAAGTAAAGCATGACCCACACTACTTGTGCTGCGTCGGATAGTAGCTGGATCAGACAGTGGCACGATCGGATGGGTCGTTCGCTGCACCGCAGGTGAGGGAGCCAGTGTCCGGAAGAGCTGTGAGCCTTACTGGGTTGGCGGCTCTGGCGTGCCAAGTTCTACACGCGGCTGGCTTATCGAGGCTTCAAATAACGTACTCGCTGTATGACATTGCCGTACCCTCTCCGACCATGTAGGCTGGGTTCCGGATCTGTCCTTTGGAGGCGATAGACCAGCACCTTCTTCTGTTCTCTTGAGAGCAGGACTCTCGCTTGAGGAAGGGCCGACAGCGAGGTTCTTCAACGTCTAGATTGCGTCCCTAGATCTGGAACGCTTCGCTTAGTTGGCGCTGATTGTCTTGCGGCGTGGGGAGACAGAGCTGACATGAGAGTTGCGGGAGTTACGACAGTCCACGCAGTTTTTGGTGTTACCAGCAGATTTTCGTTTGCTTATGAAGTCGCCTGTCGGTTTCTCCTCGCCACAGCGGGCGCAGACAACAGAAGTCCAATTATCTTGAACCCGTGAAGCAGACCCCGTACTCATTATGTCATGAAGGACATGAAGCGGAGTTGTTTGAATGAAGTTCTGCAGCGAAGTAAACAATTCAGGGGCAGATGGCTAGGCCCCACTTTGTTGGGAGCTATCCAGTTGCGCCTCGCTTTGGCTTGGGCCACACAAAATCTGGGCCAATCAGATCTGGGAAAACTTTTGCGCATCCCTGTCCGCACCAAACCCTCATTATATTTGGGGAAAAACTTAAGAACTAATGTAATACAGCCTTCGGCTGAACAATCACGGGAGATTGTGCGGCTTACTCGAATGGGAGACTGGAAAACATGGTGTCGTAGTCAGCCATTGGCCAAGAACCCTTGCAGGTAATCGGGGGGTACGTCGCGGAAGGGAGTGGCTCTAGCGGACTACAGAACATGATCGCACCGGTGTCGGCGGCATCCGGTTTCCTTGGGACCCACGTAAAATACGGGGGCTAACCGTAATCCTGCCACACCAACTCTTGGTTGCCAGTCCTCCAAAAACGGACACCATATCCTCCATTTTCGGTGGCACACTCCTCCATATATGGAGGCATTGGAACCTCGGAGAAGAGCTTGACGGGATCCTAAGCTTTGCTAGCGGCTATGGTCGTATGTGCCAGATGGGGCACTTATCGTGGCTATAAATCATCTGGCTAGCTTAGTGGAAGGGCACTTTATGTTGACTGAGAAAATGGATTGGATAAATGCTGACTTTTCCCATCTTCAACCTTACAGTGGTACCAAGGATAAAGTGAAGTTGAAGGAATTCAGCTTCTCAAATGGCAATGTTGCGTCTTACATGGACGGGGGCGACGTTGCGCTCAATAGCTCGCTTGGCGCTTGGTATGAGCCGGCAAGTGATGAGCGCTTTGTTGTCTATCAAGAAGCAAAAAATGGGCGTCTGAAAGAGTTTAGTCTAATAGACCGGACAAGTAAGTTCTCGTGTTGGTCGATGCACATTCTCTACCTGGCTCCATGGTAACCGTTTTCCTGCCAGCCCACGACATTGTCAGCACGAGCGATGCAAAGGCCGGCACGCCCATTGCTGTGACGAACTACCAGGGCACAGCTTACTTGTATTACGCTGACAAGTTGGATAACGTGCGCCGAGTGACCAAGAGCAGCGGACAATGGGGCTCCTCCCAGATCGTACGAGACAGCCCGCCAGTTGGGGACAATCAGATAGCTGTTGTGACGGCTAATGGCTTCAACCACATATTCTATCTGGCACGCGACGATACAGTTGATTCTCGCGGGTTTTCACACATAATCGAGCGAATCTAGGGAGGCGAGGCGAGGCGGTCGGGTGGCGGTGTGGCTTGGTCCGGAGTCTGGCAAGCACGCACAGAACAGGAGCTCCAATAAAAATTCACTTGGTTCATGGAGCGGATGGACGAATGAATGATTCAATACTGTCCTTTGCAGCAAAGTGATGGTGTGCCACGGTCGGTGGCACCGATCATGGGCTGTTCGGAGTCTGTTCCCCTCCCCCGGGTTGTGGATGTTGTCAAGAGGGACGAAGAAACAGCATTGAAGCTGGAGAGATTGCAGGGCATGACGTGCTCTCATAGGTACCCCGTTTCTTTATGCAATGCTCGGTACGGAGTACAGTCGGTGAAACCCATTCCGTGTGACTGAAACCCCGCGAACGGGCACGTTGTGGCTTCCATGTTGCTAGACCGTGTTCCCTTCATCATGGCCGTGGTGAAGCGTCACATGGTGGCCGCGTCTTGAGCGACGCGCAGACGTTGGTGAAAAGTCCAAAGATGCCCGTTTAATATTGCTTGGATGAGATTTATCCATTTTTATCCACTTGGCGGTCGGGTCTGCCACACTTCTGGACATCGGGACATGTCGAATGGGAACAAGACCCGCCGCTCGTTCGCGTTTTGTTCCACACGGCCGGTTGGGAACGTTTAAAACGAGACAAGCGGCATGCATGACGGGACGAGGCGCGAAGTAAAAAAGAATGTGGCGGCGTCAAGTGGTGGTGTGTGCCGGGAGTTGGGACGAAGAGGGAGAAGGAGAGGAAGACTGCTTGGCCATGGCCGTGCTGTTCGTGTGCTGCATGTGTTCATGTGCTGTTCATGTCTGTCTGGTGCTGTTCTGCCCTGCTCTGCATCTTGCCGTCCTCGGTCGGCGCAGATAGCACCTTGGACGGTTCAATTGCTGTTGAATCTCGACTCTTGGGTCGATTAATCACCTTCATGTCCGTGGTTCAATGCCAACCTGTTGGAACCCCACCCTGCATATGTCTTGATGTCTAGTGCGAGTCCAGATTATCCACTCGCCCACTCTGGCGCCCAACCTTCACTCCACTCAAGCTCGTGACTCTAAATGTCCGAGATGCGTCCTGACATCCGCGTCCAACCTCTCATCCACTTGACCTAATATCACTGCATATCTTTGGCTGCCAGGAGCGCCTTGCCATATCTCCTATTTTTTTTTTGGCCCTATCAACGCTTAATTGTCCTGTGTTCCTCCCCTGCATTGCCGTGCTCATTTCCCCTCCATTCCTCCTCGGCAGTGGGCAAAACCCACTTGACGGACACTTCGACACGCAAAAATTATTCGAGACCGACTGTTTGACTTGGTATCACCAGCAGCTTCGTTCTGTCGGCGCAGCCCTCGCTCGCATCTGGCCTTTTTAACGTCCACCCGCGTCCAGACACTCCCAGCTGCGGGCCTGATCCCCTTTCGGCCCTGGACCATGGTGATCGCGACCGCATCATTTTGTCTGCCGTCGCCTTCATCTGACGACGCCCAGCCTCGGCGTCGCTGATGCGAGAGATCATGGCTTCTCGATCTCGAGCCGCGACCCCCGATCTGGGCGCCCGCCCGCGCGAGCGTTGTCGGGATGCATCTTCGACCCTTCACTGCTGCTGCGGGAGCGACGAGTGCCTGCTCTTGCGCCGCAACTGCTCAATCCTCGAATCCGTCGAAAAAGATGTCCACATCGCTGCTCAACTCGGCCAGGTACGTTGACGTTTGTACGTCTGGGGCTTGTGCTACCCTCGACCTTACTAGCTGCCTCTTGCCCCAGCTTTTTTTTTATTTGCTTTTCTTTCTTTTTTACCCGTCCCAAGACACGCGAGCTGCGCGCCTGACGGGGGGTGTGGAGGCCGGTCTCGTCTTGGCCGACTTGGAGCATTCCGATCGTCGTCTGCGTTCCATGATGAACCGCCTTCCCCCCTGTTTGACTTGGACAAGCAAGAAAACAACAACAACGCGCCTGGACACTTATAGCACTCTTTTGCAAACAATGGTTTCACCATCCTTTCATGTCCTTTCTTGTCTGCCTCACTAAATCTCGTGGGTGTTTTTTTTGTTTTCCGTTTGCCAGCATGGCTCTTTGTGTCTTGACAATTCCATGACTTCGTCACTGATATTTGCCCTGCAGGCTTTATTAGCACGGCATGAAGCCTACATGGCCGATGCCGAGCGAGAGCGAGTCGAACTTAATGCCCGTATAGAGAAATTGGAGATGGACAAGCGCGGGCTCGAAGCCGAAAATGAGAGCAAGATCAACCAAAACCGGGACTTGCTCGAACAACTAGAAGCCCTCAATAACACCCTGACCGATTCCGATATCAAGATCAAAAGTCTCGAGTCCAGTCTTCTATCCTCGCAACAAACCGTCCGTCTACTCGAATCTTCTGCCGGCCGCGCTGCCGACGTTGAGCGTCATCTCGCCTTCCTCGAGGACGAGCAAGAGAAACTGCTCAACGAACTCCGCAGCTCCAAGGAGGATGCTAGGTCCCACGCTCAGCGCTTCAAGGAAGCGCAACGCGGCATCCTAGATATGCAGGATCAGCTGGATCGTATCGAAGATGAGGCCCGTCAGGAGCGCGAACGTCATTCTGAAGTCATGGAGAGAATGGAGCGGCAGCGCGAAATCGAGAAACAGCTCGACACGGCTGCCGGGCGGCTTAAGGGTGCTGCTGCTTCCAAATCTCTACAGGAACATAAGAATGGCGGTAAGATTGTGGGCCACTTCGTCCGAGATCTGTTACAGGACAATGCCAACTTGCAGCTTGGAATGGCCGAGTTGCGGGAAATGCTCATCAACTCAAATGACGAGATCCAGTCGTTACGGGACCAGCTCGTTCACCATCAACCGATGCCCCCTGACTCCAGCAGAGCATCAACACTGAGGGCGGAGCTAGAGCCTTTACTTGAACCACCGCCTGCTTCCCAGGAACTGCACATCCATCACCACTACCACGTATCACCGAAGCACGAACCCCGGAAACCTAAAAAGAAGCGACAGGGACTTCTTCCCGGCATTTTCACACCCCCGGCTGCGTCGGCCCCATCATCACCGCGAAACTCGGGCAACTGGGGGGCCCTCACGTCGTCTCCGACGGCCCCTGCTCTGCTCTCCAGCGTTCCTGCGGGCGAGACAACACCTACCATGTCGAAACCTACTCGGGCCTGCGGTGGCCACTCTCGAGCCACGTCTGAATTCTCGTCATCACTGCCAAGCTCGCCACAAATACAGCAGAACCGAGTCTTTGACTCTACCTTCACCGATTCGGACCCACCCACATCTCCAACAACTAGTTTTGATCCCATGTCCCCGACCTGGCGCGCTGCCCATTCCAAGAGACCATCCGTCTCCTCAACGGTCAGCTTCCAGTCACTTGCAATGTCACTGATGGACTCTGTACCAGACACGCCACCCTGTGGCCCAGCAAATTATCCGCGCTACACCAAAGAGACTATCGAAGAAGAAGACGAGGAGGAGCCCAGTCTTCCCCCACTTAATATACCGACAAAGCCGCCATCGCTTACGTTGGAGACTGCAACGCCTACAGAGGGCTCATCCCTTGCCTCGGATACGGATCATCGTGCCGATGAGATGATGCCACGCCCTCGGTTGCATCGCGTGACATCACACGAGTCCATCATGTCCCTATCTGGCGGCCTTGACATTCATACGTTGAAATCGAGACCCAGCCAAATGACCCTGCGGCCCCTGGGTGGTGTTGAAGCCGTCGTCACGGGCGTTATTGCCCGACCTACTCTTTCAAAAACGCCATCGAAACGCAGTGACGCCACATTACGAGACCATTTTGCTGGATTTCAAACCCCAAGGGCGAACTCGAGTCCGAATGCTGCACGATTGTCTAGCAGTCCGGCTACACCACAAGGCAAGCTGGGCAAATGGGTAGGATGGCGTCCTTGGGGCGGTAGCAGTCCTAGTCCAGGCTCATCTCCTGTGTTGAAACCCGAAAACAAGGCTACAGAGAGGGACAAGGAATCACATCGATCCCCTGGGATCAACCAACCCGGCGCAATCCCTGGATTCCAGCAATATTGGGCTTTACAAAAGCGTAAAGGAGCTCCAGCGCAGGTCACGGCCGAGACTATTGATCGCGAATCCTTGACAGAAATCCTGCAGGAGTAGAGCTGCGCCCATTGCCACAGCACAGTATTGGCAACATATAAAGTATTGGCTAATACCCTCAACGTTTTGACTTTGCATCTGGGAGGTTGGGTTATACAAGGGAAGGGGACGAGGCAGTTTGCAGCATTTTTGAATGACACAGGCATGAGGGGGTACGTTTCATTTTATGGCGTTGGGAAGATTGTCATGTTAATATTTCGAGCGTACTGCATCTTTACTGGCGACGTAGATACCCTGGCCGAACCAAGGCTCGTTCTTTTGTTACATTTTACACCTTGAATACAACGAATACAGATGACCATTTATGAATTGTAGAATAACAATTGTGCATCCGCTTTGGAATGAGATGTATCCCTTTGAATTTGTTGTATAATCGCTGGGCATGCTTGATACAATGAGCGCCATGTACACCGTATTGTAAGGGGCTTCAGTTTCATGACGTCTCACTCGCGCCAGCTGATGCATATCAAAGCTAACCAAGGTGTGTGCTGTCACACAGTTTGCAAGGCAAGTAGACGCCTGTCTCATGGAAGCGGACATTTGCCTAGGAATGTATTCGCGTCAGTGGGGGGTTGTTTCCACGGTACATATGAGGGTAAGCGTGGCGAAACCCTGTGGTCTGGATGAGGGCGAGCGCCCCTACTGGCATGTACGATTTATCTGAGGGACCTTGGATATACGTATGCTGGTGTTGCTGGTTCGTCCTGCGTATTTATTCTCTACTTGTATCGAGGCAGGTCAAGTTGCTTCATTCCCCAAAGTGTCTTGGAGTTGTTGGGACGGAATGATTCAGGAAGACTTGACTGTAATGAAGATTGATGGGCGGGACCACAAACCACAACCGTGGAACAAACACGGGAGGCCAATTCGCCCTGTTCAAGCATGGTTAATAGCTTCGTTTCTAATTTAGAAGCATCTAAGCAGAGACGTACACACGACCCCCGGGCACGTATACCCGGAGAGAGACGCGGGCCGCGCAGCACAGCACAGGATGGTGCTACTCTTGGTGCAGCCCTGCGTGTGCAGAGTCCTTCGGTCGAGGGACACAGAGCCAGCTGATGGCGGTGGCGGCGAGCAGCCCGACCAGGATGGGCTGCAACACTTGTACTCCGGCGTTGGATGACACGACGCCCGTGATGACGGGGAACAATGAGCCGCCCATTTGGGCAGAGACAAACACCAGCGCCAGCGCCGTGGAGTGTATATGCCGAGGGAAAAGCTTGGACCCGAGCGATATGCCCTGCGAGGATTTGGATTAGGGCAAGATCCCGTGTATCAGCGGCGTAGAGGCTGCTACTGCGCCGTGGATGAGATGGGACGGCTCACTTACTGTTGCGAAGAGCGGGCCGGTGAAGAAGCCGATGAAGCTTACGGCGATGGAGGCAGCAATGATGTTTGGTACACTGGGTGGCGGGTGGTGTGATGGTTAGAAATGCGAGGGAGAAAAGTAGCAAAGTAATTCAAATAGACTGGAGAAGGAGAAAAAGACACAGAGTCCGTGATTCAAAGCATCCCGGTTGGCTACGCCAAAGGGACAAGCAGTAGAAAAGCGACAACTCACAGCCAAAAGACAAGTTGGAGGGCGGTAGAAAGCAGGCAATAGACAAAGACCATGCCGCGCTCGCCAAACCGGTGCGTAGGCTCCGCGAGCAACAGCCGGCCCAGCAGCGCGCCGCCGCTGAAGCCGGCCGGGACGTATCCCACCTGCGAAAGGCTGCCGCGGCGCACGTCGACGAGATACTCGACCACCCAGCCGCCGGCCGTCAGCACCGAGCCCAGGTAGAAGAAGAAGAAGGCGCACAGAAACCACACGCTCGGCGTGGCGGCAGTCGCGCCCCCTCGCCGCTTCTCGACGGCCGCGTGCCCCGGTCCCGGTCCCGGTCCGCCCTGAGCCGCAGCGAGTCGCGAAAGGCAACCAGCACCAGGGCCAGGTTGGCGACGCCCACGGCCAGCGGGAACGCGTAGAACAGGTGCCACCGCGAGGCGGCGGCCACGGCCGTGGCGGCAAAGGGCCCGGCGAGACACCCGGCCATGTAGGCGGCGTGGATGGCGGCGAGCCAGCGGTGCGCGCCGGCGACGCCCGCCGCCAGCGTGTTCCCGTGCGTGTCCTGGAAGGCCTGGCCGACGCTCACGAGCCAGAAGGTGGCGACGAACAGGCCGAACGGGGGGTCCCACGCGCGGAGGCTATGCGCGGCGACTTGGCACGCCGCGCCGAGGGCGAGCATGGCCCCGAGGTCGAGATGCGAGCATAGATGGGCGTTGGCGACGGCCGCCGAGAACCAGCCGGCAAAGTTGGCGCCGTATCTGGCGGGGAGATGTGGTTAGTGGCGCTGGGGGAGAGGGCACGCGAAGGGAGGGGGGTGCCCGTACACGCTGGACACGATGGCGGTGCTGATGCCGTATTCGCGTATGACGTACGGCAGCAGGGCGCCCGTGCTGCCGTCGTTGACGCCGGCGACGAAGAAGGAGAAGCCGACGCTGATGAGCTTGAGGGTTGCTGCTGGTGATGGGTGTGGAGGAGCGTCGACTGTGGTGGCGTGTGGTGTTTCAGTGAGGGGGATGTTTTGCACGGTTTCGGCGACGGTGTCGGTGGTTGTGGTTGTCATGATGTGCGGGTTGGGTCGTGATGCCTGACGGGAAGAGTGAGATGGTCCGAGGTGATGAGGCGAATTACGACTGGACTAGTCACGGAGGAACGGAAGAGAGTTGAACGGAAGATTCGGGGAGAGCAGTGTGTGCGAGATAATAGAGTGCGATGTGTAGATGTGTTTTTAGAGTTTGAGCAAGGCTCCGAGTTGACCAAATGTCGGAGCGACGGGCCGACGGGCCGCACGTTGGCTCAATGTTGGTTGCCTTTTTTGGAGAATCCACGAATCCATCTCCAACCGTGGCAGGATGCATTGGGGAGTGTCGGCAACGATTGACGCGGGCTGTGCGGGGGATGGCGTATTGAGAGGTCAACTGGTTGCTTGCTGTCATGTTCCAAAGCAGGCATTGGACAAGCGGTGGGCAGTTGGGCAAATTATATAAATACATCGAGTACAATTGCCAAAATTTCTAACCCAATTCACGCCATGCTTTTTCTTTTGTCGGAGCATTCATATTATTAAAGTCTCCAAGTTATAACATTCAATGTTCTTGGACAGACAAAGGATCTTTCTACCCTCGGTCAGTAGCTCCAAGGTAGGTTCGGGGTAAATAAGACAATGGCGATTCGAGTATATACGCCTTACTATCATACCCTTAAATACCGTATTTCCCCCAGAGTGGCTACATAATTTTACAAGAGAGCGTTGTCAAAGTCCGATATATAAGCTGCATCATTCTTACCATGGTAGTCAAGTGTATCTTAAAGCCTTACCATGTTGTCTATACTGGACCGACTTGATTTCGCTGTTATACTTCCCTACCCTATACAGAGACTACGAATGCAATACACCCTTTCCCATCCTCTATACGACTGCAGAAACATATTCCCAATGCGCCCGAATACATGGGGCGTACTACTCTCCGCCGGAAAGATGACCTATAGAACAGCTTCCCAGGTGGGCAGATGTTTGTCACCGAGTGTACGGAGGCACAGTCCCTCTCCAAGCTTGCGAGGCGCAGAAATGCACCAACCCATCCAAGAAACCCCAATACTTGTCTGCGTATGTTGCACTCTCCCTCTCCGTTCCAATCCAAATCTGTGCGGTATGAGACCCTTGAGTAATCTTTACCATAAGCCCAGATTTTCAATCTTCAACCCCACAGGAAAAGTCCGCAAGCCATGGTCCAAATCAGTAGTACGTGGTTGAGAAGCGTCCTTGGTTGTCAAAAGTCTCAGAAACGTTAAACTACCCAGGATTGGAATCAAAGTCAAACTGGCTGAGAAAGCAGAAATAGACTCGTACTTGAAAGCCTCGCCAACCTAACGCTTGTCATTATTTCACCTCGGCGTTTCAGTGATTAGGCACGATTAGGCATTCTGTTTTAAAACACAATTGCGGTTGAGCCAGTCTCCAGCCTTCAAAAAAACATCATGACCCGATCTAACCCGTCCTCTGCCATGCGTGGCGGCGGAATAATACGATGCTTACCTCAAGGTGTCAAAAGCTCCGAGGCCTCCTTTTTGTAACGCCGTCCTGGCTCATGCTAACTTTGTTGCATTCCCCTTCCCTACAGAACCATAGCCATTCAGCGTCTCATTTTACGATGAGACCTCTGCCACAACGAATTACACTTCATGCAGCAACCTGGCGCAGTGAGGTGGCCTCGCATAGTCTTTTTCTGCCGAATCTTCTTGATATCGTTTCGTCTGGCAGTCTTACCCTCCGACTGATGGCCTCTGGGCCCTTGTTGCAGCTGGGATCGTACCAAGTGGCTTCCGCTCAGTCGAAGAGCCGAAACGCCGAAGAGCCGAGACTGCTTACAAGACACAGGTCAATATCCATGGCTATTTTTTTTTATTTTTTCACTTACTTCACAGAATTCGCACTCCAAGTCATTGATGCCTTTAGCGCAATAGTGACCGCTATTATATGACGCCAGTTTTCTACCACCTGGCTTTGCGGCTCGCACCCCATGTAAGAAATCTGCTCACCGTCCTGTTTCTGAAGACAGGACTAGAACTCTAGCCTTGCCAGCTAGCATAGATGCCAAGATTTTCGCTTCCCTCATGGTCTGATACGTAAATCTTGGCACGATCGCCGGGTAGGCCTTCTTATCTCTCGGGCCGCGGAAAGCTTGTCGAAGCTCCATGTTTGGGCGAGCAGCCAATCAGACGACAACTGGTAACTACTTATGAGAGCATATATATGTATAGGTTGGCATTCCAATACATGTCGCTTACGCTACCGAGGAGCGTGTGGGGGTCCCGTTGGTGAAGCAAATTATGTGGTAGATGCATGATTGGGCCACGTGGGTATACAAGGAGTGCTATAGCAGTTTGTATCGACTAGGCTTTGCGTATAGATGTTATATGGGACTTTATTAACTACATGCCACACATGTTATTTATCACTACTCGTCAACTAAACATCTCGGCCAATATATCCCGAGAGCCTTGGAAAATTGATGACATCATGCAATTTCCCGTATAAACAGTCCCATTACCCATCTATAATGAGCTTCAAATATTCAGATACGATAGCAAGAGGGGGTCTTATTGAAATGTAGGACGTCGATGCGTCTTCATCATGTTTGTATTTTCTACTAGGTCCTTGCATTATGAAGTATCGGTATAACCGGCCAAGCCAATAGCGCGAGAATCTCTAAGCGGCTCAATAGATTGAATGCGAAGCCACTGGGACCGTGGTCATAATGGCAGCCGACGTCGATATTAGTTACCAGATGCCGCAATCTATATAATCTGTTTACTACTCCCAAGCAGATTGGTCTTGACATGCACAGAACCTTGTATATTTGCAACGCAACGTCCTGATATCCTTTTGTCTCAGCGACCATGATCTCCTTGAGCTGGGCTGTAGGCCTATGCTCGATACTATGGCCGAGTTACTCTGGTGCAGTACCAACAACACCGTCGCCATCCTCGTCAGCCTCATCACCCACCACCTCCTTCAATGTCGTCATGGACGCGCCCGCAAATGCGTACCTCTGGGTCCCACAAAGAGACTGGCAGAATTTTCAACAGCAGGGCGTCCTTTTCAATACTAACCCATTCCGAAGAGACATTGGCGAATTCGGATTGGAGCTGGAAACCTCTGTTGGGGAACAGTTCTCAAATGGCGATACAGTGATTGTCGAACTTGCTCTAGGGCCACACACCATACGCTCAGAGTCCCATCTTTCCACCTATGGCGTATTCTTCTCGCAGGTGCGGAGGCATCAGTCTGTTGAGGACCGTGAACAAGCTAACGAGGCTGGATGGACTGTCAATGACCGATTCAACACTTCGTGGAACCAGTTTGGCGCGATATCTGGGCAGGCAAATTACGGAGTCCCAGAGATGCGGCAGATGGACCAACGCTATCTCAACGGCGTGGCTGCTGATCACTTCACCCGGGCACTGCTGCACTACTTAACCGGCGCATCGAGCATTCTGGATGCGAATTTACGACAGTCGTTTAGGCGCCTCATTGGCTGGGGAGAGGAACAGGGACAAGCTCAGCTCCTGCCTGCTGTTACGAACCGTAAGCGAAATCTGCAATTTTCTCCAGGAACATCGTGCTGACATGGATCTTTTGTGCAGCTCTGTCGATGGACTCGATAGTGGTGCAGTATCTGTCGTCTCTGGAGGCAGACGTGAGGCTTGCAAGATATGGTATCATCGAGGGCAATCTGGCGAATGGACCGTGCCCGGCGTTGATTCGCACCATAGCTGCGCATCTAGGTGTAGGCCCATCGCTCTGGGGACGTGATGAAGACCAAGCTACGGAAATACCGGGAAGTTGCGAGAATGCCGTGTCCGTGTATTGCAGACAGCAAGCGCAGGCGCAGGACGGCCTGTGTGAGGCTGTCAAAGAATCGGAGCAAACCGACGTGGAAACATGCAACTACTTCAAGTCCCTCGAGGCCAAGTTGACCATGGGAAATGGGCTTTGGGGCTTTGATGGCGCCGGCACCGTCGATGACATTGTCATCGAGTTCGGGGGGCACAATCACCAAACCATCCTAAAACATCCGTCGCACGGAGACGAGGCCACAATCTCGGTGGACCTTGAAAAGGCCTTTGGATCAAAGCAAGTCCTCGTTGAAGCTGTCAAATCGTTTCAATTATACTCGGTGCAGGATGAGCAGAAGAATCCGGACTCGTGGGAGATTGGAGGTATGTTTCCCGCCCGCCAGGGCAAGACAACGTGGCCTAACATTGCGCCGAACAGGTCTCTACATTTACGGAACGTGCGTCGAGTCGTCGAGGAGAGTTGTTGTCAAGAAATACGACAATGTCTACGATTGGTTCAACCGGTTCGGCGACATGAACCCGGGGTATGGGTCGTCCCATTTTAACGGCCATGTTGCTCTTGGTGACTGGCAGTGGGAGACACCAGACGACAAGACCAAGACAATCGCCGTCATGCCGCCCGGGCAGCCGCATGCCTGTACCGAATTCAAATCGCTCGAGGCATATCTTGAGCTGGGCAAAGGGGTGTATCAGGGCAGCGGAGCCGGAACCAACGACGAGATCATGCTTGACTTTAGCGACAGCGCATTCACCCCGAGCAATATCCTGCTCATGTCATCTCCCTCGCGTGGTGATTCGGTAACGAAGCCTATTGAACTGGAAAGTGTCTTTGGAAAATCGGTGCTGTCTCCAAAGGATGTTAGACAAGTTGCAGTCTACTCTAGGGAGGGCACAAGCCACTGGGCAGATCCATGGGAGGTCGCAAGTATGTTTGCCCCGTCTTTTTATAACAGATGCGTGATGCTAATACAAGGTTTTTCCGGTATTAGCTTTCAAACTTATAGCCCATTGTGAAGGGTCGGCGAAAACCGCAGAGGTTACCAAGTGGCGCGACATATATCAGTGGTTTGATCGTTTTGAGGGACCGTCGACGCTGAGTGGAGAGTTGTCTCTCAGAGACTGGCACTGGGCGTAGGATTTCCGTACGACCAGACGTGTTTACAATTTGTGACTGGGCTCAACAGCCAAGTCGCACTCGAAAGTTTTCGCTTCTTCACTATAACAGTCTCTGGGGATAGATACATTGAACTTGATGATTTGGGTGTTCCTGTATTGACTGCCACGTTGCACCGTGACGTTTGAGGAGTTTCATGTCAGAATATTTAAATGGCGGCGTTTGTGCTGTGCTCAGGACGTTGACACTTGATGTTGTTATGGAAACTTTCAAGTACCTTTGTGACCATGGGTTGTCCGGGTGTTGGCTTTTGACGCGCCAAAGCAACCAATATGCAGACATGGATATTTCATGTCCCTGACGGCTGGTTCGCAACGGCTTCTCCATAAATTGGCACGTTGCAGGGCGACATTCCACGCCGCACGGGGGTGGATGCTCGACTCACGAGCTTGGGGTGTTTATCCTCCACGTTATAAGCCCACATTCATCCAGACACAATCAGGAAGCTAGGCTGATTTCCCGTCCAGAATACCGTCGACATATGTACGCAGTACACGCCCCTCATCATCGTCACCTAAGCTTCCACCATCAGCCGGCCCGAGCATGGTCTGAACTCAAAAGTCTCACATTGTGGGGCTCATCTGGCTCATCACCATTCCATTGCTCCGTTCCCCAGATCTTGCGGAGCTGGCCATGGATGGAATCCGTGCGGTCTCGGACGTGCTGGTGTCGCCGTGTGTCATCGTCGTCAACCTTGGGCTCGAAACCTACGTGCCAGTGCTCCATGTCAAGGCGGCCCATACCTCCTCCCGCAACTCGCCACCGAGTCCTTCAAATCTCCAACCATGACGGCCTACATTCGTCCCTTGTCCTCTCTGGATCTGGATCGGTGCGCGGCCCTAGAGTCTGCCGCCTTTCCGCCGTCGGAGGCTGCGACATACGAAAAGGTACCGCAGCTCCCGGTCACTGAACCTAGCAACGGAACCAGCGATTAACGTCTCATTCATCAAGATTGACTACAGGCTTTCTAGCTGCCCGGAGCTTTGTTACGGGCTGTTTCTCAGAAACTCCGATGCGGCGGCGCCCGATCCGAGCACAGTCCGGGTCCTCTCGTCTGCCGAGGCGCAGGACAAGGACGGCATATTGGTTGCTCACACGATTGCGACCAAGGCCAGGGCAACGCTCATAGTCGACCAGGATATGGACTATCCCAAGGACTGGAAGACGAACCCGAGAGTCGTGGCCGACGCCGGGCATCAGCCGTCCGGGACCAGTATCGCGCTGCACTCTCTCGCCGTTTCACCCGACTACCAAAGGCAGGGGCTGGGCAAGCTCCTGATGGGGAAATATATCGAGCAAGTAAAGAAACTAGATGGTGTCGAGAGGATTTCGATCCTGACATACGAAAGGCTTGTCCCCTACTATGAGAAACTCGGCTTCAAGAACCATGGCAAGAGCGCGGCTACCTACGCGGGCGTTTCGTGGTACGACCTGGTACGATTTGCCCATGCCTTGTTTTGGGAAGGACATGCTGACATGCACTAGACCTACGACTTTTCCTAGACTTTACTTGGCATGTGTCTGTGGTTCGAGGCAGCATGACCATCCGGGGTGAGTACAAGTCGGAAGGGAGGGAAAGTCTGGGAAAGCAGACTAATTTCCTCTCAGTACATAAAGGTTTTTTGATGGGCGCTTTCAAACTCTATCGATTCACATTTCAATTCAATTTTCGGTTCTAAATAGTAGCCTGAAATACTGCTGAGCTGTGGCCTGCTTGACTTGGGCTGTGGAGGCTTAAAATGACTTGATGCGGCGGCGAATGGCCATGCCCTTATGGTGGAGGTATATGAGGACAAAGATCAGATATACTTGTAAATGAAGTAAAACAAGCACTTGGCAGAAGATCCCATATCGCTAGCCCTGTAATTCCATCTAAGTGAAATGTGAATATTTCTTTTAGGTACAACTTTATAAAGGTTCATCAACAAGAACCAAGGCCACACGTAAGAAGCAAGCAGAGGGGAAGTGTTTATAAAACAATCAACTTGGAATACTCCCAAAAAATAAAAAAAAACCGTAGCCTATGGACCATGATTCCCGAGTTACTTCAACGGCAAACTAGACCCGACTTCATATCCCACCACGACCCCTTTCGCGCCGTCAGCCCGCAAATATTTTGATAGTCATGTCCATGCTTGCCGTCGCAGCAACGCAGCGAATCTGGACCTCCGCGCCCGTCTTCACTTTTGCACTCATCGGCGCCGCACCCAAGCCATCGCCGGTAGACGCAGACACGCCGCCGCTTGCCACTTGCGGAACCCACTGTAGACAAGTGATGAATTGCTCGTGAATGCCCTCCAACACCTTGACGCACTGGCCCTGCGCCAAGTCCCAGCACCGCAAGGTCTTGTCGTCGGCCACGGAAAGCAGATACCTGCCACCGGGGTGAAACACAATCGCAGTCACCCAGCTGTCGTGGCCGACCAACGTCCGTACGCACGTTCCCTGCGCATCCCATATCATGATGGTATTGTCGCGGGAGCCGGTGGCAATAAACTCGGCCGCACCGCCAGACACGGCCGGTTCTTTGGACGGAGCCACGGCCGCCAAGTACGGGTGTGAAGATGCCGGCGCGAGAGCACAGCAATTGATGCCGAGAGCGTGGCCGACGAGGGTCAGCGTGCTCTCGGGGCTCGCGGCGGATATATCCCACAGGCGAGCCGTGCGGTCGTTGCCCGCCGACAAGAGGATTCGGCCGTCGGCAGATGGATATATCGACCGGACCCAATCGGTGTGGCCGCGCAGTGTATAGACACAGTGGCCGTTTTCGACATTCCACAGCTTGATTGTGCGATCACCGCTGGCGCTGGCGAGTTGTCGAGGGCCCCATTCCAGATGGCTAGAGGGCACAAAACGGACGGAGCAGATGCTGTGATCGTGGCCGTATAGGGTGCGGATGTTCTTGTAGTCGTCTGCAGGGTCCCAGAGCTTGATGGTGAGATCGGAACTACACGACGCAAGAAGAGTGCCGCCGTGCGGACCGCCATAGTCGACGCCTCGGACCGCCTGCGTGTGGCCCTTGATGGTCTTTTCCAGCTCGCCGAATTCCCAGTCCCATATTTTGATTGTGCAGTCGTCTGATCCGGAGGCAAGGGAGGAAAACTTGGGGTGGAAAGCGACGCAATTTATCGCGCCCTGGTGGCCCTGCAGTGAATATCGCGGCGATTCGGGCAGCCAGCAGGAAGGGTCCTGTCGCTTCGAGGTTGCCTGAATGGTGCGGTCAATGTCCGATTGCAAGGCGGCGTTTCGAGATTCAAGATCCATAATCTATGACATGGACGGGAGCAGGTTAGCTGCTAGATGTATCCGGCTTTGGATGGCCAAGGGGCATATGGCGCGCCTGCGCAGTTACCTGCCTTTCTCTGCAATCGAACCGTGCTCGTCCATTTCTTCTCGAGCAAATTTTCGTACTTCTTGGTCACGTCGGCAGTGAATACATTCTCGTCGAGGCCAAGCTCCTTGCGGAGCGTATCCGAGGTGACGTGCTTGTCGTTCGCCGACAGGTAGGCAATGATGGATTTGTGCCTAGGGAGGCTTTAGTGCACATCTCGGTCGCAAATCGTGATGCAGACGCACAGCTCTTCAGCTTGTCGGCTGGTCAAGATGCGGCCCGTGGCTGCAGGAGCAAACATGGTTGGAGGCGATGCTGGTACGCGGCGGCAGTGAGCAATCTGGCATATAGACCTCGTTTGCTACGTGCCAAAGCCCATCTGGGAAACGGACGACATGTGTCCAAAGGCTTCAGGCCAGCACATCCTTCTGAACATGGCGAGGCCGATATGCCCGCTGTGCAACAACAAGGCGCGGAAAACGCGGTGTGACACACGGGCACTTGGACACTTGGATGGCCCAACGATTGGCTATATGGCAGTCGGTGAGACATCAATTTGCCGTCAACAGCCACCTGCTTCTTGTGCTGGTGTTGCGCCGTCCAAGGCCCTTAGACTATCAGTCAATACTCCGTATGCCGTACGACGGCACTGCAGTCCAAATCACTTTCCAGACAAGGCGTCCAACATGTTTCATCCGATGACAGACACCATCACCAAGGGTACATGTCGCAGCAGTATCATTGCAGTGCCCTACATGACAAACTAACTGGGCGGTGCAGGTCCGGTCACCAAGGCTGCCAAACACGGTTGAGCCATCAAATACAAATTACTCCAGTCCGTTTCATACAGTACGTACCAAGGCATGCAAAAATCCCGTCATGCACGTCCCCATGTGTCGCTCCATCGTCACTTCAACAGCCGCCGCGACCCAGACTCGGACCAGATGCGCGCATACCACTGATGCAGCTCCTCCATCCAAGGCGGCATCGGTCCCTTGACCCCCAACACTTTGCCCTGGCTCGCGAACAAGCAGCTCTTCAGCGTGAGCTCGACCTCGGCCCGCGCGTCGTCCACCACGGCGCCAATGACAAACAGGCCGTCGCCGCCTCGCGGGCCCCGGACGCGGGGGGAGTCGCCGCACCGCACCGTGATGGACGTGGCCGTCTTTTCCACAACCTCGAAGTGGTCCGCGATGCAGGTCCCCTCGTCGTACGCGCTCCGGGAGAGCTGCTCCCTCGTCCACAGGTCCGCGCTCGTCTCGGGCCCGCGGTACTTCCACTCGAGATAGCGGCGCTGCGCCTCGAAGCCTGACGTGATGATGCCAATGTTAGCCCGTGGTCGAGGGTGCAGGCGCGTGCGGCCAGAGCTTACCGTAGCCGGACCAGACGCCGCGGCAGTATTCTAGGACGAGATCGCCCGGGTTTTTGAGAAGCTCGGGTCGGATCCTGTCGAGCGGCAGGCGCTTGATGCACACGTCCTGGGTCGCGGGGTTGGCGGACGGGTTGTATCGCTTGAACAGCTTCGACGTCCAGATCGGGTCGGACGCTGCGAGGGGCGAGAGGACGGGGTTCTTGGCGGCCAGGTAGGCCGCGAGACTGGTGGTCGCCACGAGCGACGAGAAGACGGTTTTGGAAAGGAGACCCATGGCTGACTGGAAGGAATCCGACGACGCTGGCTTCGGTAACGTGGTTTGCCGGTGATGGGGAACTTGGGCCGCTGCTCTGCGCCCGGCTTGCTCCCGCGCCCTTGGTCTCTCAAACTTCAAATGTTGCTTGGGTGGCGGCGAGGTGTTTTGGCTCGAGTCATGGACAATCAGAGCCCGTTGTCTTGCCGTTTGGAATCTGTCGCGCGATTCCGTCTATCGTGGTGACGGTGGTGTCGGATGGCGTGGGGTTGAATTGGATTGCCCATGTCATTGGACCGTGGCCAACGAACGGCACCTTGCCCATTTAGAGTTAGCACAAGTCGAGTCCAAAGTTGGGACCTTCATCATCATCACCATCATCATCATCACAAAAAGCCCAAGTTGAAGATGGCTCCCCTTGGGGGTCGGTACGCCATTCTTTCCGAGGGCCCCGGCATCTACACCGGCCTCACTGCCGTGTGCCTTGTTCCACGGACGCGATGCAAGGCCCGGCTGAGAGAGGGCACGTTATCGCGGCATGTCCCAGGAGAAGACCGGACTGGATCAAACACTGTTGTCGCCACATTTATCCTGATGCGGCATATGAAGAGGACCACTGGCAGGGCCATGTGCCAATTGAATGTGAAAATGCCGTAGCGTCTACTGCCATGGCCATTCTACTTGCACGCATTACGATGAATGCAACACCTCATGGAACAACTTGATCCTAGCCCAGCACTTCGACTGCATTGTCACCCTGGGAAATTTCCAATTGAATCCGTAGCCATGGTGAATGAAACAGTTGGAGTAGACTGGATTGCATTTACAACGTGATCTACAGTAGACTCGGCATGATGAGACCTTTGGTGGAGTGGAGGAAGAGATAAGTGCCTCGGCGAATTATGCTTCTGAGCAGATGGTTCAAATCCACGACAATACAGCGGCTGGCAAAGAGATTGCCAGAATATTGGGCAAGGCTCTCGTGAGTTCGCCGTCGCCAGTTCTCGGAAACCACGGCTGGCGCCTTGTCATGGCCATGACGGCGAGTGGTGCCAGCTACACAAGAGCCACTTGAGAGGCTTTGCAATTCACTCTTGGTGAGTCATGTAACTGTATCTTGACATATGTAGCGCGTGATGTAGACTAAACTTCTGCGAGTGAACAAGATAAATTCGTAAACGTGGGTACTCCTTCATATGGGACGCAACGATCGCCTTGTCTATGCCGCTCGTCTCCTGGGAACCAGAGCAGATAAACAACCATGAACAAGAAGTGATTGAAACCCCGATCGTCTTGGTACAAGGATGCGGAGCTGGTAAAGGTAGGGAGATTGATACGACCTATGTTGGCATTATTGCCAATGGTCGCCATGGCTGGACAACGCTGCATCTAGCTATAGGTCTTCGGTATCACCAAAGTAATTTTTTTGGTTCCCGAATGCTTCCTCAGCGGCAACCGCGTCTCGTAGGTTTTCCCTTCATGTCCTTTTTGCGTTTTAGCTCATCCTTTGAACAGCCGAGTGCTGTACCTCTGCCCCGTGTGCCATGATTGCTGCAAGCCGCACATAGTTGGACGCGCATTAAATGAATGCAACATGCCGACCAGACACAATGAACCAGACTGCTCACCACATGTCTCTCCGACTCATCATTGTTCCTCATGTGTCCCCGACGTCGCAACAATTCCAGACTATTGTCTAGGGCAGTGGGTGGTATCAAGTGATAAGCCTCTCCTTGTCGGCGATGTCCTAGACCCCGACTGTTTCAAATATGTAGGTATTGAGTCATTGACCAATTATTTACAGTTGCGGACTAGTTTACAGCCCATGGCAACCAATATTGGAATCGGGAAAGCGACCTAGCGTATATGATTGTAGGCCTTTTGCGAAAGAATGACGGGTGATTTGCTACTAGTACTATAACTAGAAAAAAGAACCTGTTTCATATTCCACCATCTACCCGTCCTTGGTCCCCATTAACTGATGTTCGATAGTCTGTGCGCAAGGCCAACTTGAGTGGTTAGTTTCTTCATCCGAAATGCCGAAGCTCCATACGTCAAGTAGTACGTACATAGTCGATAGGTTGGATGGCTATTTAGGCCTGCTATCGCTGCTGGTGCCACTGAAGTTGAGCTCTTGATATCGGCCTACACCCCCAAGGAGTGGTCAAAGGGTCAAAGTTCAGCCCGTGACTTCACTACGGGGCGCCCGGAAACAAACAGAACATGCGGAGTATAGAGGTATTTGTCACGGGTATCCTCTTGTTCGAGCCGGGGTCGTCTTGGTATAAATCTGCAGAAACTTATCTCTCTGGGAGATGACTCTCGCCGCACGCGGGCTGGCAGGGTTGACGTCTGCGGCCTGCGCCCTCCGAGGTTGGATGGACGGAATTTCAGGCTCTGTGCTTGGCGACCAGCCAAGTTTGAGAATAGAGATAATAGGCGGACTAGTGTAATGGCTGTTGGAAAGAAACAAACCATTGGCCATCGGGGTTCTTCCTTACACCACATGCAGGTTAATCCCCTCTGTACAGTCACCAAACACATGCAAATACAAAGTATGGGCAATTCGACCAAGTTTCTTCAGAGCTTAAACGCATCAATGATCGACGTCCACCATAAACTTTAAACGTAGTTTCAGGAAACAAGATGACGTGCAGATAGCATGCTCCCTCCGCACATTTTATATTGAAGGATAGATGGCAAAGCCGCGAGCCCCCTTGATCTTGGGCGACGGGGGACAAGGGACGATGCCGCACAACCCAGGCCCTCCGCAACATTGCACCCTGGCCCGAAGGGCCACATATTTTCCCGAGGTGAACCGTCCGGTTGTTGGCAGCAGCGGTTCGGCCGGGCAGGTTCCAAGCATCTCAAGAGGGGCCTCCCTCTGTGCGAGAGCTATTCCGATTCTCCCGAATAATGCGCGGCGCATGAAACTCCAAGGTCCTGGTGACGGCACCTGAAAAGTTTAAACATACGAGCCGGAGTGGCGGCAAGCATGTCTGGATTCCTAGTGGACAAAGATCGCGTGTAGATCGGGCAGGGGGTTACGGTTATGCCAACCAGACTCTGCGAACTTGTGTCCGTACATATGTACATACTTTTACACACATGCACACTTGCGACAGCGGATTCTAGGCCGCTGTCCTGCAGGACATGTTGGCCAATTTCCCATTGCCCACTTTTTGCTCCCTGCTTCTCCGCCGTTCCTGCATGTGTTTTGGATGCATGTGCGAGGTGATTGTCGTCTGCGGTCTCGAGTCGGCAAACATCACAAACAGGTTGGGGCAGATGTCACCTCACCCGACGAGGATCGGCCATATCACAGGGTGATCCCGTATCGCGTGGTATAAAATAAGGGTCGAGTTGCATCGCCCTGGTGTGGCTAGGACAGGGTTGGACAAGCCACCAGACTGTACCACACATTTGTAGGCACGAGCTGGCCATTTGGGCAAGTCGTGCACCAACTGGTGTATCATTGGTCGAAAATCCTCATTCAAGAGGCAAAGGCTTCATGATTGCCGTGGCCAAGTGCTGTTCTCCAAGAAACCGGTTTCGTGTGGCAAAAAGAAAATCGTCTTGCAGTCGGGGGCAAGGCCCTGCATGAATTTGAGACCAGCATGTTGGGTCGATGGCTGTTTCCTCGGCAAAAGAAACGTGAACAGCTCGTCATGACATGAACTCATGCTCTCTGCTCACTTATTCGGCTGCCCTGTGAGAGCGACAGTTGCCTCGGGCAGAGTGGGAGGTGTTCTGGGGCAAAGTCTCGCTGGTTACTAGTTGACGAATTTGTTCTGATGTCTGACGAGCTGTTTTCCGCCCCTCATCTTGATCTCTTGACTTTTGAGAAACAACTCTGCCGATTGTACGGAGTACGGAGTAGCGCATTGAACAAGCCCCGGGTATCGCGGTTCCATCGAGGCCGTCCTGGACTCATCCAGGGCAACTGGGCGACAGGTCTTGAGTGTTTTGTCCTTGTTGGTTGGCGTCGTCCAACAAGAGTCGTGCTTGGCACAACACACTCAGGCCGCCATGTGAGCGAGGCTTGCAATTGCTTCGGGTCCCGTGAACCTGGGACGGCGTTGACCTCGGTCGGGTTGGTAGTTTGTTGGCTGCAAGGAAGAAACCCAACGATGCGAAATTGTATCCATCGCCAAACTCGAACAATCTTTGGAGAGTACGGAGTACAGAGTACTAGTATGTATGCATGTAGTATGGGCATTTCATCGGATGTCACCACAGCCAAGCCAACAAGTATGCAAGGGGCCGCCCAAAGCTGAAAAACAAGAGACACAATGAACCATGGGGCTTCCCGCCATCCGCTAGGGCCAATTCCGGGGCGTTCTCTTGATGGCACTGGCTAGATGGCCGGCCGCTCGGTAAAAGGGTCGATGTCTGGTCTGGTGTTTCCGGCTGCCGACCGGTGCCCCTCGAGCCTTGCCGGTGCGCCAAGATGAGGTAATTAATTCGCGAGACGGTAGAGATTTGGCATCACCAGGGTAAAACCATTGCCCGACTGGATGCCGGATACTAGTTATTGGCATTTCGTCTCGGGGCCACGCTGCGAACGCCGCTCTGGGCAGATATCTTGTCTCCCCCCATCCACACCCTCCTGGGCGGCATTCCGTCCGGCACACAACCAGACGCCGTCCAAGTGCCAGCGTAGGGCGTAGTTAGTACCGGCAACAGGTTGACGGCGTGGCTTCTTGGATTCTAGCGCGGCAACATGTCCCGTCCCCACCGTCTCAACTCATTGTCTTGGGCATGCCAGCCTTGGCCGCTGATCAGGACAACTTTATCTCGAGGTATTGTTCCGTCTCCACTGCACCTCCCGACCTTGTTTTAGAAAAAAGGATCTTCTCTCTGCCCGTTGATCGGGTCGATTTGCTTCTGACTCGATCGAAACCCAGCCGTGACGAATTCCATTGCGTCTGGTCGAGCCTGGGCACAGGGTCCCCCCGGCTGCTCCCACACAACCAGCCTGTTTCTCCTCGTCCAGGTTCGCCCTGGGCAGCCAGACATGGAGTTACATACAACGGCTCATCTCGCCGGGGCCGGGGCGGACGCAGGAGCCCAACCCAACAGGTCCTTCAATAAGCAACCGTCTGGTCCCGTGTTTCCGGCGCCCGATGAATATCGCGATCCCCTACTCCGTACCCAGGCAGGGCCTTGGCCAACCCGCACCATGGTTCACGTCTGGGTCGGTCGTGGAGACTCACTACGGAGTACTCCGTACATTCGAGCCACATGCAACATGCACACGATTTCGGCTCAGCTGTCTTGTCCAGCGCGCAGCGCGTGTCGTCTGGTCCAATCACCCCGGGCGAGACAGCACACACCACCGGCCAGTAAGGCCATGGGCAAGGTTTAACTCGCGCTCGTTGTACGGAGTAGTACTATGTACAGATGGCCAGGGCGGGAAAGCAGAAGCAAGGGCTTTCCCCGTCCTGTATCCCCACGTCCCGTCTCAACTCATCAACTCACGTTGGTCGCAGACACACAGAGAGACAGAGACACAAAGGGAGAGAGGGCCAGGCTGCCGTGAGTGCTTCTGGCGTATGTTTGACTACTAGGGGCACCGCGGTGTGGATTCGGCATGCTCTGCGCCGAATCCAAACAAGAACAGGATGCAATTGCCCACGGGGGGGTTGGCAAGTCATGTCGTACTCACTCTGCCGTCTCGCCCGTTTGGCATTTCTCCCATTTCCTAATCCATCCTCACGTTTCTTTTGCCGACTTCTCCTGCTCTCGACATATATTCTTCACGCCCGCCGTTCTCTGCCAAAGCTCCCCGGTGCCCGATCCCGAGCAGACAGAGTCTACCGGACCGCCTCGCATCCCGTCTTCACTTGATGATACTAGCCCCCCCTCCTATGGCTGGTGCTGAATCGCCTCCGCTGTTGCGCAGTTGCTAAATAAACGCTGACGAGACGAACGCTTAAGCCTCTATGTGTATTGTTTGCCGAGTTGTCAAGCGAGACACGGGTTGACAACCATTTCTGGCGCATTGCTCGGGCGCACCTCCCGAGTCGTTTCTACAACTCCCGTGTAGACTTTTGCTTCTTCTTTACATTGTTCCTCGCCTTACCGGTATACATTTGGCCTTCTAATCGTCGCCGGCATCATGGGGTCCGAGTTCGGAGTAACGGCCGATTCCAAGAAGGAGGCCAACTTGGACGGCGTTGGCATCTGGTGGGTAACGTGGGCGTGTGTGTGGACGTTTGTGCTCCTCTGCGGCATGGGATATCTCATCCACCGCCGCGACACGCCGATTCTTCGCATCCGTGGCATCGGCATGTCCCTTGCCGCCGTGGTGCTGCTTCACCTGTACTTCTTCTCCGTCCAGCTCGGCTACGTGGTCGGCGCCCTGGCCCCGGGCGACTGCGAATACTGGATCATGGGCACCTACCTGCCTCTCGGCATCGCCATGTTTCACGCCTCCAACAGCAGGTTCCTCTACGTCGCCAAGGTCCAAAAGAAGTACCTCAACCGCCAGGTGGACGGGCCGGCCAAGTCGCGGAGGGGAATGGGCCTCTTGGATCGCTTCAGGAGCCTGAATTACACCACGCGAATGGTGATTCTCGTTAGTATGGGAATGGGCTTCCAGGTCAGTGCAGAGCCTTGATGAATGAAAGTGCCAGCCCGCAGCCTTCTAAATGTCACGCAACAGTTGTTCCTTACGATTCTCATGTGGTTGATCTCCCGGAAGTGGCACAGCGGTTGGGGAATCCCCGGCACCGAGGTCTACGGCACGGAAATGGAGCAGAGGATGGAAATGGGCCGAGGTTGGGAATGGTGGCCCGGCATCTTCTGGCAATTCGTCTGGGCCTGGATCGTCGCCCCTTGCGTCCTGTGGAAGTCTCGCAACATCAACGACACGCATGGCTGGAGATTGCAGACGATTGGCTGTGCGGTGGCTGGGTAGGTTCATCTCGTCACATCTGTCGAGGCAAACCGTGCTGATGATCGGTATTAGTCTACACGCAACTCCCATGTGGCTCATTGCCCTTTACGTCCCTGCCATGGAACCAGTCAACAAATACTTCCTGCCTCCTCAATGGTGAGACACTCTCGTTTGCATTTACATGGCTGCGTCACCTAACGCTGTTGTAGGATATGCATCTCGATATTGGTCTTGGAAATTTTGACTGTTTTCCTGCCCTGTTGGGAAGTCGTGCAAGCGTCTACTCTCCGTCAAGAGACCCTGGACTCTATTGCGCAATGGGAGAGAAAGAACAAGAACACGGGCTCCAGCGCCAAGTCTGTCAATACCGCTTCCACAGCCATCGACTCCCTGATGAGCGGCCGCAAGTCCACCGTCGGCTCCGTCAAATCCACCGATTCCCAGGAGAGCATCCTCACCATGAGCGCGCTCGAGTACGTCCTGGAGCGCAACCCCACGCCGCTTCAAGAATTCTCGTCCCTCCGCGACTTCTCCGGCGAAAACATCGCCTTTCTGACCAGTGTTGCCGAGTGGAAGACGTCTCTGCCCCAGCCTGTCCGCGATGGTGTCAAGGACAGCACCACCAGGGAGCTTATCCGCGAGAGGTTCAACAGTGCTCTTCGCATCTACGCCGAGTTTATCAGCATCAAGGACGCCGAGTTCCCCATCAACATTTCGTCGACGGAGCTCAAGAGGATGGAGGCCGTCTTTGAGGCATCTGCTCGCACCCTGTACGGCGACAAGGTGGACGTCGACCCTGCCACCCCTTTTGATTTTCCAGAAGCCGCGCAAAAGACGTCCATGGAGACTTCGTCGCAAGCCTCGGAAAAGGGACGCCCTGCTGGCACCTCGTATTCCGACGGTGTCAAGTTCTGGGGCGAGATCCCCGAGTCCTTTGACGAGACTGTTTTTGACGAATCCGAGAAGCACATCAAGTACCTAGTTCTCACCAACACGTGGCCAAAGTTTGTCAAAGATCGTCGAGTGTCCATTGATATGGGTGCCTCTGCCGAGAGAGGCCCTTCAATCATGAGTTTTGTCCGCAGTCGCCGTCAGAAGAGGTGAGCAGGGTATGTGTGATTGTGTAGTGGGGAAAAAAAGATGAAATTCTACCTATTGTAATAAATATCAGGAAAATATATATACCCAATGGACACTGGGTGAGCTGCTTCACCTTTTGTTGGAGGGACTCTTTCGGCGCAATTAGGAATAGTATACCCGATGTCTTGCGTCGGCCTTCTTCGAGTATGGAGCTCATTGGTTTAATTTTTGTATTGAATGGAGACTGAATTGACTGACGGTTTCAACCTGTTCACATGTTTCCTGCTTGGCTTTTTGATGCCAATTCATTACACTTCATGGTGCACCGTGGAGGTTGAATGCTCACGGGCAAGGCCGCTACGATTATAAACGCTTTGCGTCACGATGCTGACCGATGGACAGTGTCGTGTACTAATGCCCCCGACATCCACAACTGAACCAATTGACAAACGAGAGTCGCATCGACTAGCCCGCGGAATTATATATTGACCCTTTTCACAAGTTTAGAGACCACAGTCGGTTACGGGAACTGCGAATGTCTGGAAGCTTCTGTGTCACCGGTAAGCCCGAGCTATTTCCCTAGGGGGCTAGAGGTGGCGTTCATCTTGTCAAACACTTGTCAACTTTGGCCCAATCGTGCGCCCTCCACCTGACATGCCGGGGAGCCCCTAATTTCTTCAATATCGTTCATCATTCATATTCGCGGTTATATGTGGAGTGATGCCTGCCCTCGCCTGGTGTAGTTCAACTTCCGCGTCACTTTCACTTACACCACCACGGACCGCTGCCTCACCACCCAACTACACACAAAGACACAATGGGCTCCGCAACAATAAATTTGACGTATCGCAAAGCCATAGACGCTGACGCCAGGGACGTCCAGGCACTCGTCAAGTCCGCATACCGCGGGGAATCCAGCCGCACAGGTTGGACCACAGAAGCAGACCTTGTTGCAGACGACCGCATCGATGAAGCAGGCGTCGTGTCAAAAATCAACCAAAAAAACGGCCTGGTGCTCGTCGCACACGATGAGGCTGGTGCACTGGCAGGATGCTGCGAGATTGAGCGCAAAGCCGGCGGCATCGGATATTTCGGCCTCTTTGCCGTCGATCCTACCAGACAAGCAGGTGGATTGGGAAGAAGAATTCTGGCCGAGGCGGAAAACATGGCGCGGGATGAACTTGGCGTGCGAGTCCTGGAGATGCTGGTTATTTGGCCGAGAAAGGAACTCGTGGATTGGTATATTCGGAGGGGGTACACCAAGACGGAGAAGACGAGACCGTTCCCCTATGCGCACCTTGTGAATGGGCAGGCTTTGCGGGATGACTTGTATTTTGTCGTTTTGGAAAAGGAGCTGTAGGCCCTTTTCATCTTGACGGCCTGGAGAGGACACGGAGAGCGTTGACATGAATTCAGAGCAACCAAGATATAAACAGCATGCATTTTACTATCGTGTGGACTGATTTGAGAGCCGCTTTTGAATTGAATAGGGCCGGGGCGTGAGATGCCCAGGCCACGTCACAATACCAGCGTTGTTTCCGATGCGACAAATACGACATGAACGCTCTGGTATGCGATTAGCGCGCATACGCCGACGGCTATTCGATGCACAAAACTCTCCGTCGCCCTCATCGCTTTTTGCATACATATCAGTAGCAGCCGCCCTGGTGCGGCCGGCCGTACCGCACGGGTTGTCGCTTCTCACCCTCGGCCAGATAATCATAAAACTGAACGCACTTTTGCTCCACCATTTCCCTCATATCAAACGACTTTGACGAAGCATCAACCGTGTTGCCATTGAAACTCAAATAAGTCCCATACTCGGGATGGCCCCCGTCCTCTTTGGCTCTCCAAACTCGAGTTTTTTGGCCCTTGTCCGTATACCCAGGCACACACAGCTCTGCAAGATCGAGGTCCACCACTTCTCCCGTGCCCATAAATGTAAAGCACCGTACACCGCAGGTTTTGCAGTAGAGCCAGTGAAGGACCTTGTTGTGGATCAAGTAATCGCCTAATTCTTGTAAGGGATCGAGTGGCGACAGAAGGAGAAAATCGTCAGTTTTGTTGGCGACCCTGACGTGGAAGAAGCCTGCTTTGTGACACATGGTACAATTGCATCGGTAGATGCGCTGCTCTTGCTTGGTCGGCGGGTTCGATTCATTGTGAGTCTGGGGCAGGGTGAGGAAGGCGACGTATTTGATGGTTCCGCAATGGCATGAGCCAGTGACGGGTTGGCGGGATGCTTTTGTGTCCGCCATGTTGCTGTTGTGGACGGCGTCGGAGCTCCTCGATGAGATGGGCGACTGTCTCTATCTTCTTATACACATCAGACCTCGAGTACAGAATCTGTGGTACGCGTTGGAGAAATACCGTTGCTAGGATGGTGAGTGCAGTGCCAAATTGCCAATTATAAAACCCCGCACAGGTTGAAGCAGCCTCTCTCTCACTCTGAGAGTCGCTTGATAATTAAATGTGCTGCCTGGGCCTCAGCACCGTGACTCATATTACACGGCTGATGTCGTGCATGAAGGGGTCCCAAGCAGCCACCTTCCTTCAGACTTCCATGTTGAGGTGCCCGCTCTCGTGATTCGAATTCGCTTTTTAGCCGGCCATGGAATTCACCGTGGCTGTCGCACTGCATATGCGTTGCCCAGTGCGCTACATGGCTTTCGCGTTGGCTTCGTTGGTGGCAGAGAGAGCCCAAGGTGACGATGATGCGAGACTGCCAGCGCAACAAAGTCCCACTGTACTAGGGGGTGCACATGAAGTGGAATAGGCGCGCAACTCTGCTGTCTGAATGAACACAAGATCTTGTGTATCACACTTGGAGATCAAGCCGGGTGAAGGATAGGCAAGTTCACGGTCCTTTGAAGAGGGTGGTTTGAATGTTGGTTGCATGGTTTCATAGTAGTGCTTCAACCAACGCCATTCTGGGAAGGAGCATGTCTGGTCGACCGCACCTGCCATGAAACCAGAATGTCTCACCAGCCAATGGACTTTGACTAGTCAAGTCAGGTGCTCGAGCGCTGCCTGAATCCTCCACGTTGGACAAAACCAAGTCCTCTTCGAAGAATTTGTTCATCGCCAGTACTCCGCACTTCGTGCCGTTGACATGATTCAATGTTCTCAATCATCCCAGCACGCAGAGACTGAGACACTGACTACCGAGCCCCTACCCACTGCGTCGGAGTACTGGTGCTGATGCAGTCCCCGCCTCCAGCCTCCATTTGCCAATCATCAAGCGCAAGATTTCGCTGAGCCCCAAGTCATCGGCTTTTGCTTACGTCTATTGGACTCTTCATTAGCCGTTGCCAATTTCGGCTCAACTTCGCCGCCTCTTTCCTCATTGATTCTTCCCCGGATTTGAGCATTCGTACGGCCGTACCTGACTGTCCCTCTGCCGCCGATTTTGTCCTTCGCGGTTGATGGGGGTCCAACTCGATTGCTATCATTGTCTGATCTGTGCCGTTGTTCCATTGTGTCATAAGCGGCGGCGTGATAGTATGTGCCGGAGATGCCTGCGGTAAAGCTACCTTGTCTGCAATGCAAAGGTGAGTGCTGTCTGGTACAACCAGAGCCCTTTCTCAACGCCCGAGGCCTGCAGCTACTATACTGACCTAGAAATAGAAAAACACGTCAAATGTGAGCAGAGTGCGCCCAAATATTCGTGCAGGGTCTTTTGAAGAAGTCCCTGTTGCGTGCTTCCAGACAAGAATATACCCTGACTCTACTACTGCAGGTGACGAAGAGCGCCCCAAATGCCGGCGATGCCAGCTGAAGAAGCTTCCATGCTCTCGGCCAGTCAAAAAGACAGTCTTCAAGCATGGGTCGGTTGCAAGTTTCTCCAAAGACCAGAAATGGGTCAATAGTGAGGCGAGACATTGTGCGTATTTTCAGTCTAGTCGACACGTCGCTGATGCTAACGTGATGATACCGGGCCCTCAGTCCGCTTTCACGCTCGTGGTGGCTCTGCTGCCCGAGAACCTTTGACTCCAGATCAAGGCCCATCACCACCTTGGTCGACAATTGTTGGCCCGGGAGTCGTGTCATCAGAGGGACGTGCCTTGGGCGAAACTCAACCTACCCAGCCGTCACCATCCCATTCATCCACCAGCTCGCCCATGGACACCGACTTGCGCCCAATCCTAGCCGAGGCCTCTGATTTTTTCCCAAATTTAATGACATCTGGAAGCTTTAGCAGCGATCAAGGATTGCGTCTTAAGCAACCAGAATCGCCAAGCACGCAGGCACCGTACTTGCCCTCCATCACTCAGCTTAACCCTGGCATATACGGAAACGGAAATGGGAACCAGCGAGGATCTAGTGTCGCTCAAGCACTTTCCCAAGCGTCCCCCACTACCCAAACATCATCCATACCATGCATGTCAGTCTCGGACGACACTAGACGAGTCTTTCCGTTAGAGGATGTTCAAGAGGCATGTCTTCTCAGGTACTACATTGAGGAAATCTCTCATTGGGTAAGCACAATTTCCCACACCATGGAGTACTTGCTATCTCCTTTTCTCACAGTATGCAGTTTGACTTGTGTGATGAGAGTCGACACTTTCATCTGATTGTACCTACCAGAGCTAGGGACCACCCTCATCTTCTAAACGCCATTTTTGCAGTAGCTGCCCGTCACTTGAGCCGCTTGCCGCAGTACAAGACTCCACAGGGCATACTCTACCATGGACAACTTCTCCCAAATCTGGATGAGCACTCAGCCGTGGAATATATGCTTCACTGCATGCCTGCTCTCCGACAGTTTCACGACGTTATGGATGATGACTATCGTGATAGTATCGTTGCCACCGCCGTTATCCTACGGCAATTGGAGGAAATCGACAACGAAGACGATTCGCCGTCCCCCTCGGGACAGCCACGGAGCCTGCTATCGGGGTCGGGGAAGCAAGTTAACTTTCTTGCCATCATAGACGCTGTCTTGCGAAGCCCGCCGTCGCAATCTGTCTTTGGCCGTCGCAGTTTGATGCAAGCCGCTTACTGGATGGCTCTAAGACAAGAAATCTACCATTCCTTTACACGCCTCGAAGCTCCTCAGTTGATTTTACCCCCAGAGTTTTGGCACAGTGCCTCCAGAGCAAACAAGACTGTAATGCATCTAGTTCAAGTAGCAAAATGGAAATGGGGAGATGGCTCCGAACATGAATGGGGTGAGTGCTACCGTTTGCTTTCTTGTCGACATTATGGTAATGCTCATCACTCGCTAGCGAGACTGATGGATCAACACGAACATCTTGAGAAGCATATTCTCTTCGATATCGAGCCCATTTACAAGAAGCCAGCCGACAAGTCCAAAGGCGAGATCTTTCCCACTGTTTGGTATCGATCGAATATTGAAGTGACAAGCATGCAGCTTGGTCTCTTGGCCAAATCAGTACTGGTGGCCGAGAATCCTCAACTCAGGTAAGCTTGGCTCGACAGTTTTATTACTTACCCTTTGACTGATAGCCTTCAGGGCACAAGCAACTTCTCGATCTAGTTGGAGACACGTCGAAAATGAAGTGAGACTTCTTCTACTTGAGCAGTGCGGAATTGGCCTTTGCAACCCTGCATCGCCGCCTGCCCTTGTTCATGCTACGTTTGGAATCCAGTTATACGGGGATTTCTTCACAGACCAGTATGAGCGCCGGGCAATCAGAATGGTTGTGGAGAAATACCGAGACACCCATGCCTGGCCTGTACAGCGGCTTTTGGACATGTTCCGTTGAGAGTTTTACGATGATGTGGTGACGCATTAGTTATATGTACGAGCTCGAATACGGCCTAGGGAAGAGAATCACCGGGACTTTACCTAAGCTGCCCAACTCGCAGTCGCATTAGGGCAAAATATTACCCTGCAAGACCATATACCGCCCGAGACGCGCCAGGGCCAACGTGGCTTTGCGTTCCGCCTTGTGCGGTTTCAGCTTGCGACAACGAGGGTTTTGCAACGCACTACCTCTTCCTGCTTTGGATATGTGCCTGGCAACTCACCTGATCGGCTAATTAGAGCATCTGTTAGGGTATGGGCGACACAGATTTACTCTATACCTTATATTGCACATTCTAACGGCTTCGGTTCTGGCTGCTAAGAGTTCCGTTTTATCATCGCAAAATAAGATGGCAGCCTGCAGAGGGGTCTTGTGATGGCCCGTCAAGGTTCTGTGGCTGATGAGAAACAGAGGAGAGCATCGGCATTATTCACGTGGAACAAGTCATAAGGAATTGACATGAAATGAACGAAGTAGGTGTTGATATCAACATTGGCTCCAAGGACAGGGCCGTTCGGCTCGGTTCTTTTACCGTGGCGTGAAAGGATCAAAGAAAAGTCTTGGCCAGCGATGGGCGGTGAGAAGTTGGCATACAATAAAAACACCACCCATAGATATATGGCACTGGGATTTTGCCTCGCAAGATCTTGATTCTTAATGTCAATGCTCCTACGAGTAATCAGGTCTTTCCTGCCATGGGCAAAGCCAAGTCCTTGTTCTTGCCTTGTGCGATTTCTTGATTGGGGAAGCTTGGATGAAATGAATCATATACCGGAAAGCATGCGAGAATATACTCGGCGATGTTGAGTCAGTGAGACATCACTTTAAACAAAATAGACCAAGCCATGCCACCACTCTTTCTGCGCCACCCTCCTAGAAGCCGTATATACCGGAACTGAATCTATTCGTCACCGGCAACGTGACGTGATAAGTAGTCCGTCGAAAGATGTGCGTGTCTATGAACTCGAGTTTATTACTTAGTTGAAGGGGTCCTATGCGAGGGACCCTAAGCGTCTGGGGGACGGCTTGAGAATGAAAATACTCCCCTTCATGCTAGAAGTTGAGATGTTCCTCATTTCGGGGACGTAAAAAGAGATGGTAGAAATTAAGCTTGCCGGATACACACTGCGAAAGAAGTAGAATCACTGGAAGCAACCGAACCAACTTCAAGTGGTGCGCAATTTCCTATAACGCTATAGAACCTGGGGGCATATTGCTCTGGTAATCTTCACCTCTCAGAGGGGAATGAGTGACCTAAGTCTCCTCTTCGCTTCCATCTTCAATGCCCTGTACTCATCCACCGTTCTCCCCGCGGCGTCTCTATTCTCAAGAGCCCGCCGCGTGAGATACCCAAGGCACTCCATCAACGTTCCCCAAGTCGAGCACTTGTAGACTTCAGGCCCGGGCCCCTGCCTCTCCCCAAGCCGTAGCAACCCGAAGCTGATCTCGTCCGACATGCCCTGCAGTTGAGCAAACCCAACAGGCACGGTCGGCAAGCCCTGCAGCAGACGCTGCCGGTGCAGCGCATAGGAGCCAAATACACTCTCCTTATTGTGCCCGCACAGCATCAGGTTCACAGAGGGAAAGGGGCGGCCGCCTCGGGCCCCCATGCTGCCCATGTGTCTGCGCAACGCGCCGTGGGCAATGGCGTTGTAAGCATCGTCCGTGTTTCTCTTGGTGTCGTGGATAAGGTCCCTCCTTTCCGTGGCCAGGTAAGCGCCGCGGACAAGCTTCAGGCCCAGTGTGAAGTTTCCCTCGAGGGCGGCCATCAGATGCGATTCTATCGCCGACGGCGTGCCCTTCAGATAGGCTTGGTACGTGTTATATACGAGGGCCTGGCCATCCCGGTTGTACACCTTCATGAGATCAAGGCCGGCTTGGGCAATGGCATGCTGGTAAAGCTGAGACTCGGCGTCTATGAGCAATCGCACTTGGCGCTGTTTGCACTCGTCGCCGATGGCCATCAACGCCGCGGACATTTGCTCGGGGAGCGGCTGTCCGGCGGCAAGGGCCCCCGTCACCAGGGGACCGGCGCCGGTCATCCTAGCAATCACGCGAGGTTAGTCGAGAGTATCTGAAGTTGGGCATCGTGATACACACTTGACCGCTAGTTGGTCGCCTTGTCCCAACATGTCGATGGTCTCTAATACGCCGTTGCGCCAGCTCTGTATGTTTGGACACGGATCCGTGGGGTTGCCTGAAAATGATGCCATTTCCACGCCCTGGACGCCCTTTTTGTTGTAGTCAAACACCGTCTCTCTCGCGTACGTGACAATTGTTCCTCGGAATCCCATCGTTTTGAACCGCTTCAGCGTTTGCCTGACCTCGCTGCCTGATTCCCCGGCGCAAAAGTGTCTGTAGGCCACTCTTCTCACGATCCACGCAAGTAGTTTGTTGCGGTTGATGTCAAAGAGGAACGGCCTGTTGGGCTGGGTCAAGAAGTCCATAAAGGAGATGGCCCGACTCAGAAGATGTGGCCTGGAAGAGATGGAGTTTACAAACAGAGATCTGAAAAGAACCCCCGTGGGCAAGGCGGATAAAGGGGCAGGCGACGTTTCTCCAGACACCGTGGCTGGCGACGCATTCTCGGCGTACGTGGCGATGGGGGGACTGCAGAACTTGCCGTCGGCTGTAAGTGGCAGAGAGCTGCTTCTTGACGATGCTTGTGTGGACAGTGCTCTATATGCTATGCGAGCATAGTGCCCGTGTCGGAGAGCGGCCATCTCCTCAGTGAGTATGTTGACGAGAATCTGGGTTGCCCGAGGCTTTGGCTACTATGTCGCGAGGCGACTGGCAAACTTTAATGGCCACGATCCCCCGCGTTCTTGGTAGCGCCGTAGCGCCCGTTTCTGTTCAACGCCATGTTTGCGAAGGAGGCTTGTCGGGTTGCAAGCCGAAACTATGTGGTACGATACTGGAGACTTGTACTATCGTACTATGCTATATGCTCACTATGCTCCGAGTTCTGCACCGCGTGACCCCTATCATGCAACACATGGTTGTCTCGAACATTCCCCGTTGAGTAGGTGCTGCGCCTAATGGCCAATGATCCGGCCACGTTGTTTTTAATAACGTACCCCGTTCTTGGGTCACTTGAGTTTACATGTTGTAACTTGTTACCCTACTGTATAGTCATACTGCGGCCTTGCAGCAGCCCAAGGGCGCGCGCCTTATCCTGTATCAGTCATTCGTGTATTCCTCATCCGGTGCTGCCTCGGCCCAGGGTGAAAGAGGTGTTCACATCAGATACTAGACATGCTCATAGCCCTCTACCAGTGCCACTGATGTCTTCCGCGGCAAGCGGTCCTGCGGTGGAATACTTGGTAGTATGCGGGGAAGACGACGGTTCGAGAGCCATTTCTGGGCTCCAACGGACTGCTCGGACTCAACACCTAGATTATCATGACAAACGAGAAAGACCATGGCGGCCGGAGAGTGCACTTGCCGACTATCGGAAGGACTGCCGTAGCGCGCCACGTACCATCCACACCAACTTGCAACAAAACTCCATCCATCGGATCGGCGCCCGGGCCCTCCACGAGTCAGAATCCGGGGTAATGTAGAATAGTCCAACGTGGGGTAGAGGCCATGCTGCAGTATACAGTCCATTGTGCGATATCTTGATCCCCCGTCATCCCGAATCATCTAGTTGACAACGGTGGTCGACTCTTGGCAAGTTTATACAAGAGGAGATTAACAGGTGTCGGCTACCCCCGGAGCCAATAACTGATGTCGTGCCAGCAGGAGTCGGGTTTACAAAACATTCCTCATTGGTCTCGCCACCCGGGTACGTTGCGTCCGCAAAACCTGTGGGCAAAATGAATGGTGGTTCAGAAGGAAGGAGTGTGTGATGGGACGACTGCTGGGGAACATGGCCTTTACAATGGGCAAATCGTGTGCCCGACGTCGGAATCATCAGATCCACTTAAATCCATCGACGGGAGAAGCCAAGGTGTTAAGCTGGTCCGTTAACCTTGGGCGGCTGGGCTTGCAAATCACCTTGTACCTACCTTTGCTTTCAGCACGCCACACGAGTACATATTCTTGGCCAATGGCAGCACCCAAAAATACGGCTGCTTCCAACCATATTGTGTCCTAGGACTCCTGCTCATGACTGTTGTCTACAGCCGATATACAGTTGTTGTTGTGTGGCTTCGGGATGTCAAGGGGATTAATACGCACTACGCCATGCCTGAAATTGCAAACCTGCTGTTCGTAGCCTGGAAACTCGTACACTGTACAAGAACAATCCAGCCAGAATAAGCTGATTGGTGTGGGAAAGCTGAGGATAAATGTTCATGAGGAAATGTTGGACATCAGTTTCTAGAGGTAGGTGATGCGGGCATGTAGAATCGGGACGCTGATCAAGGCGAATTCTGCTGAGTCTTTCCGAATATACTGTCATCTCGCCGAGCGCTGCTCTCTTTCATAGCGGTAATGCTGGTCTTCATCAACGTCCGTAAATCGATTGCGTCTCGTGTGAGAATGTCACTGTCTTGCCCTACAAGCGCTCATGGTGGTACAGTCACTACAATCTCAAACAAAGTTGAAAGAAAACCAATGGACCAAGAGGACCTGTGTACTTCATCTTGATTAAAGTACCATAGTTCCATTGAAACACTTTCTCCTCGCTCGTTATGCTACAGCTTGGTTACGCTCGCCGGACTCGTTGCTTGGGTAAGTAAACGCACCCAGAGGAGAAAACTCCTCCTTGATGGTTCTCGGGCTCGTGAACCGCCGCAAGATATCCGAACTTCCCGCCTTATCGTTTGTACCGCTTGAGCGAGCTCCCCCGAATGTCTGCTGGCCAATCAAGGCCGCCGTGGTTTTGCAATCTAGCAGAGGCAACTCGGTTAAGACAAAGAGGCAAAGAGGTACGCGATGACGGTTGAATAACTGCGAAAGCAGACTTACTGATGTAGAAATTGCCTGCACTGTAGCGCAAGGTATCCTCGACCTGACGGATGATCTTGCGATCCTTTGCAAAAACGGCACCAGTTAGAGCAAACCCGCCGCCGTTTTTATCCACGCTTTGCAAAGTTTCGCCCCATTTAGCGTCGGGATACACATGAATTACAAGCACGGGCCCGAAAATCTCCTTGTTGAACAGCTCGTGGTCAGGCGACTGGGCCAGGTACACGGTTGGGGCAATATAGTACCCCTGAGAATCATTGCATTTGCCGCCCGTGATCAACTCCAAACAGGGGTCCTTATTGCTCTCTTCAATGATATTCTTGATCTTGTCGAAGGAGTGTTTGTGGATGACGGGGCCCATGAAGGCCTCGAAATCCTCGTCGGGGCTCCCAATGGTCATCTTTTCGACCCCGGCTTTGAGACGGGCAATGAACTCCTGGGCCCGAGACTCGGGGACATAGACGCGCGAGGTAGCCGAACACTTTTGGCCTTGGTACTCGAAGGCGCCGCGGATGGCGTGGTTGACTGCGCTTGGAATATCGCCCGATGCGTGGACCAGCTGGAAATTCTTGCCGCTGGTCTCTCCGACAATGCGAGGAAACTCGCGGTATTTCTTGCTGCCGATGCCTTGCCCAATCTTGGCATAGATGGAGCGAAAGACATGGGATGATCCGATAAAGTTGATTCCCGCAAAGTCCTGGTGGTCCAAGACTGTGCTCGTCACTTGCTCGGCATCACCTGGCACCATTTGGATCACGTCCGTTGGCAGACCAGCCTCCAGCACTATCTTGTAGATTAAGGTGCTAGGGTAGATGCAGTAGGGGGAAGGCTTCCACACCACGACATTGCCCATTAAAGCTGGGCCGGAAATGAGGGCGCCACCCAAGGCTGTAAAGTTGAAAGGAGAAACGGCGTAGACAAAGCCCTCCAAGGGGCGATGCTCGACTCGTCTGAGACGGAACGGTCAGTAAGACGCCAACAGTGAAGATGAAAAATGTTTACTCACGTCCAGACTCCGTCTGTGCCACGGGTGGGCTGTCTCGCAAGTAGTTCTGCGGCATAATTGCAGTTTAATCGGAAGAAGTCTGCCAGCTCGGCCGCAGCGTCAATTTCCGCCTGCCAAACGTTCTTGCCCTGCCCTAGCATGGTTGCTGCAATAAGCTCATATCGATACTTTCCCGAAACAAGCTCCGCCGCCTTGAGAAATACCGCGGCCCTGTCTACAAATGGCATCTCTTGCCATTCCCTTTTGGCGAGGAGCGCCGAGTCGATGGCCTTGTTCACTTGCTCCTTGGAAGCCAGTGGGAAGTTGGTAAAGACTGTCTTATTTTCTGCGGGCAGGACCTGCATCTCGGAATCTTGAGCCGCCTGTGCTTGGCCATTGTAGAATATGTCACTTCTGACGGGGAGTGAAGCCCGGAGGCGTGCCAGCTCCCTTTCTACTTGAGTCCGCTCTGCAGAGCCTCTTCGGTACTCGGGCTGGAATTAAACCACGTTAATTCAATGTATTTTTGAAAGATTGACAATCAGAGGCGACGTTACATTTGGCTCATTTCGTTCGTCTGGCAGTCGAAAGGGGATCGTGACTTTTGTCCTCGTCTGAACGAGGCACGTCGACCGACTGCAAGTCGTCAGAAGCAATTTCGGTCGAGTGCGAGCCGCCAGCCGTGTAGCCATGATTGTCGAGTTCGGGATTGCCCTTTTCACTGGGTTTACTTGTATGGCGATATCCAATGGTTGGCGTTTTGTTTTTTGTGGAATTCTCAAGTGCGACCAGGAGATGGAGAGAATCTCGCTTGCTGAACAAGCGGGCAAAGACCGAGCCTGCCTGCACCATTTGGTCCACATATGTACAGAAATTCCCAACTTGAATCGACCTTTTTAATCTGGTTCAGGCAGCTTACACAAACTTGCGGGAAACGACTTCGGCGACGGTCGGTTCCACACTCGGAAGCGCTGCCGATGAGGGCTCACAGAATGCACCACGGCTCTTTTGCCGAGACTCGACTGTGTGGCGAGGGTGGCACCCAAAAATAACGAGGTACTTGGGGAAATTACTTCAGTTTCAGGGGACCAGAAAAAGACCTGCATTCGAAAGACGATGCTCTGCGAATGCAAATTTGCGTGTCTATGCGTGATACGTGGAAAGACATTGCAAAACGGTAAACCCGTCATCTTTTGAATAGGCGACCAGGATATTTACACAAACAGGGTTCTGGTTTACTTTCTAGTGTCATTTAAGTGTACATCGCTGCCCATCAGGCGAGCAACCGTGACAGCCTCTCGAAGCGCCCGGCCAACATGCCCTCTCACGGCGGTCTCTTCCAACACCATCAAGCCGCTCATTGTACAGCCCTCGGGAGAGGTTCCTTTGTCTTTGATAGCAGCAGGCTGCATGCCCGTCTGTAGCATATGGGCTGTGCCCAGCATCGCCTGTGCAATACCAGCATGAGCCACGTCGCGCGGGACTCCTACGGCAACAGAAGCATCAATGAGGGCTTCGCAGATGATGGCGAAGAAGGCGGGTGTCGATCCGCCCACCACTGTGGCCGCATCTAACAGACTCGGGGGCAGAACTATTGTCTTTCCTATACGGTCGAAAATCGCCCTGGTGAGTGCTAGGTAGCGTGTTGGCAGTTCGGGCTGAGGCGTCTCAATGACGGTGAGCCCTTGATGAACCACCGCGGCCACGTTGGGAAGGGTGCGAATAACCCAGACTTGCTTTGGATAATCCACTCCTGAAATTTCTTCTGGGATTATTTCTCTGCCATAGATCATGGTTTCGAGTTTCTGCCTCGTCCATCCCGCAGCGACGCTTATGAGCAGCTTGCCAACCAAGTTGTCGCGCATACCTTGCGCGGTGAGTACTGAAGCTACATCGGCAGGGTCCGTGGCTAGAATAATGACATCAGACTCATCAACTGCCCGTTCGTTCTGGTTTTGGTAAATGCGTAGTTTGTCTTGATGCTGGCAGAATTCTTCCTGCAATCTGGTGACGGACACCTCGGTTCGCACGCTGACAATGAATTGAGAAAATGGACATATTCCTTCCGGGCCTTCCTTCGGAGTACTGAGCAGGCCACCTAGAATTGCGGTTCCTAGATTGCCTAATTTCGTGGTTTCTCCGTGAGCATTACGGTTGAAAGAGTGCCATGAAACTAGGATTCCTTCCGGGTTCATCGCCAAAATATTACTAACCGCATCCTATGAAGCACAATGTTAAACCCTGCTTATCGCCCATGGTGTTTACCGGCTCGGAGCTATAACCAAGAGAGCGCTCTCTGAGAAGAAACGACAGCTGTGAGGCCCTTTCAAGAGTTCAGATCACTGTAGACGATGTAGAATGTTAACTGCCTTGGGCTGCAGAATTTATGGTGACGACATACCTACCTCGGACCGGGATCAGTGTAATTGTTGACAAGGGATGGATATTGATCAATTCCAATTATCGTGGATATTTTGTGGCCTGTTTATGTAGGGCTTCTAATCTCTCCTCGGGTACGGGTCAGGCTGTATCACATGACTCTGTACAACATTGAATAGTAATGAGCCTGCCTCCCTGTAGGTAGATACGGGAGCGAACCCGAAGTACATTGGATGCCATGGCAGTCTTGCGGCCAAGCATGGAGCAAGGTTATTCTCTTCAATTCCGGAACGCAAAGTTGCTTTGAGTAGTGATGTTTCCTCTTTTCGCGATCTATCTATAGAATTAATTGATAGCAACAATGTTACTGGTGCTTCAAGTCGGCAGTGACGATGGGAGGCAAAATATATACAACCTAACCCTAACCCTGGTATCATACTTGAGGCTATACCAAAACGTATCGTAACTTATTGATAGACAAATATATCCTGCCATGGACCATACATGCATCTAGATATTCCGCACTATACAATCTATACAGGAGATATCTGCCGAGGCACTAGAGCCCTGCCAAACCCTCGGGTGTATTCCCGCCGATTACACCATTACAAAAGCGAGGCAAAGCAACATTGAACCTCCACCGTCTCGGCAAGCCACCCGAGGGTCCAGTGTATGCGGACGAAACGGCCGACACCTCACAAGTACACAATAATCAGCTCATCATTCATATCGCGCAGTCGACTACTCGGAGCTACCAAAGTCGACCCAAAGCTGAAGCGTCAAACATGGCAAACTCTACGCCCATTGTCATCGTTGGCGCCGGTGCCTTTGGCCTGTCCACGGCGCTGCACCTGTCCAGAGCCGGATACAACGACATTACCGTCCTAGACAAGGACGACGCGGTGCCATCGCGGTATTCGGCCGCAAATGACCTCAACAAGATTGTCAGAGCCGAATACGAAGACGCCTTCTACACAGAGATGGCACTGGTAAGCAACCACAGCCGCGTCTATCCCGGCAATAGGCATCAGACTGACAGTCGGCCGTCTCTGCTTCGGCCCCCGTCCAGAAAGCAATGTCGGCCTGGAGGACGCCGCTCTTCGCCCCGTACTACCACCAGACGGGGTTCCTGCACTGCGTGTCCGAGACGGCTCCAGAAAAGGCCGTCGCCACGATGCAGCGGTTCCGGGCGTCGGCCGAGCAAAACGCCCAACTGCGCCGGCAGCTCGTCAGCATAAACACCAGACGCGATATCCTCCACCATGTGCCGCAGTTCCACGACGGGCCGCTCCCCGGCTGGAGAGGCTATCTGAATCGCTGCGCCGGCTACGCGCAGTCCGGGCATGCCCTGGCCGCCGTCCACCGGCATCTCTGCCAGTCAGGCGTCCGGTTCCGTCTAGGCCCCGGCAACCAAGTAGTCGGCATCCGCTACGAGGCCCCCTCGGCCGACGGCTCGGGTGCTGCCGGCCAAACCGCGCGCGGCGTCGAGACCGCAAACGGCGCCTTCTACCCGGCGCGGCTCGTCGTCGTCGCCGCGGGCGCGTGGGCGACGCAGCTCGTTCCCCAACTCGGCTCCCAGGTCGTGGCGAGGTGCTGGTCCGTCGCGCACGTCCAGCTCACCGACGACGAGGCCTCCGCGCTCAGGGGCATACCCGTCACGTACGCGCGCGACCTGGGCTTCTTTTTCGAGCCTGACCCGGGAACCAAGTTGCTCAAGCTGTGTCCCATGGGGGCCGGCATCGTCAATACCGACGGCAGGACGGGCGTTTCGCTGCCCCCGGGGGATCTGTCCCGGAGCGCGTTCCTGCCGGGCGACGATGAGGGAAAGCTGCGGCGGCTGCTGGCTCATACTTTGCCTGCGCTGGCGGAGCGGCCGCTGGTCAAGAGGTCTCTGTGCTGGTTTGCCGACACGAGCGACTCCGACTACATTGTCGACTATGTGCCCGGGACGCGGTCCTCGGTCGTTGTCCTGTCGGGCGACTCGGGCCACGGCTTCAAGATGTTTCCTATTGTGGGATCGTGGGTGGCGCACCTGCTGAGTGCGGCTGATGGCATGCAGCACGAGGCCCGTTGGCGCTGGAAAGATCAGAAAGCGGAAATGTCAGGTAGTCGTGGGGGAGACGAGGTGAGCTGGAGAGTGGGTGAGACGAGGGAGTTGTCTTCTGTTGAGCCTACGAATCCTACATGTAGGTTGTAGCTGGAACTTGTGAGCCGGTCCTGGCGATGGACGCCAACCGTCCATGTCGGGTTGAATTAAATAGTTTCCAGCCAGACAGATGACGAAGCAAAGACGCTTGTTTCTGCTCCAGATCGCATTTTGCCAATACCATCTGGTGCATATATGTAGCCTATGCCTCGAACAACGCCTGCGACATCCACTCGCCATGCTCCGTATCGATAGAATTCACCATGTCCATGATCTGGGCCGTGGAAAACCCAGCTCCAATGTAATTCCCATCCAGCACATCGTCAGCCGCAGGGCTAGGCAAAGCATCTTCGGCGACAGAAAATCCCAGGGGACCAACATCCGCCACGGCCGACACATCAGTACCATCCTCGCGAGATGGCTGCGCGGGCTCTATTGTCTCCGCCATGCAGAGCCCGTCAATCATTTGTTCGAGGTGCCGCAGCTCAGACTGCTGATACTGCGCAATCAGATTGCCGCACTTGGATATCTCGCCCAGGATCGCGTACGCTCGTTGACGCCACGACGTCCAGGCCGAACCCGAGTCTTGGTACAGAACCGGCGCCGCGAGGAGATTCGTCATGGAAATAAAGAGTGCCTCGAGATCGTACGAAAGAAATGTCTCTGCAGGGGTACTGTCAGGAATTACGTCTACAAAGCAAGCGGCATGCGTACCAATGAGGCCCTCGCCCTGGAGGCACTCCAGGATGGAAATTACGTGCTGCGACGAGTCGAGACACATGCGCAGCAGACTCTCGACGGCGTGTGAGGAATTGAAAATATGCCGATACAAGCGTGGCGTCTCAAGACGGATCTTGTAGAAGCAGAACAACACCGGCCGTGTCGCGAGAATAATACACTGCGAGCCATCATCCAGCGTCAGTGTTGGAACTTGCCGACAGGCCCAAGGGACACATGCAGCGTACCTGGTGAAAAAGCAGGTGAATATGCGCCGACAACCGCGACACCCCGACTCTCTTGCTATTCAGATCCAGGGGAAACTGCCGGTGCAGCTCGTCCGGGAGCCCTGCCATGCTCGCCAGCGTATCCTTTGTCCGGAGGAGGAAATTGCTGCTCAGCCGCCCGTCGGGCCCGTATATCGCTTCCATCAGGGCACGTCTGGTCAGGGACTGGTTCAAATTGGACAACATTGAGGGCACAGGGGAGACGGGGGCCGCACAACACACCTCTGTCGATGGTCGCAATGAAATGCGACAGCCTGGTCCGCATGGCAAACGCGGCGGTGCGGAAGCCGTCGCCTTCAAACTCTGGCAGCGGCGCCGTCACGTCGTCGTCCCGGATCGACTGCGACAGGCCCATCAGATACGTCATTTGTCGGTCGAGAACGAGAATCGTCCACCAGATTCTGCGGCATCGCGGAACCAGCGCGTTCTCAACGTGGTGCGAGCTTAGATTCGTGTGGAGGCCATGGCTCATTGCCAGCCGTACGGCTTGCCCAATCTACTCGTGTCACATCAGCTTCCTTGCCTGGCTTGTCCAAAAAAAAGACAAGGCGAGTCTCACATAGTTGTACGCAGAGCCACGGTGCTCGATGCAATGGAGGTACAGGGCTATACAGCACAGAATCTCGGCAGCCTGCACGGGCTCGTCCCAGAGAACCGCCATGTTGGGCAGGAGGTGAATGGCGTGCGTGAAGAAGCTCGCGCCGGGGGGCTGGTTGTTTCTGCTCGACTTGGAGGTGAGGGCTTTCCCGAACGCGAGTATCAGCATGAACTGGATGAACCATAGTTGCTGGACGAGGCCGCGTGGCGTCTGGTCCCCTCGGTAGTGCGCGTGCAGGCTGTTGAGGAAGACGTCCTCGTCGAACAAGTGGTACATTGGCGAGCAGTGAAACTTGACATTGTTAATCAGGTGGATGGCGTAGTCGAGATTGGGCAGCACCGGTTGAGCCGAGGCGCTGGACCAGTCCAACATGTAGACTTTGCCGTCGAACATGAGTGCCGTGGATGGCAGAGAAACCCGGTGCACGTGCTCGTAGGTGATGCTCAAGATGCGTCGGGTGAAGGACCAGTTGGACGAATGCCCCAAGTAGACTAGATGCTGGTATCAGCGTTGGCGATTCGCTTGGACACGCTTGGCCTGGCTACTCACACGTCTTTCCTGTGTCGGACAGCATAAAGGTCGACGGCCCTGTCGATAGTGGATTCGTCAAGGGAGCAGTGTCTGGAGACTCGGATATGCTGTTGTCTAGCTGGTCGTCTTGGACGACAGTGTTGCGCGAGTCGGTTTGCTCCATCGCTTGAAGATTCGGTTGAGGCTGCAGGCGTCGAGAGACATTGGCTGCTGTCATTAATGCACAGTGAGCGCCGTTTCTTGGTCTAGAGTTCGCTGCTTACGAGGGACGTACAATTCCATGATGTGCATGAATCGTTCTGGTTGGTTTGTGTCATGGGGGTGAAGTCGCCTTGGCCAGTTGTATTGGCCATATCAGCGCCTGGGTGTATTTGGGCGGCCCGATCTTGAAGGGATGCAAGATAGCTTTGAAGAATAGACTTAGTTTGTACCAGACGTATCAAAATAGGGAGACGACAAACCCTCTTGTAACTAGGACTTTCTGGCCATAATCGTCATACTGACATGATAGCTTGCGCTTGCTACATGCCTCACAAGGGCGAGTTCCACTGCATTTGATCTTTTGCCGACGGCATCGGGCGCATCTGCAGAGTTCAGTCTCACTATTCGCAAAATGTACACGGACTAGTCACAACGAACGCATTTGGGGATCTTTTGGTTATGCGGTGGGAGGCATTCGAGGGCCGGGGCGGCTCATGTTGAGGATGCTGCCGCTGGTTGTAGCTGATGGGTGTCATGGCATGACTTTCAGAGTTTCAGCAGCAACTGTAATCTTGCGCAGGCGGTATGGATCTCCCCGTCATCATCATCAAGCGATAATTAAGGATGTTGAATGGCCCGCCACGAGGTGTCTCTCTGGCATAAGAAGCAGTTGGGCTGTGTTGATGCCCACATTTGCATCCTTCAACTACAGATAATTGCCAGGCATTGCATAACTACGGCATGCGTCGGCGAACCCCGCACAGCATCTCTTTCTTCCAAGGTCAAAGACTTGCTGGGCCCTCGCTGCTTTATCGCCGCCGCCTCCGATCCCGGCAGCCACAACCGCTGGCAGAGGCGCAAGTCGACAGCAAGACTGGAGCGACCATTGTCTGCCATATGTCTCGACATGGGGCTGCATGACCCAGGCCATCACATACATTTCCCTTTCAGCGCATGAGTTTGTGTAGCTGAGCATCGTGTCCGCCTAAGCAGTCCCCAACTCGGTTCCTGGCCACGCCAAGGACGTTTTTCGTTTTACAAAAAAAAAAAAAAATGAAATAAAAGAAAATAATCCCCAAGTCATACTTCATGGTCAACATGACAGGCAATACATAGGCACTTTCTTTTTCAGGCTACAGCCAAATGGTGGTGTTCCATAACGATAAACACCCAACAGTCGTATAATCACCATGATGCTACAGACTGCTTCGCATAAACGCCCAGCAAAAAGAAGAGCTCTTTTGAAACCCACGGCATACTTTGGCCCAGCCAGGCAGACATTGAGAGCTCGAGACACGACGACTTGGACTGTCCAATAAAACGAAGCGCGTTTGTCATGCACAAGTCGGTATCGATACTTGTATCTGGAAATGGGCTCATGTTACAGGATTCGAGGGAAACATTCCTCTTCCCATCCGTGCGGAGTCGGTCGTGTTTTATCAATTCAACGTGATCCCTGCCTCGGCCCAGATGCCAAATACCAGCCAGGTCTTGCATCTCGAGCCGCCCAAAGCTAAATACCTAGTCACGGAATCCTATCCGCCCCCCATCGACAACATGACAAAGTATGGATTATCACAGACGCCATGAAGTCGAGCTCGAAAAGAAAGTGCCCCCCGCCTCCGTTGACGCTGCACGCCTTCCACGACCGAGGCGTCCCGACGTCGCCTGGCCAGAGAAGCCTGTCGCCATGTCCGATTTCGTCAGGCAGACGAACGGGAGGACAGACCTGGGCGCAAAAGAGTCCGACCCATTCGCCTACCAAGCCCATCGTCACATCACCGCGGCCACGGCCATCAACGACCTTGACGACTAGGTGCCTCCGCCCGCGAACCCCCAGCCGCAAGTCCCTCGCCAACTAACCAGTCGCAGTCTGTCGAAAGTCTCATCGCCCACAGTGACCGTCACGGCGATACCCCCGACCGTCACCGTCACGGCATCCCAGCAAGACGCCGCATCTAACATGACCACTTTATCGACGGTCATGCCCACAGCCGGCGGCAATGGATCAGCGCCGGCGGGGAATGTGATTCCCGCCCCGGGGGCAGGGTTCCTCGTCGGGGTCAGCGGCATAGCAGGCGGGCTCCTGGGCATCGGGGCCATCCTGTTCCTCTGGCGGAGGCGGGCCAGGTTGAAACAGAGGGAAGACGGGGCCGCTCCGTGACTCGTCAAAGCTGTCGTGGCAGAGGTTTCAAGTGTGTGGCCCTCGCGTTGCATTGGCGCTACGTGGAATCTATTCTTGGCAGTCTGTTGAAACATGTACGTGCATGCGCAATCGTTTGCGAATCCGGCAATCGAGCCGCCGGCAATAAGACTACGCGAGGGGACTTGATACCGGCCGGACATGGGTCGTGACTCGTCCCTGGAAACGAGTCTGTTGCAACTGGTGATATCTGGTGGATCTTGTTCCGATGAACTCGCGGGATTGGATTTTCCATCAAATACATCACTCTAGTTTATGGCTTCTCTAGCCCTTTTGAAAATTGACGTTTCCTTTTTTTTTACTTGATTTACTCGGGTCAAGCTTGGCCATTCCCAAGCCCGTCGTTTTCTACCCGGCCCATGAATGACAACCGTGACCGAGATCCATGGACGGTCCTGAGGACGCAAATAGAGGCGGCACCCGGGCATCTAGACGGTTCACGACTCTCGAGGGATGGCGCGAGGTGCAAGGCGGGCTGTTGGTGGCCGCGGGCTCGACCGTCGCCGCCATGGTGCCGAATCCCGCCTACGACCCGGAATGGCCGCTCCCAGAGGACGCAGCGACTGATCGTACGCGGCAGTCGAGGATGTACTTCAGCGAAAAGGGCGGCGCTTGGAATCACCATGGCCAGGCGGGATTGTGGCCCAATGGACCGACGACGTATGCGACTGTGATGAAAGACGAAGGCGCCGTGCAACATGGCCAGCTGGGAGTCTTGGCAGAGGGCGAGGGCGAGGACGACTTGCTCGAGGAAGACGTCAACCCTCCGTTTCACGTCTTCTCCCGGCGGAGGAAGTGGTTCATCATTGTCACCATTGGAGTGGCCGGCCTGTTCTCCGGCCTGTCGTCCAACATATACTTGCCGTCGTTGGCCGCCATTGCCAAGGTACATGTGTATCATTGATTGTTGATGCGATTTATGCCAGTGGCATCAAGGCCTTTGCCAGCGCTGACAGAGATTCAAGGACCTGCAAGTCAGCCTCGGCGACGTCTCGCTCACCATTACCACGTATCTCGTTGTCCAGGGCGTGTCTCCCTTGTTTTGGGGTTCCCTGTCTGACACTTTGGGTCGTCGGCCCATCTACATCTACTCCTTCTCGGTGTACATTGTGTCCAACATTGTGCTTAGCCTGTCGCCCAACTTTCCCGTCCTCCTGGTCTTTCGGGGTGTGCAGGCGGCGGGAAGCGCATCAACCGTCAGCATTGGTACGTCGAGTCTTCGACATTCTCAAACCCCCCAAGTACACGTACCGAGACTGACCGGTATTCTCTCAGGAAACGGCGTCATTCAAGACATTGCCACCCCGGACGAGCGGGGGGCGTTCATCAGTTTTTACCAAGCAAGTATGCCGGCCCCCCTCGTCGACATGCCCTCAAAATGCCATGACGCTGACGTGCTTGTCGTGCAGTCCGCAATTTCAGCATTGCCGTTGGGCCCGTTATTGGCGGATTGCTGGCCAACTTTCTCGGTTTCCGGTGAGTTGACACCCCTTGATGCGAGATAACACGCACCCGCAGCCCGCTCATGCGCTCCGTGTCAGCTCCGTGTTTGTCTTTCTGCTCGTCACGTCGTCCCTTGTCCTGGCGACAATCGCCGTCTTTCTCCCGGAGACGCTGCGGACAATTGCTGGCAACGGCTCGCTGCGACTGTCGGGCATCCACCAACCACTTATTCGCCGCTTCGTCAAGGAGAAACACGCCCTCGAGGAACCCGACTTCATGGGGCCTCGCCCCAAAGTGACGCTTGCGACGTTTCTCAGACCCCTCGTGCTCCTTGGGCAGAAGGATATACTGGTCAGCCTGGTATTCGGGGGCACCGTGTACACCGTCTGGAGCATGGTTGTTGCCAGCACAACAGGGCTATTCAAGGACCTCTTTCAACTCAACGACCTGCTTCTCGGTCTGGTCTTCTTACCCAACGGTACTTTTTTCCCCCTCCGTCATTCCAACCTTGATTTTTGTCTGTCCAGCTCCTGCCGGGGTTCTGGATCGACGCCACGGCGCGGGTTCTGATACTAACACTTGACTTGACGTTGTTCCCGCTAGGTCTCGGCACCATTGTTGGCTCTGCCATTGCCGGCAAACTCATGACGAGGGAATTCGTGCGATCTGAGCGGATTTACCTGCAACGGTACCCCTCTGCGACGCCGCCTTCGAAAAACAAGAAGGATTTGCCGCCCAACTTCCCCATCGAGCACGCCCGGCTTCGCCACGCGCCGTGGATATCGGCCCTGTTCATCGTGGCCACGGCGCTCTACGGATTCACGGTGCTGCCGGCCGCGCAGCTCTCCATTGTTGCCCGGCCGGGGTGGATCGCCGTGCCCCTCGTGCTGCAGTTCCTGATTGCCGCCACGTCGAATGCCGTCTTTGCCATCAACACGACCTTGGTGGCGGACCTGTGTCCGGGCATGGGCGCGAGCGCCACGGCAATTAACAACCTGGTGCGCTGTGGGATGGGCGCCGTGGGCGTCGGGCTGGTCGATTCGATGCTGGGTGCTCTCGGGGCCGCTGCTACATTCTTGGGCTTGGGTATTCTCACGGTAGGGATAGGAGTACTTTTGTATGTAGAGTGGATTTGGGGGATGCAGTGGCGGAACGAGCGACTGAGGAAGAGTCGGACCGCCAAGATGTAAAAGGGGCTCTTTCTGGTAACGGCCTGGCAAAGAAATATAGACTGTCGGTTTTAAGCTATAGATGTTGAGTTGAATATAATAATTACGGCTGCTTTGTTAATAATCCGTAGGCGTCTACAATTTTTGCCTTGTGGCTCCATTGGTCAATTGACCGGACTCAACAATATACCATACTAACCTTGTAGAAAGTATACCAGACGTATGACGACTTTCACTTTCACTGTAAAGTCAATCCTTGCAAATTGGCTTCCGCGCTCCACCGCCTTCTCCTTTAGGGAAGATGTCCCACTTTCTTAACCCGCCGCTCCACAGATTTCTATACGGACTAAGTCCCGGCTACCTGCCACTCCCGCCCAACATTTTCACATTCCCTCCCATTATCCTCTCCTCTCTCCCTTTGACTCAACTGCAGAACTCTGATGTCCAGTGATTCGTGCGGCTGCTGTGTCAATAGTTGGAGCCACTTGCCGTGACTGACAGGGTAACGGCGGGGCGATCGACTTCAGTTTTAACCAGCACTTGGATTCATGATAACAGGTATCCACCATTCGTTATACAATCCAGTTGTTGGTGTATGTCTCCCACAAGGATACATGCTTGCAGCCCAGACCATGACTCACCAGCTGATCAGTCATCAACACGTGGAACTACACTTCATACAGCAATTAGTAGCCATCGGTGCTGCTCGTGGAAGGCGAACCGACTTATTCATGCTTGAAGAAATCTGTAGTTCGCACTGTATTCCCCTCACCCATGGAGTTAAGCAAGCTTTGTCGAAGCTGCAAACAGGCATTATGTCCTGAGCAGGCCGCGCAGGATCGAGCTACTTTATCGAGGTATTTCCAACGGCACCACGAGAGCCTGGAAGATTTTTGTAATGCAGTCTCAAGCGGATGCTTCATTTGTTCAACTATATGGAAGGTCCTCAAGTCTCGTCGGCAGCCATCCTGGATCAACGGCGCTGACACAGCCTGGAATCCTATGATTTACAATCTCTGGAGCGAGAGAGAGGACTTGATGAGCATAATTTTAAGTGTTATATACAGCGATGAGCAGCACTTCGCGGATGTAGTATTCAGATTGATCTTACAGAGCGGTCAGTATCGCGACCTCGGTGAAACGGTCGCCAAGTGTTTATATATATTAATCTAACGTGGCAGACAAACAAGATGAGCCCCGTTTCTTCTCTTCCGAGATGGAGCCCCAGACTTCTTCCCTCTCCACTCTTGATTTGGCTCTGCGATGGACGCTCAACTGCCACGAACGTCATTTGGAATGTCGGCAGCTTCGAACTAAGGAAGCCTGGCGGCCAACACGTCTAATTAATATTGGGACCAAAGGTGATACAAAATGGAAACTTGATTTACTTCCTGATAAACTCCAGCAGACGCCCGTTTATATGACTTTAAGCTATAGATGGGGCTTAAACGCTAATTTGCAGCTCCTTACGACAAACATTAACTCTTTTCAGGAAGGAAGACCCATTGACGACCTTCCCAACACGTTCCGCGACGCTATTTCGATTGCGCAAAGATTTGCCGTCAGATTTCTCTGGATTGATGCGCTCTGCATCGTTCAAGATTCTAGAGCAGATTGGGAACGTGAGGCGACTACCATGGGACGTGTCTACGCCAACGCATTATGCAACATCGCTGCCGCCTCATCAGATAGCCCAGGCGGAGGTCTTTTTCGAACTAGAGACCCGGAAGAGCTTCGACCGGGTCTTGTACGTGCTGTTGTGAACTCAAATGAGCCCCCGAAGACTTAGTATGTGTTTGACGACGCTTACGCTAGCCGACAACTCTTCTCCAGTGCGCTACTCCAACGTGGTTGGGTATTCCAAGAGCGGCTCCTCTGTCCCAGAGTTCTCTACTTCACGGAGGAGCAAGTCTTCTGGGAATGTTTCGTCGAGCAAAAGTGCGAGGCTTTTCCGTATGGAATCCCTGGTAGTGTTTCATCTAAAAAGCGCGACATGTCAAACATTATCTACTCTACACAAGGCCATAACGCGATGAGCCAGCAAGGTTGCTCTATTTCACCGCAAGGACTAAAAACGTGGAATAATCTGGTGCAAGAGTACTCGCGATGCGAGTTTACCAAGACGAGTGACAAGTTGTTTGCTCTCGCTGGATTAGCCAGTATATTCTGTGACTGGTCCAGAGATGAATACATCGCCGGACTCTGGAAATCAAATCTCGCGATACAGCTGTGCTATTCGGTGTGGGAGACTAAGCTCAAGCATCCATCAGAGTATCGTGCGCCATCGTGGAGCTGGGCTTCGCTGGACGAACACATACAGTTTCCCGGCTCACTAGAGAGGGCAACAGCGCACATATCTATACTTGCCGCCAACTCACGGCAAAGTTTGACAATTCGCGGACACCTCTCTCAAGCGACATTTGAACCAAAAGCGCAGCACTTAGATGGGAATGTCGTCCTAAACATCAACGGCCGGCACGTCAACGCATGTATTAACCCAGATACTGTGGATATTAAAACCCAAGAAGTGGAGATGCTGACTATTTTAACTCTACTGTCGTACCCAACAGCAGAGCGAGGCGCCGAGAACCCTATAGAGGTAGAATGTCTTGTCCTGGAACCGGTTCTAACTACTGCAACGGAAACCTATCGGCGGATTGGGATCTTGAACACATACATGAGAGAGGGCTTGGCATCGCTTGGTGTTTGTATCCAAAAAGATAATTCTGGAACGTTAAAGGATGTCACCCTTTCTGATGTCAATCTTATATAAGCCAAGGCCGGGAGGAAATAGTAGCGTTGCATGACGCGGCGGAAAATTAAAACGCACACTGTGGCTCTAATGCTTAATCATAAATGGTGATCTATGATTAGGTTATCATGCAAGTAGTTATACCCTAATTCTCTGTTTGCTTGGCGTGGGCTTGGCCAGGAACAATGATTGCTACATAGGTCTAAGCAGTAATGCGTGTATATCTCTAACAACGCACTCTACTCCTCGTTTTAGTTAGCTCTGACTATTCTTAAATTACCAAACACACAATGCTTTGCCTCCTTAATTAGGGAGCATATATTGTCTTGTTGTACGCCTGGCTATAGCTTAATAGGTCGCACAGCCATGTAGGACCCGCTTAACAACAGACTGCCGCTACAGGTATACTGTAATTATTTCCGTGCCACCGTCAACTATTGTTGAGTTATGAGAGCCAGATTCATAGAGCAATTAGACGCAGTAGAAAATGGAAGAAATTGATGAAATTGATAATGTCTTATGCCTTCCAATTCCACGGGGAATTCTTTCCTTTTATGCCTAGAATTCCGACCCGTCTCATCCGTCGATTTCCTTCGGATTCCCTCGATGTCCGACATATCCTTGCACAGCTGAAAACCCCCTGCGGTTGTCAAATAGCTCCTTCAGCAGGTAATTGATGTTTACGGCAAGTGAGGTAGGCCCTCTCCGTCTAAATATTTGTGGTACGGAGGTATATTGCTTTCAATAGACCATACGTTGTGCGGGTGGATCCTCGCTGCGGAGTAGACCCAGTCGGCGGTTAGCCCAGTGTCTTTGCAAATTGACCTCCAAAAGCGGCGTCGCGACCTCCAGAAATGGACATCCCTACCTCAGGAAATTGACGCCCTTTTGCCGTGAACCTGCACTTTTGTTGTAAATCTCTCATGTACGACGTTTATTAAAGGGGACTATTATTTTACTTTATAATTAAATAAAATTATAAGTATTATATAAGTATTATATAAGCGTAAAATTTAAAATAATATTAAGCTATATTAAGCTAAAAATAATAAAAAAGTAAAAAAGTAAACTATTTACGCATAGTAACACGTTAAATATACTAGCGTAACTAGTACCGCGTTACAGCCCGCTAGCCAAGGCCATCTTGCGATAGCCTCAGCTACTATTATCATGGAAGTAAACTTGACTTAACTTTACGCCCGTGACTCACGCTGATTCACGCTGAAAACCTAAAATGCCCACACACGCAGTATATCTGCGAGGTCTGCCCTCATGTACGACCAGACTTTTGTAAATTGCAAATAGGCTTTGGCAACGGGTGTCACCTGCATGCCCGTTGGATGCAAGTTTGTCCAATGACAGGGGCCGGAATTGTCATCTGCACTAAGTTTCCAGATGTTCTGCTCGGTTTCGATCACGTTTCACAATTGGACGAACCGCCACGAGCGCTCTGCACCTTGGATCTGAGCCGCGAACATCCCCGCGCTTGGTGTCTCCGGTATCCTTGAAAGACCCTTGCTGGACTGGGTATCCCTGCATGGTTGATCGCCATGAGCTCATGCATCTGTTTTACATGGTGCCGGATTGCCGAAAACACCATTATGCTTTCTTCATGATTGTACGCCTTGCACATTTGCTAGCCTCAGATGCGCAACTCCAAACAGGTGGCGGTTTTGCGCATTTTGCAGCCGTGATCCGGGCAAGTTCTAGATTACCCGTCAAGGGTGTGGCGTCCAGGTTGCCGTTCTAAAATAAGAATTCGAAGCGCAAATGGAGCGTCACGATAACGACGTCGCTTTTATTTATGAACAGCACAGGGCATGGGGCCCAAGTCTCAAAAGTACCAAACATTGAATACACTGCGTAGATCCGAACCACCCATAGCGGCCTACAGATTGTTTTCAGACAGCCTCGACCGCCGGCATCACCACCATGGCGGGCAAAGTGTTTTTTCGCAAATCAACCATTTGCAAGCTCCTCTTCATGATATCAACGCTCGTTGCCAACGCCAAAGCCGAGGATGCACTGGCAAAGTTTGGCGATGTGATCCCCGTTCTGGGGCAGGTGAGAAGAGTTCTACGGCCCCGAACATGCAAAACCCCGACTTACACGAGTAGATGGCACGAACCGACCAGGACTTTGTCGACGGGCTGGCTCTGGACCTGTTCTCCCCGAGAAACCGCACCCTGGTCGTGACCAACAATTCCTCCCCCCTGCCCGGGACCTTTGTCACCGGTACCACGGGCGAGGGCTTTGTCAACCTGTCCAAATATAGCTGGGTCGTCAAGCTCAACGAGACGGCCGAAGACCTCATCGCCAAGATTGAGCTGCCCTACGACCCGGTCGCGCTCGCCGGCCAAAGCGTCCAAGTGGCCAACACGTATGTCGGGAAGCTGGCCAAGGACAAGAAGTCGTGGGTCATATCGGAATCACAGAGAAACGTCCACATGCAAGTATTTACCTTCCATGCCGCGAAATAGTCTTGTTCAAACCGCGTGATGACTAACACATTTTGAAAAAGGACGGAGAACAAAACCCGCATCATCAAGATGACGTCGCTGGACGGGGAGTACATGCTTCTCGGCCGAAAGTCGGAAGACACTTCAAATATATTCGTGCAGTACGGCCAAGGCGCCACTAGGACGGTGAATATCACCGGGGGTGCGGAAAAGATTCAAGAAGCCGAGTTTGTCGACGGGCTGCGGTTCAGGGTTCAATCGGCGAAGTCATTTGCCCTCAATGCCGATATACCATTTGGCGTGAATGATAAGGCCATGCCAGAACATGCCGTACCACTAAGTATTTCATTCTCCCACTGTTTGCAAACTCTTCGAGTGACAAGTGTAGCACGGTTTCTAACGCCAGTACTCTCGTCTAGATTCCTTTGCTTGGGTGATAAATTCCACGGCGTCCCCCGGGGAGGGCTTGTCTGTTGACGTACATTTTCCCGGTAAGCACGCTGGCCTGTGTTCATCTATGCCGTGACTGATCATTTCTGTTACAGTCAACAGGGAGATGGTTGAGGAAAAGACCCGCGGGCAAGAGGAAGGGCACCTCAATCTGCTCGTCGCAAGGAGAGACTTGAAGGCTCCGGCAACGGCCGCCTTCGAACCTCTCAAGAAGCAGGAATACAGCAAGGCAAAGCGGCTAGTTGAGGTTAGAGGCATGACCGCCGTGGATGGACAGTACGTTCTTCTAGTGTCGAAGAAGAAGTACCTTGAAGCCTCTTGTGGCCAGGGGGGCAATGCGCAATCGTGTCCAGGCAGGAATAGTACATCGGCTTCTGCTGGTGCAGCTAGTCAGGCGAGAGAGTCTGAATTAGATGGCGCCCAGGTCACTTCACGGCCAGCAATGGTGGTATCTGTTGCGTCGCTGAGCACAGCATGGGGCATGAACTTGGTGGTGTCGTGCGTGTTCTCGATGGGGGTTTCGTTGGTAGTTTTTATGTTGTAATGGCTCTAGTATACTTATTACGCCTGCGAAATTAGCATTGCAGCGAGACATCTTTTGGATAATTCATGTTCAAAGTAAAGGTTTGTGCAAAGCTTTGGCATAGATACTTGGTTGTTCTCGTCACAAATGTCATCATCTCCACCAGTCCATGAGAACCATTGTGTGAAATTACACGACATCATGTCCGGACCTGCTACCTGTAATCGCTTGATACTCTTCCCAGATTGTTTCCTTTGACGTCGCAGCTCAGGAGGAACGCTTCTCTGTCAACGCTGATGCAAATCCTTTCTCACAATTTTTGCATCTGCAATGCAGAGGAACCACTTCGACCAGCTTTTCTGGTCCACATCCAGTACAATAACCCAGCATTGGCTTACTGAAGAATGAGCCGATAAGATCATGACAGAAACTTGGAACCTGCTTCGTTATTTCATACAACAGTCCATCCTTACTAAAATCCGAGCATCGGGCGAGTCGCTCTCTTACAGATTCAACCACTATATCTCGAAGTACTTGGCTGGGCCCGCATTGCAAAGAGTAGATGTCGACTATGGCTCGCAAGAACACGCAGTCATCCGGGTCCCGCCGGGCAGATTTCTTAAAGTTGGCCATGGATAACGATTGCAGGCCCTTAATGATGTATGTATCTGCGACATCAACCATTCTTGCATGAAATACCAGAGGCAAAACGGCATATTGCTTCTTGTCATCGGAGTCTTGAGACGAGGGCACTTGATATCGACCTGTGTACAAGTACTCTACCATTTGTCGGACAACATCGAATGAAACGTCTTTGATCTCGTACACGCCCGTTTCCTTCTCCTAGATGTGCCATGTTTGTGAGAAGAGCAAGCTTCAAAGTATTCGACTCCGCGCACTTACTTTATAAGAACCAGTACATGCGGCCCGGATAACTGGAGACTGCGGACACACTATAAGCCTGTGTGCAGGAATTCGTTGACCTTCGCATAGGAACGTGAGGTCGGAGAATTCCCCCGACTTGAGAGGTCTGCGGGAAAAAAGTTAGTTCTGAGTTGCGTTAGGCCAGCAAGGATGCACTTGCGCTGAAATCTGGCGCCTGAGTTCCCAGTGTGCGTCGTGTTGATCCATGTTCAGTATGACAAGGGTTCAATTATGAAGGCTTGGAGCAAAAGGGGCTCAATTCAATAATAATCTTGAAGTGTCTCTAAGGTCTTGAGTTGCTACGAGAAAGGAAGAGAAGGGTGACCGTCTTATATGCATAAAAGGAACGCCTGGGCCTAGGGTCCTTACCCAGGCACGTGTTCCAGCTGTGTAACCAATAAGTCCTGTATCGGCGAAGCCCCTTTGTTGGGCTTCAACCTGTTGGGCTTCAATCTGTTGGGCCTTTTCCGTGTAACATTCAGCTACGAATCCTCAAACGTCAGAGAGCTATACTCTAATCAAGAGATTCACAATTTATGCTTGAGAAGGGTTGAAACACTGCGTTCTGAAGTTTCAACAGCATTAAGCTTTGGACTCTATCACATGACGTTGCTGTCCCACTTGGACGTGGGATATCAGATGACCAAAACAAACGGGCAGTTCCTACAAACCGTTTGTTGTGGCAAACGCAACACACAAACAGGTAAATTGATTGTAAACGGTTCCCGATAATCGGCCAGAAAACTCATCTTCCGCTTGGCAAATAAGAAGCCGGCGTAGATAACTTTCCGGTAAGACGCAAGCTCGCATGAGACTGACTGAATGCGTCAATAAGACATACGCAAATGACATTGTAAGACTGTTATGAAGGACGAAGCTTGTTTGATTTAATAAGTTGGTGCAAAGCCACTTTCTGATAACAAATGTACATCTACGATGAAACAAATACCCCGACTTCCCCCGACTTTTCGTGTGTAGAAAGCCGCCACACAACAGTTTTCACCTCATTCCCTGTCACACGGTCATACGAGGGCTACGATTACGGGGCCTAGGGCAGAAGGCTCGCATCACTTCTTATATAAATAGAGCTCTTTGATCAACTAGGCCTTGAGAAAACCAAGGGCCTTTAATACTCAAGACTGTTACTATTAGATGAAATGAGTCACACTGCTCCAAGCCTTATGCTCTTGTCATATGCCCAAACCAATCTACTCATCAAGTCCACCGGAAAGTCACCCCCCTCACGGACAAGATCCCTAAAAGGCGGCTCTTCCCATAACTTAGGCACATGTTGGTTTACAATATCAACCACAGCCTCCCTCATTTTACACTTTTTATTGCTTGTAGATTGGTAAACATCTCTTATACAATCAACAAACGCCTCGGTAGCCCATAGCGCAATGGTTTTCGTCGTGAACCTCCGCAGAGCTTCGCGTTGAAGGCCATCCACTTCAAAGTAATCGGCCAGCTGATACACTCGAACTTCCTTGGAGAGCTCGTCGTCATCTAGCGCGAATCAGAATACACCATGTCCCGCGATTAGGGAGCGCACGACGTACCTAGCTCGGTGAGCTTCATACAAGGCTCTTCAGAGTACGTTCCCTTGTACATGTATTCAAAGACCCGCCAGTACGCATGCATGCTACCTTCGCTATACTCAAACTTTCTGGTCTTGCCCTCTTGCATCTCGCCTAGCAGAGCACGTTTAAAGTAGCTGCTTTGGGCTGTTAACACGAGGCTGTGCGCGGGAAGCTCGACGTCGCCCAGGTAAATTTTGACATCCGCCAGGGTATCGCTGTCAAAAGCCCTATATCAAATTAGGTGACGCGAGGACTTCATTCTCGCCAAATGGGGCTCACTCTCTGACGGCCTTTTCGATGGCCGTCATCTTTCGGTCGGCCTTTTTTTTCCCCGTCGGGTGACGTTTGGTTGACTTCGCTAGCAACTCATCCATCGGCTTGCTACGAGCAAATGCTATGATAGATCAAGGTGAATACAAAATGACATGAGGTGTTATTGCACGGAAAAGGCCCAACAGATCGTGAAGCCCAACAAAAGGGCTTCACCGACAAAATACCTATTGGTTACACAGATTGAACACGTGCCCGGGCAAGAGCCCTAGACGCGGGCGTTCCCTACATGTATAATGGTCACTGATCGCTTCCTTCCTCTCGCAAAACCAAGGTCCTTTGACACCCTTTGGGATTATCTCTGAATTTGAACCTTTTATTCCACTGTACCATTGTCATGGGTGTAGCCGTGCGACATGCAGCGTTTGCAGTGAAGCTCTGGACACAGCAGCAGGTTCACGAGGGCATGATTCGCGAAATCGACAGGAAATTAGAATTTCCAATGTAACGCATAAAACATGCATAAAAAGGGCGCGTCGACCCCCGGAACGGGCCGGCATTTGACGTAAAATGCCGAACGGATATGGCCAAGCCAAGGCCCAAAATGGATGTTTGTGGAATGAGTTGACAGGCACCTAGATTTATCATGTACATATATCATGCAGGGGTCCCCAACCCTGAACCTGACCGACCAAAACTTTTCACAGGCGAGAGGACAAGAATAAAGCGGATAAGCAGATACAATTAAACGCAAGAAGATTGCCAGACAAGAGTCGGGAGCCTAAGGCTGAGATAAGGGGTCGGCGATGTGGTGTGTGCGGTGAGACCGGCTATAATCCGCGTACTTTAACGTTAAATTAATATAAAAACATTTAATAAGAAGGATCGTGATACATATTAATTGGATCTGTATATTATAGTGGTTTTCCTGTATAACCTTTACGAGAAGGCACTATTCGGTGCGCGGCTCGTCATGTTACGTCACTCGTTATGCACCCACGTTAATTCGCTTCATGTGGCCCTTTGCATCAATACTTCCGCCTGGCCCTCGCAGCCCACTACTCCCTTACATGATTACAACTGATATGCTACATTTATGATTCATCTAATAGCCGGCCTACATGGCCACTTACATGACCAGCGAATGTAAAGCAAGCCCTAGCCTCTCATTTTGCCCGCCGCATATGAGGTGGTTTTACCAAAATTGGGCCGTCTTGGTGATAAGCACCACCTTGGTGGTGAGAGCTTTACTAGCTCAAACACCGAATATAGGCCGAGAACGATTGCAAGTAACATGGTCTTGCATATACTTTGCCAAGCTGAGAAATGATTAGAGTCGCAGCAGACCTTGCACCAAGGTATAGCCTCAATAGCCAAGATCATGTAACTCTCCTCGTTTAGGAATTCCATGCTTTTTGGTCAGGTATGGAATTGGAGAAGCATGGTGCTATGTGGATGGTAGGGTGTTCCACTCGCTATATATGTATGCATATACGTTACCCTCGTAAACCCTCGCATAACCCCCAAGCTTATTGGGCATAAAAGACTCTCTGTTTTTGCGAGGTATCGGTCCGATTCAAAGGTAGATAGCCAACCTAGTAGATGGCTGATAGATGACAGGTCTGGGCTTCTCGCAAGGTGTGCAGACCTCCGAGTATATAAGGGTTAGTAGACCTTGATATGGACTGAAAACAAAAGCTTCATCTTCATCTCTTACTTTCTAACAAGATTATAAACTTTCAAGTTCTTTCTAGGTTACCAGCTATAAATAAGCCTCTCAAACTATGGCGTGGCCCCAGGCTATACAGTTGGCCGTCCTCGGACTGCTACACTCTGTACACGCTCGCCCTGCTGGTTTTGCACCAGGCCTCTTCCCGTATATTTTCGAGGGGCAATGCTACAACATCTCGGCCGGTGATGAGGCCAGCTCGCCTACAACTATTGGCTTTTACACCTCTGGCACCCGTATCAAGATCAACGACGCCGAGTATGACACACCGCGTGTGCTTGGAGACTACTCGTGCAAATTCTCGGAGCTCTCGGTGGATGGCTACGCGACACACATCGAGCGCAGCATCGCGCTTTACATTACGACAGAGGCCGGTGAAGGGGTCCGGCCCAGCCTGCCTCTGCGAAAAGCACAGCCGCTGGTTCTGCAAGCAGGAACGGGTGGTGATGCTACATTTGGGTGCGCCGGGGGGCAAGAGGCATTCCGTGGCAGCTCGGCAGACGCCTGGGGCCAGGTGAGAAACAAATGGCTCTATGTAATCGACGGAGAGCTCTTGAATACGGAAAAGGACAAATGCTGCCGCAAGGGGTCAAATCCTTTTACGAATGCTGGTAGTGGTAGGGGCTACAAGTCTGGACCGGTTTGTGACCCTCAACATTAGCTGTCGGGTTACGAGCTAGACGCAGACTGTAGTACCATCGACTGGTCTGGTGTTGAACATGAATGTAGTGGGCGGTGGGAGCACCGCAAAACCCTTGGTTGTTTTGGGTTTGGGTTTGGGGTCATATTGGTGAAAGGAAAACAGATATCTACTAAATTAAGACCTCGCCTTGTGTGAAGCCTCCACTTTTGGCAGAGTTGTTAAAACACACATCAATTGATGTCAACATTGAATCCTTTTTACTCAATTAGTGTCTACCGTTGCAGGGCCCGTTCCCGCTTCCAAGTCAATCACCACCGTACAGCCAGTTGACCCTTGTTTAAATCACTCTCGTAACGGGCCGTTCCCATCAGATAAATGTCAACGGTCCAGATGTCCCGGCACGCATGGCGCTGTTGGCATCCACCACGACTACTACGCATGGCTCGAGAAAGCAAGTGGAAGTAATTGACGCTTGGAGGCGCCTCGGATCGTGTGTAGTCGCGGAACAAAAACTATGGACCAAGGATAATTTGTACAGAGAGCTCAGCGAACAATATGCGTCTCAGAAAAATGACACCGATGGCTCTGGCGGTCGAAATGAAGTCATGGCGACTGGCATGTTGAGAATCATAAACATTGAACATAGCCAAACCACTCTCAGCGCATAGCAACATGTTACGAGATGGAAAACTGAAAAGTCTTCCTCATCAAGTGCTTTCCCATTGCTGGCATGACAATGGAGCCGTATGTTTGCGAGTTTGGCTCAACCAGCCCAACAAATCCCTTCTGCCATGACATGGGCCCCAATGTTGACCAAGCTTCTTGATGAAGTACTCGTTGCCATTCTTCTCCCTTTTACAAACACTTTTTGCAGTTCGTGTATACACCAGGAAATGCTAACACTTGCCGTCGTCCGAATTTGCCTTTCAAACTTGTTCGATCGTGATGGCCGCCTGCCACGGCAAACAGCAGCTCTGGAGTGCAGAAGCTTAGGCCTGGAAGCGAACAGCCGTGGCCTCTTGTGTTTGCTATGGTGGCTTTCGTTGTTTAGCATCTCGAGCAGTAACCGTTCTGCGTGCACTTTTCACACCACCGTGGAAATACAACGCAACAACGACTATTGTCATGTCACATGGCACCATTACACGGGGCAGTCTGAAAGTGAAGCGCTCTGGATCCTGAAAATTATTTGAATTATACAGAATTGAAACTTTGGCGACGAAGAGTAATTTGGGTCCTGGAGTTGTTGTGTTTTGCATAATCTCTGCAAGCCAAGTTTCGGGTGGCTGACGACGGTGGAATACATTGTTGCATCCATCAGTTTGGAGTGGAATAGTGAATGGCCTCATGTTTTATTAGCACCAGACGCTTTCAGACGTACGCGTCAACACGTAAACTTACATTCCCTTGCACTATGCCATACAAATGGTCTCGTGTTTGTAAAGCTTCTTTCGTACTCTCTAGAGTCTTGTTCGCATTCTCCCCCAGAGATTGAATGCGACTCATAATGTTGCCATTGAGCTTTTCTCCGATTAGTACGAGGGCCTTTTCACTCCTGCATGTGTCCACTTACTGCTGGTTTGCAGCCTGCAGATTCCAATATGATGCCGAGTTCTTCTGTAGCGCTAGCAACAGAGTACTGCATCCTTTCTATATCCCTCAGTGCAAAACGCATGTCGGACAAAAGTTGGTTTATGCTGTTGTAGGACGGATTCACTGCACGATCTTTTCGTTCGGCTAATCGAGTGTCTGCTCCCAAACCAAGAGTAGCTAGACCCAGGGCCACGGGCAGAATGGTGACGGGAGACTTCATGTTCGGGATTCGAGACAGGCTACTAGGTAAAGGAAGGAAGAAATGTATGCTTAAAGAGGATTCGCCTTGGCTTGAAATGTTTGTCGAGGCTACCCTTTTCAATTTATATTTGTCTTGTAGGAACCAAGACTAGGTGGCATTGGGTTTGGGTAGGTACATCGGATGCCACGGAGATGAGAAATACTTATAGGCAGGGATTTTGAGCTAATTGGAAGCCTAGTTCGTAAAGGCACCTTGTACGCATCTCGATTACGGAAATAAAAATCTTACCGAGCGCTTTTGTCATGCCGTATAGAGTCTGGTCTGGTTGCATTGTACGAATCATCTTACTAGTGGGCCTAGTGGCCTGATGAATGGGCAGAACGAGCCCAGATATGCCAATAGTCAATTTCAACTGCAAGCAGCGCCTTGGCTTGTGTAAACTTGGGAGTTAGCCGTCGTGGCAAGCTTCATATGGCTTTTCGGCCCCAGCTGCGAAATAAAAAAGTTCCAATCCGTGTATCCAACAGCCAAGTAACTTGACTTGGTTAGCCGTGATTGCTCGATACTTGTCAATCATGCAAAGCAAAGACTTGTCGTCGACCAGGGAAAGCAACCTGCTTCCATTACTCGATGTCAGCTTTAGTCGACGAAATTGCCATCACGCATTGGTTCGAATTTCCGGCTCGCTCCGATTGGCCGTGAGACCCCAGTGCCCCTTGAGAGCTGTCAAATGTCCCCGGTTCCTCGGCATTAACTCGAGATGTCATCTTACTACATATGTAGCTTGAGACTGGCGCCGGCCTGGAAGCCACGTCGACGGATTGATATTTGGTCCGTACGGAATCACCTACAACTCCCTCCGAATCACTCGCTCCTCCGTGCAGCACGACCAGCTCCGTGTCGACTTGGGCCAAGCCCCCTGATGACGAAGCATCTACACTACACGACCGGTTGCTGAAGTAAGACGGCTACCAAGGAGCTCTCAATGTGTTTTCCCTATCAAGTGGGACAGCATTCGCTAAGCCATATGTTGGCACCTGGGTCTACTTGGTTGATGGGCACGCTGTGCATAGTAGGGTTCTCTTGAAGTTCCGGCCAGTCTGTTGTGCTCAATGATACTCTCCGTCTAGCGTGACTATTATATTCTCAGTTATTTCCATTGACAGAAGAAAGTCTGAGGGCTTCATGTTCTGGGCTTTTTATTGCCTGTCTAAATATATATATTGTTTTTTTTTACCAGGGTCCCATTCAGACCGCGAAAATTCCCGGAAAAGGCCGAGATGCCAAAATAATTAAAAACTTGCCGGTTTTATTTAAACTACTTTATCACGAAAAAAACGCTGTCTATTATATTTCAATTAGCCTGCAAACTTCTCTTACGTCATCACCCTAACCATATAATAGGTATCTAGAGGGGGGGGAGGAAAGGCACCGACAAACATGGACGATACAGAGTACTTAATATCCCTATTGTTATTTTACAGCCGTCTTGTACCTCCAAAGGTTCGTCCAATTTTCTACAGATTTCGTGCATCAGGCTCTGAACCGGCCACGGCCGCGTCAGCATCCGAGCTTCACAGCTTAGGCCTCGAGAGACGGGGGAAATGTCTCTTCCCGGGCTTGTTGAAAGAAACGGCAAGCATGTTGCACGAGTTGAACACTGCAAAGCGGATGGACGCTTAGCTCAGCATGTCAACTGGTAGCTTTGAACAAAGAAGTAAAAGCACCAGTTGATCCCATATCCTACACATCATAGCCTTTCAGTGCCTGCAAGTTTGTCCGGTCTCGGTGGATGGTTGGGCATCGCTGCATGGCCCCAGGCGCAGGCCATTGATTGCAAACGCAAATTGGACCTAGTGTGCGGGTTCCCTCCGCCGAGGCGGAGATGCACCGGCAGCCATCCCGACACATCGGCTTCGATCCCGGTCCACGACCCGCACAACTTTCTCACAGGAACAGCATCAACGACCAAACCACAGAAATTCCCAAACTTCTTTGCAAACCACGCCTACATCTAATAGCCAACCGGCAGACAGACATAATCGCCAGCATGGCCGTCAATCAAGTGCCATCGACGACGACGCCGCCCGCCGTGCCCCCCGCCGGCGTCTGGTGTCCAGCCGTCACCTGCTTCACCGACGACGACGAGCTCGACCTCGCCGCGCAGTCCAAGTACTTTGCGCACCTATCCCGCTCCGGGCTAGCGGGTCTCGTCGTCATGGGCACAAACTCAGAAGCCATGCTGCTCACGCGCGAAGAGCGCTCGCAGCTCATCGCCACCGCGCGGCAGGCCGTCGGCCCCGGGTTCCCCCTCATGGCCGGCGTCGGCGCCCACTCGACCAAGCAGACGCTCCAGCTCGCCGAGGACGCGGCCGCCGCCGGCGCCGACTACCTGCTGGTGCTGCCGCCCGCGTACTTTGGCAAGGCGACCACCATGGCCACGGTGCGGCGCTTCTTCGCCCGCGTCGCCGCCGAGGCCGCGCTCCCCGTCGTCATCTACAACTTCCCCGGCGTGTGCAACGGCGTCGACATGGACTCGGACACCATGACGGCCATTGTGCGCGACAGCGCCCGCGCCAACGGGGGCCGCTCGCGCGTCGTCGGCGTCAAGCTGACCTGCGGCTCCGTCGGGAAAATCACCCGCCTGGCCGCGCAGCACCGGCCCGAGGACTTTGCCGTGTTCGGCGGCCAGTCTGACTTTTTGATCGGGGGGCTGGCCGCCGGGAGCGCGGGGTGCATCGCCGCCTTTGCCAACGTTTGCCCGCGGCTGACGGCCGAGATATACAGCCTCTACGTTGGGGGGGAGCGCCAGAGGGCCATGGAGCTGCAGCGCCTGGCGGCTCTGGCTGAGAGCCCGTGCAAGAGCGGCATCGCCGCGACCAAGTTTGCCGCTACGTTGTTCTCGGCCCGGCTGGCTGGCATTGAGGACCCCGAGGCCAAGTTCCGCCCTAGGCATCCCTACGAGGAACCGAGTGAGGCGGCAAAGGACGCTGTTAGGGAGGCTTTGAAGGAGGCGGGGGAGATGGAGCACAGGCTGCAGAAATCGTCTGTCTGAATACCAGACGTGTCTTGACGGGGCGGGTTGAGAAGCAGGCATCAGTCATGACATGGGACTCGCTCATAATCACACACGATTTGGTGCTGGGTAGTATTGTAATCTGCGTCTACGTCCCCAACTGGGTATTGATCTGAGCAATCAATTTCTTTCCTCCCCAACCGACGCCGTGTCCATCGTCCCCAGACTCCGTGAAGAAAACCCTAGCCGCCTTGAACACAGTCTTCATCGCCGCCCGTCCAGGGGTATGTGAAACTCGTCGTCGCTCCGCATCCCTATAGAAATCTCCTGGTTGATCGTCGTCTGGACCTCGATGCCCTTGAGCTCGAGCTCGGACGAGTTATGCTGCTCCTTGGAACTGTTGTACCGCGCCTGGACGGGGGCATCGTGTGCACCGCAAACAGACGTCTCGATGGCGCTCATCTTCTGGAAGCCCCAGGACCGGATGTTCTTGGACGCGTCGTACGACCCCAGGTAGCCGCTGCCCGGGCCGGTGCTCATTTCTTTTTCTTTCGTCGACCTTCTGAACAAAGGGCCCAGCTGGGGCAGGCAGCCGCATAGCACGGTGAAGTAATTTTCTAGGACGGTCCACAAACCTTCGAGGATGCTCGATGCTTCCGAGGGGGAAAACGTCAGTACAAACTTGCCGGATGAACAAGGGGCGTGGAGTAGGTCTCACTGGATAGGTTTGCTGTGTCGAACTGTGAAAATTGCACAGCTCGCAAGAGACTAAACACGCATACACTGCGCCCGTCAGCCCAAAACGCACGAGGTATCCGAATCGTCTGGTGTCGCCTCTCCACTTACACAACACCAATGCAGAGGATAAAGGTTATTGCAATCTTCTGCCGCAGCCGGATTTGCAAGTGCCAAATCGTCGGAATCGGGATCGACAGCATGGCAACGTCCATGGCCACGGCGGTGCTGGCAATGATTTTGCTCTCAATCATGTACAAGTCATTGTCGACGCACCAGCCGCCCTCTATCGTGCGGTCCCAGTAGTACGCGACAGGCTTGCAGAACCACGTCGTGTAGAAGAAGTTGGAAGCGCCCCAGATGACGACGAGGACGGCCAGAGTGTCCAACGCGGCGCGAGCCGTGCGGTTCACGCCAGTGACTCGACGGAGGAACAGGATGATGGCGAGCTTGGCGAATATCATCGACGCCGACCAGAACTTGATGACGAGCCAGGAGCCCTGACAGTGTTAGCGGACGCATGTCCAGCGTAGTACGAGAAAGAAAAAAAGCTGCATACTAGTTTAAAGTTGACTTGTCTGTAATGCGGGAGGTCCTTGTCCGGGACGCCGATGCCGTTAAAGGCCTCTAAACGTGAGTTAGCACCGGTGTCCAGAGCGTTTGCCAAAGCAGCACCATGTCGAGCATCCCGCGAGACGCACTCAGCAATACGGACGCCGTGTTCCCAATCATGAGGAGCACGGCGCAGCCCATGAAGAAATCCTCCACCCTCACCCGCCGCGCCAGCACCAAGGTCGCGTATACCCTCAGCGCGTACGCAACCGTCGCCAGGGCAGCAAACGTCAAGGGAACCGCCGTGTTGACCCTCCTCCAGTACGCGGCCTCCTCAGACTCCGGAAAGTCTCGAGCCATGGTGGCCGCAGTGCCCGCTGTGGAGGTGGTTGCAGAATCGGCACGGCACAAACATCCGCCATGGAAATGCCCTCTCGTCTTGTTCTTGTGGGATCTTCTACCTCACCAGTCCCTCATCTAGTCGTATTCATTCGGGTCCTCTGGAAGAAAGAGCTGTATCCAGGGACACGCGCATGATATCGTGCCCCTTTTTCACCGGCGGAAGTGAAGGTTGTAAATGGGCAAAAAACCGCGCCACCATTTCCCGCAGCAGAGGCATTCACGACCAACCGCGGCGGGCAAAAAAAGCTCGGGGACATGGACATGCTCCCAAGCACGGACAACAACGGATGTGGTGTAGGAGGTAGCAACCACTGTGTAAGATTTACTCAGCCGGTGTCCCCAGTCCACGGCATACTGCGCGACTGCACATGCACCCCAAGATTGCAACTGTAGTCTCACCCGTTTTTTCATCAGAGTTCAATGTTGCCCTTGTCATCATGGGGCTCACCACTTGCAGAGGCAAAACGGAACAAGGCTGCCAATCTAACCGAGTTCCCTGGGACGGTGGTGCCTGGATGCCACCGCAGCCCGACACCTTTATTTCTCAATGTAGTCGCCCGTCTCGGGACCGGCCCTGCTGCCTGAAGCGTCGAGGCCACGATACATGTTGTAAGAGGCAAGAGTTGCCTTCAGCCCGTCGTGTAACCCTGGCGTCAGCGACTCTGCCGAGTATCGACACCACGGCCCGGGTTTTGATATCCCCTCACACGAGGGTGGCCCGGCGGGCGAGATCGACAATGGAACTCGTTGCAAACGGCCTAGTTCCCTTGTGCGAGCTGGCGACGCCATCCTCACCACAAGTTCCGCGTGTGCCTCCATGAGGCTAGGCCAGCAGGGCTGGGGTTGCGCTGATGAACCGCACATGCACCACCCTGGGAGATATTGGGGGCGCATGGAGCACGCACCGGGTGGCGCTCCCCGGCATCTCGTCTGTCATCCATGTGCTAATTGATAGTTTTCCCGTCTCCCTTTAGAGTTGGTGAGAGGACCTCTGGGGACACAGACGCTGGACCCCCCGGTGTTGGAGGACAAAAAGCTTGGATGGTGGAGAGTCGAGACGAAGTGAGCAACGACAGGAGCGTCAGGCAATTCCAACGAGAGAAAACGGCACTGGGGGTATTGTACTTGACGGAGTATGCACCTGCGGAGTTGCCAGCCCCAAGAGGATGCTTCAGACGGTACCGAATGGCGGCAAGACTCCGAATCCCGCTGTTGTACAACCCAGTCAGCGTCCACCTTGTGCCAACTCGGCAGATGGCAAATGCTACGCACATTTGAACCACGCCGCGTGGCGACGACTCGTGCTGTTGAGTCGAGGGGACCAAGATCGGCTCTCGCTGGTCGCCTGCAACGTTCATCCAACTCCGAGTGCGTCTTTTCCCACCGGACCCTTGCCGGAGAGAATAAAAAAGAGGGCTTGTGGTTGCTGTTGGCTCAGACATGTCAGCACCGTCACACCCTGCGTCGACATGAGCTCGACTTGCCTGTCCAGAAGCGTCAAAGTCCCCCCTTGCTGACAGCCATGCATCACGGGTCGGCGTAAGCGATTTCCCCGAGACCTCCGACTGCTCACGCTGCAGCCAAGCGGTCCTGGACAGCTTCCGTACGACACGGGCTGCAAAAGAGAATCAAAAAGGAAATGACGCCTTCCAGAACATTTCCAATTGCGAGGGTAGCATGTACACATGTACGACGTGTGCTTGGGCAAAAACAGCATCCCGGGGTTGGAAAGACGGACATTCGGGATCCACGCGACCGGGCTGTCGTATCGATTTGACAAAAAAAAAAGGCCGGCTGGGCATCAGTTTCTTCCTTTGCTTCCCACCATAAGACGCATTCACATCTCCGTCTCACGGCGGTCAGCGGCGAGCGGGCGGTGGCTGACAAGAGAGCGATCCCGTCATGGGGGAAAACCTCGCGATTTCCTCAGCGTTCCGGCCGCCACGCAAGAAGTCAAGTCTGGTCTTTTTGATCTCCACCGGGGCCGTATTAGTGCCCGCGGAGCTATGTGTGTACAGTGGAACAGCAAGGTTGGTTGTTTTTTTTTCTTCCCCGAGGTTTGCAGGTTTAGAGCTAACCATCAGCTCCTAGGTGTTCCCCTGATCACCATGCGACCTGCGCTTTGGAAGGGGACATGGGGGGATACCGCTGTCGTGGGACTCGGGGACCACGTTTTTGAGACTTGTTTGCTCGTCGTCCAACACGGTTGACTGGGCGAGCCGTGTTTAAACCGGAGACCACGGGCCTTGCTGGAGACGGGGTGTGCGGTGCGCAGATGCAGTTGGAATGTATATATAGTTCTTCACAGCGTGGGGAGCTGGCTGCCGGTGGTGCAGCCCTTTTTTTATTTTTGCTTCTGTTGTCTCGGTAGCCATCTCGGATCTGTTGACAAATAGCTCCAGAGTCCGGGCAACAGGATCAAATGGCACGCTCGACGATCACACTCTGCAGTCTCCTTGCGAGCACAGCCTTTGCAGCCGGGACATGGACGCCCAGGCAGATCCGCGACCTGAACCAAACGCTCGGGGGCAGGGTGCAGATCCTGGAGCCCTTTGCGCGGCCGTGCTTCTCGATATACGAGGGCAGACCGGCCGGCCGCGACGCCGACGAGTGCCGTGAGCTGCAGGACAAGTACGCGTCGCCCACGTTCCGCAGCCAGTTCGCCGGCGCGTACATGTACGAAGAGTCGTCCATGTGCGCGTCCAACGCGAGCTCCACGGACAAGTGCCTCCTGGACGCGGCCAACCCGCGGGACGAGGCGGCATACCGCGGCGTCAGCTGCAACCAGGGCAACGTGCCGGCGTACTACATCGAGGTCCGGGAGGCCAACGACGCCGTCGAGGCGTTCCGGCACGCCGGCAGGGGCGGCGGCAGGCTGGTCATCAAGAACAGCGGGCACAGCTTCCAGGAGGACTCGAGCCAAAAGGGGGCGCTGATGCTCTGGACGCGGCGGCTGCAGTCGCTGGTCCGCGACGACAAGTTCGTCCCCGAGGGATGCCCGGCCGGCGACACGCACGACGCCATCACGGCCGGCGCCGGCGTCAACTGCGGCGAGGCATACGCCTTTGCTGACGAGCACAACGCCACCATGCTGTGCGCGTACTCGCCCACCGTCGGCGTGTCGGGCGGCTGGGTGCAGAACGGCGGCCACTCCGTCATGAGCACGACGCTGGGGCTCGGCGCAGACCGCGTCGTGCAGTTCACCGTCGTCACGCCCGACGGCCGCCTCCGCGTCGCCAACCGGTGCAAGAACGCCGATCTCTTCTGGGCCCTGCGCGGCGGCGGCGGCGGCACCTTCGGCCTCGTCGTCGACTCGACGCACCGCGTGGAGCCGAGGATGCCCGTGGCCGTGGCCTCGGTGGCCGTCGACGCCGGCAACAGGGACCACGTCTACGGCTTCATGGAGACGCTGGTCGACTCGGCGCTGGACCTGGCGCGCGACGGATGGGGCGGCCACATCTACGGCAACAGAATCGTCTACCTGACGCCCGCGATCCAGAGCCTCGCGCGGGCGAGGCAGTCCGTGGACCGCATCGTCCGGTTCGCCGAGGACCACGGCGGCTCGGCCAACGTCAGCATCGCACCCAGCTTCTACGCCTTCTTCGAGCAGTACGTGCTCGGCGGCGCCTTCAGCGTCGGCACGCTCAACATCCTCAACACGCGCCTGGTGCCGGCGACGGTGTTTGCCACGCCCGCCCTCGCCGCCCGCTTCAAGCGCCACCTCCGCGACGTCGTCGATGCCGGCAGGCTGCCGTACGTGCCCGTCGTCGGGCCCTACATGTACGGCGCCGCCACCGAGGGCACGTCGGTGCAGCCGGCGTGGAGGACGGCCCTGTGGGAGTACGGCAATCCCGCCGCCTGGACGTGGAACAGCACGCTTGATGAGCGCCTCGCCGTCGTCAGGGACATGCAGAGGCAGACGGCCGAGCTGGTGTCTCTGACTCCTGGCGGCGGCACGTACCGTAACGAGGGCAACCCGTTCAACCCCGACTGGAGGCACGAGTACTACGGCGCTCCGTACGACAGGCTTCTCCGTATCAAGAACAAGTATGATCCGGCCGGGCTCCTCAAGTGCTGGAAATGCATTGGGTGGACCGACGAGGATGCGAAGCAGTCGTGCTACAGCGCGTTTGATGGTGTCAAGGCGTAGTGTTGATGGCCGGCTGGGCGTTCGAGGCGTTGCTTGTATAATAATCATAGTGTAAACACCTCATTTGATTTGTCTCGCGGTATGTAAAAATATCATCTAGTTCAATGTTTGAACAAAGTTGGTCAGATGTGTCCTGGACGTGTTATGGTGACGCAGGGGTAAGAATGAGCCTCCAGCGGTGACGCCTTACCTCACCGCGGCTAGGCGTAACCAACTAAAAGCATTAGCACTATTACTTGACATTATACGCAAAATACTTCTCGGGATCAAGGTCGCCATACTCACGTTGGGCTTATAGTTTATCATACCGTCCTTCGCAAGCCGTTAGCTATAGGGTAGCTACACCGGTTCACGCTAGCGTTTTACTCGGCCTCACCTCGACACCCAATTCACGGTCAAAGGCTGTCCGCAGCACCATCCTCACCTGTCATCAATCTAGCTACATCTTCCTTCATACAAGCCATAGCAGAAGCCCTGCCGAGAGCAACATCTAAAAAAACACTCCCCCCCCGGGTCGTAGGCACCCGTCCAATCTTGTGCATGAAGCGTCTGACAAGGCACTCGTTCCCATCTTCACGCCGTCTTCCACACAATCATCCCCCAACCATCCGCACAGCTACACCATCTCCCAGTCATTTACTTCACACCTCACCGCCAGCAACTGCAATGGCCCGCCGCAGCACAAGACTAAGCACCAAGGCGGCACCAGCAACACCCATCGCCACCGCCTCAAAATCGACCCCCGCCGCAAGAGTCACAACAAAGGACCCCGAAACAATCTCCTTCCCCTCGCCGACAGACTTCAACGCCTGGCTCCTCGCAAACGGCACAACCACCCCGTCTGGCATATGGCTCAAGATTGCCAAGAAGGCCTCGCGCATCCCGAGCGTCTCGTACGACGAGGCCGTCGACGCGGCGCTCTGCCACGGCTGGATCGACGGACAGCGCAAGGCGCTCGACGGCAACTACTTCGCGCAGCGCTTCACGCCGCGCCGCAGGAACAGCCTCTGGTCGAAGCGCAACGTCGACAAGGCGGCGGCGCTCGCGGCCGAGGGCCGCATGCACGACACGGGCAGGGCCGAGGTGGATGCCGCGCGGGCGGATGGGCGGTGGGACAGGGCGTACGCGGGCCCGGCGACGATGCGGGTGCCCGCTGACTTTGCGACCGCGCTGCAGACGAACCGGGAGGCAGGCGAGGCGTTTGAGCGTCTGGGGAGGAGCGCGCGGTTCCCGTTCTTGTGGAGGGTGGCGACGGCCAAGAGGGAGGAGACGCGGCGGCGGAGGATTGACACGTTGGTGGCGATGCTGGCTAGGGGGGAGACTCTGACTTGAGCGTCGGTGCGGGCAGTTGGTATTAAATAGGTAGCTAGTGGTATCATGGGCTGGATATGGTACAATGGCGGTGGGACATCACCATCCATCCTCGTCTTCGTCATCGTCTTCGTCATCTCCCTCTCCGGCCATGACGTCCAGCAGCCCTTCTTCTTCGTCGTCGGAGTCGTCTTCCTCCTCCCCTCCCTCTTCATCATTGTCATCTTGCGAACCTTCTTCACTGCCAGACGACACGGGATGCTCCTCTCTTGCCCTTCGTAATCTCTCAGCTAGTGATATTCGCCTTGGCTGCTCGTCCTCTTCTTCTAGGTCACTATCAGATCCGCTGCCGTCGGTTTCGACTTCAGAATCAGAAGTCGCTGTTTTCCTAGGCCGTGTTCTCGATCGACCGCCCACAATCTCCACCTCGTCTTCGCCATCCAAGTCGCCAACGGCGCGTAGGTTTCCGCTTTGCGTCTCTGGGTTATCCTCGTCCTCGTCTCCATCGTCAGAGACAACAACGGCGTGTGATTGGCGGCCTCGTGTCTGCGGTTCCTCTCCATCGTCGTCGTCGCTCGAGTCCATCACAACTCGTGATCGCACCCTCTTAGTCTGAGGCTCCTCCTCTTCAGAATCACTAACGACTTTCCTTTTTCTCGACCTCTTCACCGGCGCAATATCCCCAGCTTCTTCGTCGTCAGAAACCTCTGGACTCGAAAACAGACCAGCATCTCCGGTGGGGACAATTTCATCCTCGGACGATTCAGATTGCTCTTCGATCAATGAGTCGTCAATTCCTTCACTCTCATATTCATTCAAATCCGTTTCCTCCTGGGACCCATCCTGTTCCGTGTCTGTTTCATCACTATCATCCTCGCTACCGTCATCCAGCACCGGAATATCCTTCATCGCCCGTAGCTCCTCCCATCTCGCAATCCCAGACTCATACTCGAACATTACCATCGGTAGCACCTCGGTCCCAGCATCCTTGGCCGCCTCCATAGTTTCTGCCACTTCGTGGTCATGTTTATAGACGTTCGATATGGAGTACCTGGCAAAGTCTGGATGCCGGTCAACATCCGGCCAGCAGTACAACACTTCTGTATCTTCGCCTAATCCAATCTCCCTCCGATACGTCTGCACCACATATCTGTGGATGTAGTCTGTTCCACACCACCTTTTTTCACGCCGTCTCAAATCGTAGTGATCCATGCAGATATACAACCTCTTCAGGTTAGGAAACGTGGCTCTTGCGCGAGTGACACGGCTGTTGTCCACCACATCTTGAGATATTACGGCCTGGTGCACCTCTTCTGCGAACCCAGGCAAATGATATGTCCTGTAAGTCTCGAAATCATACATGTAGACAACGTCCTTCTCTCTGTTGAACCACACGACGGCATCTCCCGACCCAGCATCCATGCGCAACTTATCAGGAAACCTCTTCAAAGCCATAGTCCTGGACTCCCGATGCGTCGCCAGCATGGCCCTCAACTCCTCCGTCTGATCAGCCAGCGACCAGTGGTCCTTGGCCGAGTAATCGTCTGGCCGTCGCATAATCGCTGAGCTAGGCGACAATGTAAAGCACAAAACGCGTGCTGTGGCAACCATGTCCGGACAGAAAAGCTCCCATACATGGCGTCTCAGCTCTACGGGAAGCCTCATGAATTGCGGGAACGCCGTCAGAGGCGAGTAGTCCGAGAAAGTTGCGGCACCATAAGAGTCGGACTCCTCTGCCTCGTCGTCGATGAGGCGAACGCCATTCTGGGAGCCAGAATCGGATGACGCGTCAGAGTCGCTTGGGGGCTCATGGATCGACATGCTGCTGTCGTAATACGGGTCGAAAAACATTTTTCCCCGCCAGAAAGATGATGGCAACTGTGAAAAAAAAAAGTTGGTTTGAGATTCCTGATGCTCGAGTGAAAGGCGATCTGCATTGACGAATTATGTTCGCCGAACTGGTGGCGCTGACTCAGCAAGTAGTGGCTTGGGGCGTTTCGCCCAGTCTTGACCAAATTATCTTGACACTTGTGTAGTAAACTGACAAAAGGCTGCAGTGCCGAGTGCTATCTCTCAGCCGTGCGAAAGCTTCCGACCATTCGAGGCGGATAACTGTGCGGTGCAATCCGGGTCAGTGTTTCGCCTTCTTATGCTCAATGGCCCCCCAGCAGCACATGTGCTCAAGCAAGCACTCACTCACTCGACATTCCTCACTCACAAGCTCACAGTCTTTAACACACTGTGCATAAAATGCATTGACTAACCTAAAGGACGGTAGAGTTAGGCCACTCCATAACAAACATGGCTCTGAATTCTCCATACTCAAGTAGTCAGGCACCATGAAAGGGCCTGGCCATCCTCGCGAAAAGTCTCATTTCCCATCACACTGTCCCAAGTGCGTCATAACAAGAATTCACGTCTGGAGTCATCAACACAGACTTTTGAAGGAAATGACCGAGTTCAATAAATTTTAAATCATATGGCGATTATATCCACATCGTAGACTTATTCTGGCCACTTGCAATGAGTAGTAGTTTGTGACAGAAGTAACCAACCGCGCCCTCAGGGTCGCAAGTGTGGGCGAAGAATGCTTATTCACAGGATGGCGGACCATTTGGTTGTGGCTAAGTATAAAGACGAGGACCCGGCCGACTTGGGCCAGCAGCATAGCATGCACTAGCCCACTGAGTACAAATCATACATCGCATCAAGCCGATTACCGTTCGAAAAGTCGACTCTATTCAATATTATCAATAATAATCCACGATCGCCTGCTGGTATAACCACCCCATTCACGCGCCGAAACATCATTGGTGTACTTGGTCACCGCCATCCCACAACGCCCAACCCATTCCAAGTGTAGAAACCAAGATAAATATTGTGAATGCTTCAGCCTGCCCAGACATCCAAAAGAACCAGCCCCGTGCCCAAACGCCATTTGTGGTATGTGTGGATGAACTAACATATACAAGAGCCAGAACCTCGTTTTAATCGAAGGCGCTCATCCAAACAAACATGCCCACGGCACCGCCCAGTAGCAAGAATGTTAAGAAGCCAGCGCCTGCCTTATCAGCGGTTGTGACGGGTTTCACGGGCCGTTCCCCGTTGTCCTTGCCCCCGGCGTTGGGGTTTCCTAGCGACGTACCGCCGGTCGTGTTTGTTACTGGCTGTTCCGCATTCTCAATGAGAAGGCTTGATACAGCAGCTAGCACGTTCATCTGTTCTCCAGCTCCGGTAGTTTTGTCGGCAGCGGGATCGACGAACCGGCCAAAACTCCAGTAAAAGCCGCACTGTCGCTGAGTCGGACCGCCTGTGCATTGTTTGATAGCTGCTTCAGTAGATTTGCGGAGGACGGGTAAAATTTTATCTTTCGTATATGGGGCAACTTGGGTTGTTACTGCCAGCCAGCGGTGAAGATATCCCTTGAAGGATAGCATGTCGGGAGTGCATGTTCCACTTCCATTATCCCTTTCGCAAGCCAGTTCGAAAGCAATGTCGTTGGGGAAAAAAGTCTTTAGCGTAGAGTCAAGGAGTCCGTCCAAGGCCGTTTTCCACTTCTGGGCTCCTTCAGTCTTGCGTGGGGTCAGTACTCGTCGTCATTTATCCAGCCATTTTGCGGCGTACACTTACATAATTGTACAGGAAGGCAGCCCCCTGAATCAAAACACCAGCGTTGTACGAAAAGGTTGCCTTGTTGACATCAGTGCAATTCTTGTTGACGTGGGCACCATCGTACGCATGCCAGGACTTGGGATCAATGTATCCCACTCCCGTCATCCAGTCCCAGGCCTTCTCTGCGCGCTTTGCGTACGTTTCATTATTAGTATATCGGGCAAGACGAGCACCCATATTGAAGAATATCCCGTTGGAAATCGCTGCTACTCGTCAGTATGCCCGCCTGGCGACACCCAAGATCAATCAAGACGTACTGTTCTTGTATCCATATCCTTGGTTGGAAAACGGAATTTGCCATCTCAATCCTCCATTACACGTCTCGTCATATCGACTGGGGTCAGCCTGGGTGTTCCAAACAGCCTGTGCGAGAGCCAACCACTGAGGCTGATCCGCTGGAGGATCAGGAAATTTATTTTCGGCAGCCAGCAAGGCAGACATGCCCCAAAAGCCTTGATCATCGTTTCCCAGGGACATTGTGTGGTTGTTGGGCATGTAATTCTTATTCTCGCCCACCTGGTGTAGCAATCCCTCCATGACAACTTTGTTGTAGCTCGAGTCACCAGTCAACTTCCAGTAGTCGATGTAAGTTCCCATCATGGCACCACCTTCCCACCAGTAATACGGACCCTTCCCATCAGCGGGTGGTCCAGGTAGAATACCAGGAATTTCGCCGGACTGGTTTCCTTTGTAAAATAGCATTAAATCGTAGGCTAACGTTCGAGCTGATTCCTTGATGGCGGCTGCACCATGTCAGCATGCGACAGACCCCAGCAGCACTTGCAATGCCCAAGAATTTCCAATACAAATGAATCAAGGGGAGCGCCTCATACCTTCCGTGTCAATTTTATAATACTGAGCACCTGTCGTGCCAATGAGCAGAGTGCCAGCGAAGACGAGCCATGCTGGCGAAACCAGCGATGAGAACATGACGTCGGGCTGGTGATGGCGAAGCGAAGTCGAGGGAGTCAGAATGAAATCGAACCGTACGCTAATTACGGAAGTGCAGGCGCCTTCCTTTTGTCTGATCGGCCGTGTAGAGAGCCCAAAAAATTAAGTAAACTATTTCGAAACTTGCACAACAGAAGATAATTGGCGTTTCACGGGTGGTTCGCAGTTGGCCCAGAGAAGCTTGAGGTAATTATTTGCGACGTGATAAATAATACAGAGAGCGTCGGTAACAAAGCGAATGGCGAAACGGAAGAATTCGACGGCGAGTAATGTCAGCGAGGGTGTTGACGATTGAGTCAAAAGAAGGTACTGTCCAGGCGATGGAGACACAGTCGGCAAGGTGTGGTGAAGGAAGGAAGGCTCGCGCTAAATGTCAAGTGACAACGCACCCAGCACTAGGGAGTAAAGACCGAACTAGGCATCGAAGGAAATGTCAAGAAAATTGGGCGGCAGAAGAGCCAGAAACCAGATACGGTCTGGTAGCAGGTGCCAGGTTGGAGAGTCGTGAGGCCCCGGCGAGACCAGTTTGAAGTTAATTGCCAAACAGAAATGAGCATAATGTTTCTTCCAAGGACAAGAACGGCGGAGCCCCCTTTTTGAGGAGGCGTCTCTCCGTCTGGTACCGCTTTGCTACCATTTGCTTCACATGCGCTTGGCTGGTGACCAAGACTCTTGGCGGAGGAGACACCAGCGCGGCGGCTGCGCAATAAGAAGGCGTAGATGCAGCTTCAAACAGTGAGCGAGGTTTTGCCAAGCCCGAGGCGCTGGGCAGGGGGTGGGCTGTGCTTCGACTGGGGCATGGGACCAGGCAAAAGGCAGCCAGCGGCATGACAAGAGAGAATTTGATGGCTGGTCTTGGCGCTCCTAAACCATGTTGATCTTGGCGTGCCAAACAGACATGGACGAAAGAGAGCACGGCGGGAGGACTTGGCCATGGCGAACAGAACTCTGCGCGTCGGCGCTTGTAGTTGTTGGTCGGTTGCTTGTTGGCCACTTCAAGGCGAACATCGACACTCAGATCGTGGTCAGAGACGTCGAGTAGGGAATGCTGCATCCCCCAAGCCAGCGGCAACGAAACCAGGCCATGTGCCGGGCCCAGGGAAATATTAAGGTAACCCATTAAGGTTGATTTGGGTTGGTGTTGGTGCGCGCCAGTGAGGACGGAGGGCTGAAGCAGGCGCTGGGGTCACCAGACACTAAATAAAGGTCGGAATTAGGCGGCTTGGCGACCACTCATGTCTGCCTGGGCGCATCTTGGTGCCCACAAGATGCACACACCAGCACAATACTACCAAGGCGCCAGGCATCTTGCGCTGCCGTTCTGTCCTGCATTTTGATTTCTCTTCACCCAGGACACATGGCTGTTGAGCAAGAATTCTCGTACCGTGACTTGGCATAAGAGGCTGCGACACGTAATCTGCTACTTAGTGTGCGACATGTCTTTGCTGAAAGCAGCGATATACTCCTTAATCGACACCGTCGTGTGGCTACATCAAACATTTGTTCGGCCATTACTTACAGGGTAGGCAACCGAACAGTTCGTATGGGCGTGTCCAGTTGCACCGCCACCAGCAGTTAATATTCGATGAGTGGAATACGGCTTAGACGGAATAGTTTGACCAGCGATGCGCATAATGCCATTCAAGACGAAGAAGAATGTTTGGTTGGTTGTTGGTGTCAGTGTTCTTGCTTCAAACTGGGCGCGAGTGTTGGGATTGTGTGACCGTGCTTTGTTAACAAAAACAGAAGGCGCAACCCGGCATTAGAAGAAAACCTACCCCAACAACCAGAAAATTTTGTGTCTGCCAAAAATCGTCAACATGTCAGCACACGAGCATCACATCTCACAGGAGCTTGACAGCGTCGTGCAACCAGGCTTGGGTTTTTTGTGCCATCTACTATCCTGGCCAGTGCCAATTCACAATCTCCAAACTATCCTGACAGACACGCTAAACTGTTATTTCCACAGATGGAACCATTTCTACGGGCCGGGAATCCCTGTTTGAAGAAACCCATCATCGTTCCCAAGTTATGCGCCTTCATCGCCTACATCCAGTGACACCATCTTGATTTCTGGCCCTGCTGGAACAATCAATGGTCCCTGGTCCCCAAAGACAATCTTGTGACGCGACTGCGCATATCCATAGCCATACTTGCCGATATATGGCTCCGTTGTCCTGTGGAAAGCCCCTCGGAAA